CAGCTGCAGCTGCAACCACACCCAGGCGCACAGAGCAAAGGACAGTGTGAGCAGGCATTGATGGGTGCTGAGGCGTGCATGCAAGATGCAGCGCGTAGGGACGGCCTGGCAGGGAGGGACAGCCATACGTGGGATGTGAGAGAGAGAGAGAAAAAGGGAGGCTGGGTGGCCCAAAGGGTGCCTGCGCCTGCAAGTGCTTCTTCCCTCCCCACTGCCACCGCCCCTCTTGCACACTCATGCATGGCCTGTTTGGCTTCCTGGCCAGGCGCGTTGAACTGCACAATGCCAACACCAGCAGGGCAGTAGCAGGCTTGCCTGCTTGGCTGGGGGCAGAGACCAACAGTGCTGTACCAAAGAGAGTGTGACACAGAGATGCTGTGCAGCCAAGCATCCAGAGGCTGCTTGATGCAGCTGCAGACAGACAGTGTGCACCTCTTGCAACACGAGCAGGGCGGCGCTGCCACCCAGCGGCCATGCCCAATTAGACTGGCGCTCTAACACAGCGCTGCTTTCTGGGCGCTGCTTGCTGGGCGCTGCTGCCAGGCGCCAGGTGCAGCCTGCTGAGACCACCACATCCAACAAGCTGCACCCAAGCTGTTGACAGCACCAGCATGCGGGCCGCCTCACTGCTCTCCTGCCCGCCGTAGCAGGCAGCCAAGATGCAGCGCAAGCCGCTCTGCTGCTCTGCCGCCTGCCGCAGCCAGGCCTGCCAAGCGGCGCGCGGTGCAGGCAGCCAGCAGCGGCGGCCTGCAGCACTGCAGCTGCAGGAACAGTGAAGGCCTGCCAATGCTGCATGCCGCGCAAGGCGGCCACAGTGCTGGCACAGCGCAGGAAATGTTGGCCTGCTATCCCTTGCCACAGCTGCCTGGGGCAGCACCAGATGCATCTGCAGCAGGCAGCCCAAGTTCAACCACAGCGGCGCTGTGATGCTGCATCTGCCTCTTGTAGCATTTGAGGCAGCAGGGAGCCTGTGCTGCCTGCAGCGCGCGTGTCAGCACTGCCCTGGCAGCGGCATGGCTATGCGCTGCTAATGAATGATAAGTGGATGAGCGCTGCTGGCGGACAGCTGGTGCAGCGGTGCTCTCAGCCAGCTCTCAGAAGGCAGAAGGTGCTAGACAGACTCAGCGGCACAATGTCCTCCCCAGCCTTGCTTGCTGTTGTCCATCTCTTCTCTTCCCCCTCTCTTGCCCTCACTCCAACTCTGCTGCGCAGTCCCGCGCATCTGACATCTCTCTGCTTGTTGACGTCATTGGCTTCTTTGAGTTGCTTCATTTGTCTGGAATCATTCTGTCTCTATGGCTCATGCCAGTTGCTGCCAGCAAGCCACACCCCAAGATGGCGCATCCAGCAGCTCCAACGCCTGCTTGCCCTTGTCCCCTCTTGCCTTTGCTCCGCGCCCTCACTGTCGCACGCGGCCTGTTGCCGGTGGCTCCCGTCAGCCAACGCCGTCGGCATCTTGACGCACTCTTGCAGCTCAACTTCACGCCAACAATGCGTCCGGCTGCCCCGCGCAGAAGCTGAAGCAACGCCCAAACCTGCCTGATTGTGAGTACAAAGGCAATCTGCTATGGCTGCGCATGTCAAACCCCGCGCCGCTGCTTGGCAAACAAGCACTGCTGTGGATGAGCGCGTACCAGGCCCGACACAAGCTGACGCAGCAGTGGGACGGCAGCAAGCGTCCCCCGGCGCGCAGTCGCTTGTTGTCCCTCTCCTTGCTCTTGTTGCCAGGACTCTGTCAGTCCGCCTGGCCGGCATCATGCTCACGTTGTGCGTGTGGGCATCTGCCTTTGCCGCGGCGGTGGGAACCCGGGCGCTGCGCCAGCGCGCCGGTGCCGCTGGGCGCAGCGCAATACGCGGCTGTCTCAAAGCTCTCCACTGGAGAGTTTGCCGCGGCGTTCCCGCGGTCAGCGTGCCGCGGCCACGCAAAGGCTCTGCGGCGGAAAGCTTGAGCTTGCCGCGCGTTCCCACAATCACGGGCCACAGCCGCAAAGACTGTCCGGCAAAGAGCTTGCGGCAGCGTTCCCATGGCCACTGCGCCGCCGGCGCAAAGGCCCTGCAGCGGCAAGGCTCACACACTATGCCAGGCCACAATTCATTTCCAACAGATAAGTGCAGCCAGCACTGCCTGCTTTGCTGCCATCTTGGCAAATGTTACTGCAGCTTCAGGGAGCCCATCTCCAGCCCACTGCTCAGCCATTGCGCAGTAGCACTCCAGCTGCTTATCTAGTTTGCGCAATGCAAGCGTCTGCATGCTGTGCTGCAAGTCAAGGTGAGCGGCAAGTTCTGAGCAGGCTGGGCAAGCAGGGTGCGGCTTGCGCACCACAGTTGGTGCCAATGGCATGGGCAGCTGGGCAGCTAGGCACAGCATTGGTGTTGGCAATGGCATGGCTGCGCATAGTGTTGGCATAATTGACACAGTTAGCGCTGAGGGTGTAGATGTTGGTGCAGCTGTTTGCAGCGCTGCCAGCTGCGCCAAGGGCATGGATGGCGGCGCATCTGTGTACAGCACATGGGGCAGCGCCAAGGACATGAGCAGCAGCAGCGGTGAGGTGCAGGGCAAAGCTGCAGCTCAAGAGAAGCCAAGTGTGAGTATGCTGGTGTGGGTCTCTGCGTGCTGCTGCTCAAGCGCAGCAGCGCAAGAGAGAAGACTGCAGACAGGAGTTTGAATTGCTGCTTGTTGCGTTGCGCTGCACTGGACCGGCAACAATGCTGTGTTGCCGGTCCAGTGCAGCGCAACGCCGCATGGAGCGCAACGCCGCATGGAGGTACTGCGTGTCAGGATGCAATGTGGCGCTCAGCATCTGTGTTGAGTGGCCCTCCAGCCTTGTCTCAGAGCTGTAGAAGTTCTCAGCACCATTGCTTCTCTGCCACTCTCTGTCCCTCCTTTCCTCATCAATCAATGGTTCAGACGTATCACTTCTTCTTGTTGTCATTGTTGTTGTCAGACAGCGTGATTGGCTGCTCCTCTGAGCCTTTGCAAAGCAGTGCCTGCTCAGGCACATTGTTGAGGGCACGGGCGCGCTTCTTTGTTCCTGTGGGCAGCACCTTTGGGCAGGGCGCGCTGAGATGCTTGCAGAGTTGTTCAAGACTCTAAAGATTGCAACAGCAGTGCAGGCATTTGTACTCCATGCCCGCAGTCTTGGTGTACTGCGCCTTGTCCTTGATGCATGGCGCTGCGCGTGGCTTGCTGTGCCAGGATCCTTGCTTATGCTAGCAGAAGACAATGGCTGCAAAAGGGCTGGCAAATGGTGGCGCAGTGCAGTGAGGCACATGCATCTTGAGTGCCGCCACGCCTACAAAGGTGGGCCAGCAGCGTGGACACTGATTTGCTGGAATTGCATTGCGCAGCTCACAAGACGTCCAGTCCATGTTGGTCCATTCTTGGTGCCACTTGCAGGGATTGCGGTTGAGGAAGACGCCGTCACTGCGGAACTTGACGTAGGAAGCCGGCATCCTGCAGGACAGACGGTTGTTGACACCAATGGCCTTGCACCTACATATCACATGCTGCCTGGCAAGCTCCTCATCTTCTGCGCTGAACTCTACCACTTGACAAACTATGTGCCAGCCACCACAGGCTGCGCCTCAATGCGCAGCAGATAGGTGGTGTCCCTCTCAACGCACACAGTCTTTACTGACAAGGCATGGGTGAGGGCAGATGAGTTTGCGTAATCAGCTGCCCATTGTGCAGCAAATGCTGTGCCTGGCGCAGATGACCCCCTGTTGTTGCACTCTATCTTGCACTCTGTCTTGCACTCTGTCCCTGGCGCGCCACAAATCTGAACCATCCCATGAGACTGGCCCCACTGCACAAAATCTGCATGGATCCCCTTAAGGCTGCAGCCATGCTAGATGCTGCGCTGGCCACTGCAGATGCTGATGGCTGCTGCAGATCTGCACTTGCACAACAGCTGCAACAGAGACAGTAGCATAGCCAGCGTGACCGTGATAGCCTGTGTGAGACCAAGGTAGAGAGCCTGGAAGCGCTCTGTCACAAGCTGGGCAAGGAACTCTGTTCTCTTGCTGTGGCAAGCATTGTGCATGCCGCGCAGAGCACACATCTTGGCGTCAATGGCTTGCATGACAAACATCTTGATGTCAAAGAGTCAACCTGAAGCGCAGTGGTCAGCCAGACGCTGCAGCCTGACTGCTTGCATGCAGGGACTGTGGCAGCCAGCGGCAGGGACTGCGGCCAACTTGCAGGCACTGACTGCAGCACCAGTGCTTGACTGAGGACACATGCAGCCCACCTCCAAACTCTCCACGGCTGCGCACTTTCCAGAGGACAGCCTGTACAACAAGAAAACTGCGTCTGCCGGTCTTGCCCAAAAGGGTTGCCAGCTGTCAGGGCGTGCCGCTAGGCAAGGTTGCAACCACAACGCGCGCTGCGGCAACTTCAGCCCAGACCAAGGCAAAGAAAGAGCTGTCTCAAACTTTGGTGTGCAGACTCAATGCACATTGCTGGAAACTCTGCTTGGCGGCAATGGCAAGCGCATTACAGCAGTATCATTGGCAATGTGCGCTGCCGCCCTTGCAACTGCGCAGGGAACTAGAGTTCTATTGGCAATGCTACAAGCACTGCCTTTGCAGGACTTCTACAAAGTGGTGAAGGATCCAGACAGCCGTAGTGGTAGATTGAGCTTGCCTGCCAGGCCGGTAGCAATGCAGAGGTTGGCATTCCAGCCACCAGCACTGCGCCATCAACCAACATGGCTGCTGCTGTGCAGGAGGTCTGTCTATGCCTTGCACAGCAGGCTCCAATGTGCTGTCTTCCAGAGGATCTGAGCCAGGAAGAAGTGAGCCTGCCCACCCTACTTGCTCTGCCTACTGCACTGACCCATCAGCTAGGTGTAGCTGACAGGACTGCTGCTGCTGCAGGCCCAGGTAGACAATGCCAGCCAGCAGTAGTGGCAGCACTATGCAAGCACTGTGCAGCAGTGCTGCAGCAGAGCCTACACGAGCCTCATGTTGTGTTCCATGAGGGCATTTGTCATTCAACTGGCACTATGGCCGAGTGGTTAAGGCGCTTCCCTGCTATTACAGCATCCTGATCTGACAGGAAGTTCTTTCTGAGAGCGAGAGTTCGAATCTCTCTGGTGTCGCATCTCTTTTTGCTCTTTTTGCTCTTTTTTAGTCTTCCAGCACTCATCCCGGCTCTCCCTCAGACAAAAGCTTCGCTTTTGCCCTCTTGAGAGCCCCAAGCCTCTCTACATTCCTTGCGCACGCTACAGCGGCAAGCCAACTTTGCGAGGGCCAAGATTATGTGCAGGGCGGCTGAGCGCGGGTTAGCTCGGTCCTTGAAGGAGCAGCAAGCCCAGCGCGCGCGTGCCATGGCGGCGAAAAGGCGCACATGCTCAGCGCTACTCAGCCTGCACGCCTTGCTGCTGCCAGCCCTATGGCTACCGCAGGCTCGAAGCTGCTCTCAGGTGTTGAGCGCCGCCGTGAGTGGCATGCTCGAGGCGTGGGTGGCGAGGTGCTGACGACGAAGCGCACGTCGACGCGTAGCGCGTGCCGCGTGCGTGCGCAGACTTAGACGGCTGCCTCTCGCTCGCTCGGCTCCGCTGTCCCGCACCACAAGCACTGCGACTGACGTCTGATCTCGCTGCGCAAGACGCGGTCTTTGTGACCTCAGCAGCTCTCCTCGTAGCCAGCGAAGTGGTCCTAAACGCTGGCGGCCTGTGTGCGACGAGGCGACGCGTGTGCTCAGCCGCCAGCGGCGCCGAGCCGCAGTGGCATTCAGCGACGTGAGGCCGCTGGTCCTCTTGCGTCACCTGAGGAGAGGCTGAAGCCTCAAAAGCTGGCTCTGACCGGCAGAGCTGCTCAAAGCAGCTGCTCTCACGCATGGTTGACAGTTGCCGATCGCTCGCGGCATTGCACAGAACCGCCCCGACTGAGCCTCATGTGCGCGCGGTGCTCATCTCCGAGCCGAGCTCATCTCGGAGCCGACGCGGATGCAGATGCATCCGCCGTGATGAGACCAGCGGAACTGCGCCGCATCCTCCGCCGTATGCCCCTGAGCGCCGCGGCGTGCTCGACGCTGCGCTGCGCGGCGCCCCTTGGCTGACGCAGGGGCCGCCCGCCGTGCATCTTGGCGGCGCGGCGTGCGTTGATGCGGCGCCTGCATGGCCATCGAGCTAGCGCATCGGCCGCGCACGTCGCGCCCCTGAGGCAAGCAGCCGCCTCCGCATCTCGTCTTCACTCCCAACCACCAGCAACGCAATGTCGGACGAGCGCCGCGTCGGCCTCGAGGACCCGGACAACCCCGCACTCGTCGACGATGCCAGCATCGCCGCCGGCAGCGTGCGCGGCGTCGCCTACCTCGACCCGCGCCAGTTTGGCGGGCGCAGCCTCAACCGCAGCGCCGGCCTCGGCGAGCCGCTGAATGTCATCGGTGCGTGGGCTGGATGGTCAGCGCGGGGTCTGCAACTCAGACTGCCACATAGCATGAGCGGGTCTGCCACTACCGCACAGCATGAGCCGGTCTGCCACTGAGTTGCGCTGACTCTTTCTCTCGCAGTCTCGGCGCTCTCGTCGCCCGAGATCCTCACGCGCAAGGGCCTGCAGGGCTACCTGCGCTCCCTCGACTTCGACATGGAGTGCCTCGGCCTGCACCAGGGCGGCGCACAGAGCGCGTGGCTCGATGCGCGCGGCTGGCAGGACGAGCTGTTCCTCTATCGCGAGGGTGAGGCGGACGTGCTGAGTGGCGTGGGCGGACGTGTGCTGAGCACCGGACGGGTGCTGAGTGCCGGGCTTGCGCTGAGATGCCGTCGCTGACATCGCCCAGTATACACGCCGCTCGACCACCTCTTCGGCACATGTCTCGAGTCGCTCGGTGCGTGCGCCGCACACACCCTCTCTGCGTCGGCTCACGCTTCGCAGTCGGCGGCAACCACGTGCGCATCTGGCAGCAGCAGGGCACCGGCGCCTGGTTCCTCGCCGCGTCCGAGGAGATGAACGTGCGCAAGCACCACATGATCGTGCCCGACGGCTACAACCTCGGCCGCGACAAGGTCGTCGCGCAGAGCCAGCAGCGCAAGAACGGCGTGACGTGGGTGGGGGTGTGTGCTTCTCCGGATGCTCAGCTGACCCTGTCGCAGCTCGTTTCTCTTCAAGAAGTACCAGACGCGCGTCGAGTACGTCGGCGGCCTCATGGAGGCCGGCACCGAGGGCGTCAACCATGGCATCGCCGTGAGTGGCACGTCCACCGCACTGCACTCCTCCTGACACCCTGCAGGTGGACGGCCGCACCGCCGTGCTCACTGTAATCATCGTCGGCGGCGAGGAGAAGGCACGCCTGAAGCAGGAGCGCGCCGAGCGCAAGGAGGCCGAGCGCGAGCACGACCGCATCGTGCGCCGCATCACCGCCGCCGACGAGCCCGAGGGCCCCGTGACGGCGCCGGGCCGCGTCACCTCGCGGGCCCCGCGCTGGCTGCGCCGCATCCGCATCGGCGCCTAGCCTCGGTCTGACGTCTGTGTTGGCTGCACTGCACGCCTAGCCCGCTCTCCTATGTATACCCAGATCTGCTGAATTGCATCGCCATTGCTCCAGGGGTATCACGCCGAGCGGCGCGGAGCCTGTCATCAATCGCATCTCGTCATCAGGAGCACGGCGTCGCGCGCGCACGCGCAGTCGTCATCACGCCGGCGAGCGCGGAAAGCCGGCCAGCGACGGCGACGGCACAATGCCGCCGTGGGCGCTGCGCTGCGGCGAGCGCATTGCGCGCAGGCTGCCGGCCGGGCTCGGCGGCACGGCGCCCGCAGAGTGCGGCTGCGGCACGTACGCCGGCGCCAGCGGCGCCTCGGTGAAGTCGGCGGCGTGCGCGCTCGTCGACTCGGCGTCGTCCTCGGCCGCAAAGTCGAGCGCGTCGTCGTCGGCGGCATCGTCGAGCGCCTCGAGGCGCCCGCGCGTCTGCGGCCCGAGCAGCCGGTCCGCCTCGCTGGCGTCGTACTGCAGCGAGTTGCGGTTGCTGCGCGCCGCGTGCGGCATGGGCGCCGGCGACACCGGCAGCACGTCGCCGTCGCCCGTGTGCACCTGCCCGCCGGCGATCCACGAGGCGCGGTTGTTGCGCCGCCGCTGCGCCGGCGACTCGACGGCTGGCGGCGCGGCAAACTGCGCCGAGCCCAGCTCCGTAGAGTCGGGTGCCTGGATGTCCTCTTCCATCTGCCGCGGTGCCGGCTCGCCCTCTGTGTGGCGTGTCAGTGCCGCCGGGTGTGAACGCTCGCGGGCTGCTCACCGGCAGACGTCCAGAAGACCCAGTCGAACTCGGTAAGGAAGAGCGCAAAGACGCCTGCTCGCGTGTCAGCCACGATGCAGTGTCGCGCACCACTTCACTCACCTGCAGGGATGCCGAGCGTCGGGCTAAAGACAATGCCGACGTTCCGCATCGTCATCTTGTTGACGTCGGCGTGCTCGATGATCTTGATCAGGCTGGAGCTAGGCGGTCAGCTCTGCAAGTAACCACCAGTCTTGCCACACTCACTGGCTGCACAGCGTCCGCAGCAGCGAGTAGTTGGCGAGCGGCAGAATCGACACGAGCGCGCCGAGCTCATTGACCCGCTCCCGCCGGTCGACGATGTCTGCAGCGCGTGTCAGCCTCCGATCGCGCCCCAGGCCACACTCGCACCCACCATTGACACGCATGAACTCCAGGTGCAGCTCGCGCGTCAGCACGCTCGCCGGCAGCTCGCGCAGAAACGTCTTGAGCAGGCCGGCGACGGCGTGCGGGTCGTAGAACTGCTCGCCGGTCGCCAGCAGGTCGACGTCGCCCTCGGCATTGAAGCGCTCCTTGAGCGCCTTGACGACGGCCGACGAGCCCGAGAGGCGGTAGATGCCCTCCTCGTTCGCCGCGTTGCTCTTCTCGAGGTACTCGATGCAGCGGTACACAACCGACGGCAGCTCGAGACCCTCGGCAATGTGCGAGATCGCGATCGACTCGGCCAGCGGCACGCCGAACACCGGCCGCGCGACGGCGCCGGCTGTCTTGTCCGCAGCAGCGCCGCCGCCAAAGCGATGCCAGAAGCCGCGCTTCTTGTCGTCCTTCTTGCTGCTGGCGTCGGGCGCCGCGACGCTGCCGAGCGGCTCGTCGCGGCTACCGAACTTGTACCCGCTGGGAATCGGCGTGCCGTTCATCGGCCCTGAGATGGCTGGCCGCGCAGTGGCAGGGGCGCGGAAGGCGCTCTCGCTGTGCCGCTCGGTCGGCTGCGGCGGCGGCGTGCTGAGGCGCGCCGGCGTCTCGAGGCCGGCGTCCTGCGATGCCGAGCGCGACGGCAGCGCCGCGCGCGGGTTGAACGCCAGCGGCGTCACGGGCGCCTTGGGGCTGGCCGGCGGCTTGCGCGAGGCCTCGGGCGAGCGCAGCGCGTCGCCGGCGCCGGCGGCCTCCTGCGCCAGGCGCCGGCTGGCGATGGTGCCGTGGCTCGGCGGGCTCATGGGCGCAGGCACTGCGCGCTGGTCTGGCCGCTGCGGCGGCGGCAGCGGCGCGTCCTGCCGCGGTGGCTGCTTCGCCGACGCTGCCACACTCGGCGTCGATGAGGCGCTGCGCGCCGCGCGCTCGGCACTGCGGCCCTGCCGGTCGAGCTCGGCAATGGCGCGCACGAGCACCTCGACCCACTCGTCGCGCTCGGCGTCGCTCTCGGCGCACAGCACGTGGCGCACCATCTGCGTCTGCTCGCCGGGCACCGTCGGCGGGCGCTTCTCGAGGATGAGAAACGCGTGCCGGTACGAATTCTCGTCCATCTCCGACGTCGCGCTGCGCTGCTGCCGCCCAATCTGCGCACCAGCGATGTTGATCGAGCCAAGGTGCGGCCCGCCGCGCTGCACTCCGGCGTCAGCCCACCTGCGCACCGGGCACTGCACCCGCACTCACCGTCTCGTAGTAGTCGAGCTGCGCGCCCATCAGCACGTACAGGCGCGTCACCCAGCGGCCCATGTTCTGCCCCTTCTTCGTCAGGAAACCCTCGCGCGTCGTCGCCGCCGCGTCTTTGGGCTTGCTCGGCACGACGTCGGTGCAGAGAAACGTGCAGATGTCGTCCTTGTCCGGCAGCTCGACGGCCAGCAGATTCTGCAGGTACGACTCGAGAACCGCCTGATGGCCGCGTCAGCTCTGCCGCACCGCCTAGCCTGGTGCGCACTTACCTTGCGCTGGTCGACCTTGCTCGGCGCGTGGTCGCGGAAGAGCATCTTGTCCGGCAGCGTCGCGCCTGCCATGCGCTTGCTCGCCGCCTTGCCGTGCTTCTGCTTCAGGCGCGCATCGAGCGCCAGCACGTCGGAGTAGAGCTTCTCGACGCGCCACGTTGCGCCGGGCGCACCGGCAGCGCGCGGCGCCAGCGCGACCGAGATGAAGAACGAGATGACCTCGCGCCCGCGCTCGTTGGAGCGCAGCATCGAGCCGACGACGTGCACGGCGGCGCTGCTGAGCTGCCGCGAGTCGAGCACAGGCGTCGGCACGGCCGAGAGCGACGAGATCGAGCCGCGCGACGAGCTCAGCGAGCCCTGGCGCGCACGCGCCGCGATGGCCGAGATGCTGCCCTTGCGCTGCCCGGGCGTCGCCAGCAGCGGCTCGTCGCGGTACTCGGGCGGTGCGCCGCCCCGCGGCGTGCTCACCTGCGGCTCGTCGGCGCTGCGCTCTGCCAGATCCACGGCGGGCTCCAGGCCCAGCCCGGCGCCCGCGTCCGAGGTGCCGTCCGTGTCGCCGGCGACGGACTCGTCGACGGCATCAAAGTCGTCGGCCTCCTCGGCCGCGCGCGGCTCGTCGAGCGGCTGCCGGCGCTGCGCGGCGGCGCGCTGCGCCATGATGCTCGACTGCGCATCGGCGCCGCTGCGTGCCGGCGCCACGACGGCCTCGCGGCGGTCGTCGCCCGACGAGCGCAGCGGCGACGAGACGGCCGAGACGTCGTGCGAGAGCGACGAGGAGCTCGAGCTCGGCTGCACGGCGCGGTCGCCCGTCGACGGGCGCGCGCGCACGACGCTGCGGCGCGCCTGCGCAAAGCCGCTGCTGCTGCTGCCGGCGCCGGCACTGGCGGGCGGTTGCTGTGCGCCCGCGGGCGACGAGCGCGTGCTGGCGACGTCGAAGCTCGCGGCGCGCGTGGTGCTGCCGGCGCCGTCGCCCAGGCTGCTGGCCTGGCTGACGCTGTGCGTGAGCTCGGGCGCGGCCATGGCCGACGCGCTGCTGGCGTCGCGGCGGCTCGGCGTCTTGAGCGCCTCGTTCTCCTTGCGGATGCGGCCCATGAGGTTCCAGATGCGCACATTCTCGCCGCTCAGCTTGCCGGCCTCGAGGCAGAACTTGTTGCGCTCGGCCAGCACCTCGTCGAGCGCGCGCGTCGTGTCGCCGCCGGCGCGCGCCAGGGCGTCGGCGAGCGCCAGCGGCACGTAGCCGCGTGATGGGCCATTCGCGGCGAGGCGCGACGACGAGGCGTGCGACGTCACCGACGCCAGCTCGCCGTGCGGCGCGGCGCTAGAGGAGGTGCCGTGCGCGTGCGCCGAGCCCGAAGCTACACGGCCGCGATCATCAGAGTCGAGGCGCCGCCGCGGCCTTGGCGAGGAGGTGGACATGGTCGAGGGCCGCTACCGGCGAGGCTGGCGCATGCGCAGCGCAGGCGGTCAGAGCGCAGAGGAGGCGTGGCGGCGCGCAGTGCGGAGCGCCGAGCAGGGCGTGGGGGCGAGACGGAGCAGCAGACGGTGCGGGCAGTGCGATGCGGGTGCGAGAGAGAGGCGAAGGGTGCCAGCGCAGTGGCAGCAGCGAGAGACGACGCAGCAGCGGGCGCAGGCGGATGCGCGCGGCGCTGTGCTGCGGCGATGCGGAACGGATGAGGAGCAAAGGCAGGAGGCAAGGAGGTCAAGCGGAGCGCATCGCTCGTGCGGCGCGTGCGGCGACACGAGACGCGGCGAGGCGGGCGCGGCGTCAGGCCACCAGCACGCGCGACGGCGGCGGGCGCAGCGGCGCAGCGCGGGCCTTTGCGGCACACGCAGCGGCAGCGGCTCGCCCCGCCGGCGGCCCGCACCGCAGCGCAGAAGCGCGTCGCGTGCCCCAGCCAGAGACGCGGGAGCGGCGCAGCCGCATGCGATGCGCTCAGCAGCAGCAGCGCGCTCCAGCGTTGCGAGCCATGCTAGCCTCGAGCGAGCGGGTCGGCTGCTGCGCATCTCGCACCGACAGCGAGCGAGAGGACCAACGAGCCGGAGCGCACCCTCAAAGGACGCAGATCTCGCGTGCCTGGCGCCAGAGCGCCGCGCACTGTCCCGCTCAGTGCCGGTCCATTTGCGGCGCGTCGCTCAGGGGACGGCCCGTGGCTCGGCAGCCAGTGCGGCCCGGGCAGCCGGAGCAGCGGCATCCGGAGGCATCGCAGCTGCCACAGCAGCAGAGAGGAGGCAAGCTGCTGAGCGGAAGCGATGCGCCATGCAACACCCAAGTCCGGACGGCTCGGTGCTTGCGCTGTTGCCAGCGAGGACGCGTCCACACGAAGACCGGGCCACCTTCATTGGCGGCACTTGCTGCTCTGCAATTGGAACAGGATGGCCGGCGAGAAGGAGGCTCCTGGGGCAGAGCGGGTCGTTGCGCCAAGTCGGCTCCGCTCAGCGATCACACGCTCTCACGCTCGAGCCTGCTCGTCACATGAGATGCAGTTTCAGTAGCGCGTCGAAGCCGCCGAGTGCGAAGCCTCCTCTGCCACGCTGTTGCGACTCGGGACGGCAGACACGAGCATTCAAGGGTCGCAAGAGGATCGCATATCTGAGGTCGCACGACAGCTGTCAAGATGAAGCATGCCCGAAGGGACACCACTTGAGGCGCGGCACGCAGATCCCGAGCAGCCGTGAGCCCCTCGGCGCGTCGCTCCCGCGCGTGACCCCACGCGCGCCAACCTGGCCGCCTCTCAGCGCCTCTCTCTCCCCCTGTCTTGCCCTAGAGAGGCCAGGTTATAGCTCAAATTCACGAGAGGCATGAGCACTACCTGAGATCGGCGATCTGCCCCCTGCAATGCCGCAGCGGCGAGCGCGTCGGAGGCGGTGCGCGTTTAAGCTTAGCTTTGGCTTGCACGTCGTGCTCTCCTCTCCTTGCATGGATCGGCGATGCTGACAGCTCATGCCGCCTCTCAGGCTCGTGGCCTGTGCAGCAAACACGCTTGCTGTTGAGCAAGTCACAACGCGACGCTCGTGCCCAGGGTCAGCAAGACGGCGCAGCGAGTATGCCGTGGATTGCCAGATGGCTGCGCTCCCCGGCTCTGCTCTCGCGGCGAGGCGCGCAGCCGCGCGGGCGAAGCTCGCATCGGGCTCTACATGCGTGCTCGTGGGCCGAGCCAGGTGCTCCGACGAAAGTGTGGCACACACGTGGGCCAAGCCGCGTTGGTGCGACCGCTGGATGAACGCCGAGCGGGCGCGCTGCGCGGACGACGATGACGAAGCGCTGAGGGCGGCCCGAGAGGGTCAGAGGGATCGTCGAGGTGCATGGTGGCGGCGCGCACCGCCGCGCAGCAGAAGCTTCCGTGCTGCGCGCATGACGGCAGCCGGCGGCGGCGGCGCGCTGACCTGGCGCGCGCTGCGGCATCGGGCGGGCGCGTGAGCAGCACTCGCAGCGCCACCTGCACCCAGAGCGCAGCTGCACCCACCACGCAGGCACCAAGCACCGCTGCGGCTGCTTCTGTGCAAGTCATGGCCTCTGACGACGGGCTAGCTGCGGCAGGGTGCGGCACCGGCGCGCGCTTAGATGTAGGACGCAGCCGCACGCGAGAGCAACACGCGGCGCGGCGTGCGCGCCCCTGGGGCACGGCGCCAGTGTCGCGCCGCCGCCGTGCAGCGCGCCGCGCCTGCTCCTCGCTCCCCGCGTTTCCCACAGAAGGTGCGTGGCGCAACGGGCAGCCGGCACAGCTGCACCTGCTCCTCACTCCGCACCGCAAGGCGGCCGCAGAGCTCATCCAACGCTTGGCGCTGGCCCGAGGGCAATCCACGACGACGCCTCGCAGGCCCCCTTATAAGTGTCAGGGGCGCAGGACGCAGCGTCCTGCACCCTCATCCTCTCCTCCAGGCTCTCGCTCTCCACGCCGCGGCCGCGGTCCCTCACGCTCTCTTCACACTCACTGTCTCTTTCCGGTCTCTTCTCTCTTACGATGCGTCTCGCCCTTGTCCTCGCCGCGGCCTCGCTGCTCTCGGCGCCCGCGCTCGCCCACGCCTCCTCCGACGCCCTCGCCGCGCGCGCCGGCGCTGCCCTCGAGCCGCTGGCGTACGAGCCGGCGCGCCGGCGCGCCCACGCCCAGACCGACGCCGAGCTCGTCGAGGCCCGCGATGCCGCCGAGGTGGCGCCCGAGCTCGATGCCGAGGCGCACGACCTCGTCGAGACGGCGGCGCAGGGCTACCTCGCCACGCGCCAGAGCCCGCGCTTCCGCTACGGCGGCGCCGACCAGGGCGCCGACACGGTGCGCGGCGTCTCCGCCGGCGGCTGGCTCGTGCTCGAGAGCTTCATCACGCCCGGCGTGTTCGACGCCACGGGCCCGCTGAGCAAGACGGGCGTCGTCGACGAGTGGACGTGGGGCAAGAACCTCGAGCGCGGCAAGGCCGTGAGCGTGCTGCAGCGCCACCTCAACACCTTCTACTCCGAGCAGGACTTCAAGGACATGAAGGTGGGCAGCTGACGTGGTGGCGCACTGCACTGGTGCTGACTGCATCATCAGGCCGCCAACCTCAACCACGTGCGCATCCCCATCGGCTACTGGGCGTTCGACGTGCAGGGCAACGAGCCGTTCATCAAGCTCAACCAGTGCGTGCCGCGACTGACACTTGCACACCTCGGCTTACACCCTCGCAGGTACGACCTGCTGAAGCAGGCGTGCATCTGGGCGGGCAACGCCGGGCTCAAGGTGCTCATCGACCTGCACGGCGCGCCGGGCAGCCAGAACGGCTTCGACCACTCGGGGCGCAAGCGCTCGCGCCAGCACTGGACGGACAACCGCAGCAACATCGACCGCACGCTGGCCATCATCAGCACCATGGCAAAGGAGTTCTCGCAGGACAAGTACCGCAGCAGCGTCGCGGCCATCGAGCTGCTCAACGAGCCCAACGGCATGAACCTCGACGTGCTGAAGCAGGTGAGCCAGCCGTGCGGCTCTGCCGAGCTGCCGCGCTGACACACTGCAGTACTACCGCGACGGCTACGGCCGCATGCGCCAGTACTCGAGCGACATTGCCGTCGTGCTCTCGCCCGGCTTCACGGACCCGTCGTCGGGCAAGGCGTGGCGCGACAACTGGAGCCGCTTCCTCACGGCCGCCGACGGCGGGCAGAGCGTCATCGAGGATGCGCACCCGTACACCATCTTCAGCATGGGCCAGATCCGCATGAAGGCGCAGGACCGGCAGAACGTGTACTGCGGCAAGCGCGGCGCCTACCGCGATGCCAACCGCAACAGCAAGTGGCTCGTCGTCGGCGAGGTGAGCAGAGGGGAGAGCGATGTGCGGCGCAGGACCTGCAGCTCACCAGCCACCCGCAGTGGACGCCCGCGTTCACCGACTGCGCCATCAACCTCAACGGCCGCGGCGTCGGCAGCCGCTACGACGGCACGCACCCCGATGCGCAGGGCCAGAAGTACGGCAGCTGTGGCCCCAAGCGCGGCCCGGCCGAGGGCTGGAGCGCCGGCTACAAGAAGCTGCTGGCGCGCATGTGGAGCGTGCAGCGCGACGCCTAGTCAGTCCGCCCGCTGCGCATCACCCTTGATGGCCCCATGGCTCACCCTCTCTCTCCCATCAGCTCTGTGGGGTCCGGGTGGATCCAATGGAGCTGGAAAACGCAGGCGGGGTTCGCCGAGGAGTGGTCGTACCAGAAGGGCCTGCAGCACGGCTGGATCCCGCGCGACGCCGACCGCGGCAGCGTCTCGGACTTCCACTGCTGAGCGCATCCAGCGCCTTTCGGACCCGCATCGCCTGTCTCGCATCATCCCTTGCCCTCGCTCGGCTCGCATCCCGCCGTGGCCCCACGCTGAGCGCCGCAGTTGCGCCGCGCTCTCACCCCCAAATTCCCCGTCCTGCTGAGCCGGCTGCCTGGCTCGCGGACACCGTCTCCTACCTGCGTCTGTATTTCGGACACGTTCTAATTGCACGCTTGCTGCTGCCAGGTGTCTGCTCGCTGTGTGTGGTGGCCGGCAGCGACTCAGCTCGCGGTGCGGCGTGGCCGGTGCGTGCGCGTTGCGTGCGACACGCAGCGTCCGCGCCGGCGCCGGCGCCTCTGCCGCGCCGAGGCCGGCGCGCGCCTGCCTTCCCAGCCACCATGTCCGCCTCAAGCATCGCGCCCGAGCTGCTGGCGCGCATCGCCGCCGCGCTGCACACGCTCGGCGCCAGCGTCGCCGTGGGCGAGAGCAGCAGCGGCGGCCTCGTCTCGGCGGCACTGCTCGGCATCGACGGCGCCAGCGCGTGGTACAAGGGAGGCGCCGTGCTCTACACGCGGTCAGCCAGCGCGTGGGCAGCGTGCCCGGTGCGATGCTCACTCCAATCGCCGGCAGAGAGAGCCGCATCACGTGGAACGTGTGGACGGAGGAGGACCTGCGGGCGTACCGGTGCGTCGTGCGCGGTGACCCACCCTTGCGTGCGCTCATCATGCACACAGCGGCCCGACCGAGGCCGTCGTCTCGGGCCTCGCGAGCCGCGTCGCCGCGCAGCTGGGCGCCGGGTACGGCGTGGGCGAGAGCGGCATCGCCGGGCCCAACGACATCGGGCGGCGCTTCCCTGCGTGAGCGTGGCCGGGCAGATCGGGCGCGTCCCTCGCTGACAGCAGTGCGGCGCACAGCGGCTACACCGTCGTGGCTGTCTCGCGCCCCGAGGGCCGGGCGTGGACGCGCGTGGTGCGCACCGGCAGCAAGGACCGCGTCGAGGTACGTCTGGCATGCCATGTGCTCACTACTCATCGCTGAGTATCGCTACGCAGAACATGCACCGCTTCGCGCACGAGGCGCTCAGCCTGCTCGCCGAGGTGCTGGAGAGCGACGTGCGCGAGCGCAAGGCGAAGCTGTGAGCCGAGGCTGCAGGCAATGCAATGCGTTGCGGTGAGCACAGGCGAGACGTCAGCGCATGTGTCACCTGAGAAGACGATGCTTCCCGAGTGATGCATGAGCCGCCAGGCGTTGCAGGTCTCAGGGCGTCGAGGCGTTGCGAGGCGTCGCTGCAGAGCTCACGCGGCACGATGCGGGCAGCAAGCAGGCACCGTCTGAGGTGCAGGGCCGCGAACAGCGAGGTGCATGCTCGGTCTCGTTGTGCAAGAGCATAGCAGCATCAGGATGCCGCAGCCGCAGGCGTAGACGAGGCGCTCGGCTTGCGGCTCTCTGCTCGGGCCGCAAAGCGGGGTCGCGGCGCCGCTCCCACGCCACAGACCCTGCCTCCCCTCCACCACGCCGCATCCACAAGCGCACCACACACGTTCTGCCGCTGCGCAGCGCACCTCGTCACACCCAACGGCCGCACCAATGGTGCTCGCCGCGCTCGCCGAGGCGCTGGCGTACGTGTGCGCCGGCCTCGCCGGCGATGCGCAGTGGCGCCGTCTGCGCAGTGAGTGGCGTCTTTGGCGCGCACGGGCCGCGGCTGACCCCCACACGCGCCAGCCTGCTGCACGCCGCTGTGTGCCTGCTGCCCGCGCAGCTTCTGCGCCTCGCTCGAGCGCCCCAACGACGACGAGGAGCGGGCGGCACTGGCACAGCCGGAGCAGGGCACCAGCTACGGCGCCGTGCGCGAGCAGCCGCGCGCATGGAGCTCCGTCGCGGCGCTGCGCTCGCTCTGAGCAGGCAGAGGTGCGCGAGCAGCAGTCCGCCGCGGTCCAGCACGATGGTGCACGGCAACACGGCTGGCGCGATGAGGCGATGCGACACGGCGCCTGCCTGCTCCGCCGATCGCCGCTCGACGCCGCGCCTGCTCTGATGCTGGCCGCGTGGCACGGCAAGGCCGGAACACTCGGAGCAGCCGCCACGTCACACGCGGAGCAGCCGGCACGTCACACGTGCGAGTCATGATGGTACATTACAACACTGCAGGCGTGATACGGAGCGGGCTGCTGCGAGTGTGAGGCGAGGCAATGCGCGTCCCGGCCAGCCGGTCATTGGCGCTCGACGTCGCGCTCGCTGTCGCTCGTCGAGCGCGTCGGCGGGCGCGTGGCCGGGCTCGACTCGTCGCTGTGGTGGCCCGTGTCGGTGTTGTGGTAGGTGCGCGGCTCCGTCTCGCTCTTCTCCGCCACGGCGTCCTTGCCCTCGCTCGGGATCTCGCCCTGCGCCTTGCGCGACTTGGTGCGCATGAGCTCGAGCTGCTGCGCCGCCTGTGCCGCGTACTTGCAGCGCCGCCGGATGCTTTCGCCGTACTTGTAGAAGGCAAACGGCATGGGCATGCAGATCAGCGCCAGGCCCGTGGCAATGCCGGGGCTGCAATGAGGGGGGCAAGGTGAGCGGCGAGCATGGCAGGGCTGGCCGGCGCCCAACTCACCCCACGTGGATGCCGCACGTCGCCGTCGGGCAGCCGACGGGGCTGTACATGAAGCGCGTGAACATCGGAAACGCGGCGCCGAGGAGCGAGCGGATGACGCTGTTGGCGGCGAGCACGCTGGCGGCGTAGATGAGGTACGCGTCGATGAGGTAGTTTTGGATCGAGAGGAAGAGGAGCACCATGCCCAGCCCGAACGGCGCGCCGCCGAGGGCAATCGGCACGAACCAGTGGATGTTGGGGCCGTCGGTGCCCGTGAAGATGGCCAGGCCGACGACGAGCGAGACGGCGCCCAGGAACGCCGGGCGCAGGCGCGCCTCAGGCGGCGCGAGGCCGCCGGGCGACTGGCTGGCGATGCGCACGTACTCCGGGTTGTAGAACACGACGACGAGCACGACGCCGGCCATCATGCCGACGAGCACGCCGAGGAACGCCAGGCCGCCCACGCCGGCGTTCCAGCCGCGCACCTGCTGGAACACGATCTGCGCGGGGACACCGCGTCAGCCTCTGCGCGCATGTGCCTGGGCCGCTTCTACTCACCGGGAACGCCCCGAAGAAGCTGTACAGCAGCGCGTAGATAATGCCCACTGCGGCCGGCGTCAGTGCTGCAGCATCCGGCAGGCGCACGCGGCGACGCACCATAGAGCGAGAGGAGCAGCACGATGGGCTCGCGGAAGAGCAGCTGCCACGGGCGCACGAGGGCGATGCGCATCTGGTCGGCAAACGCCGTGCTCTTGCCGGCGTCGAGGCGCGAGACGTACGTCTTGCCCGTCGCCTTGCTGAGGCGCGCCGCGCGCTGGCGCAGCAGCACCGGCGCGTACGTCTCGGGGCAGAAGGCGGCGCCGAGGAGCAGGATGAGGCCCGTGAAGACGGTGAGGAAGATGAACACGGGCTGCCAGCGGCCCGTGCCGATGGTGAGGAAGCCGCCGGTGATGGGCCCGAGCGCCGGGCCGAGGAAGGGCGCCGAGGCAAAGACGCTCATCGCCAGGCCGCGCTGGTTGGCCGAGAAGGTGTCGGCAATGACGCCGCCGGCGTTGGTGAGCGGCGACGAGCCAAAGGCACCGACGAGGAAGCGGAACGCGACCATGGCGCCGATGTTGGGCGAGGCAATGCACAGGCCCTGCCACAGCGTCATGAAGGCGTACGACACGATGAGCAGGTTGCGCCGGCCGAAGAGCTCAGACAGCGGCGCCCAGAAGAGCGGGCCTGCGGCGTGTCAGCGTGAAGGGTGCAGGCGCGCAGGCTGCGCGGCTCACCAATCGCAAAGCCCAGCACAAAGAGCGAGATGCCGAGCGTGATGACCTCGGACGAGCCGCCGAGCTCGCGGCCCATCTCCTGCGTGGCGCCCGAGTAGGCCGACGACGAGAGGGCCACGGCAAGTGTTGCAAAGCTGTGCGCGCGCGCAGTCAGCACTGCCGCATGTCTCGGCGCCCCGCACGCTGCTCACCTGACAAATACGGTGAGCGCCCACTTGTACGCGGGCGCAAAGTCCATCGGATTCTCCTGCTCGTGCGGCAGCCAGCCGATGAGATACGGCTTCTCGGGCGTGCCCTCGCCGTCGTAGTGCGCCTCGACGATGCGCGCCCACGGCGTCGTGCTGCGGCGCCACGGGCGGCGCGGCAGCGTCAGGTCCTGCGGCGTGCGCGCGGCGGCGGTGGCTTGCGAGTCGTGCGCGGCGAGGTCGGACATGCTTGCGGTGGTGGGTGCTGCGAGAGGCGCTGGCCGGTCGCAGCACGTTCTTGTACTCGGGCGCGCGCGCGCGCGCTTGGGCTCGCTTGCGCTGCACGGAGGCCAGGTGCCGGCGCTGCGGACGGGAGAACAGCGAGCAGCACCTGTTCCCGCGGGCGGCGTTAGTGTGCGCTCGCCAGTCAGCACCTCACAGTCAGCAGCAGGCGCGCACCATGACGGCGGCAGATGGCGCAGCGACGGACGCGGGTGCGGCATCGCGCCGCCGGCCCACGGCGAATCCGCACTCTTACTCGCAGCGCGCTTTTCGCCGGCGCGCCGCTGACGCCGATGCGGCAGCCGCACACACTGGCGGCGGGCCGCAGCGCCGGCTCGGCCGCTCCGAGTCGCCGGTGACGCGCCTTGCTCTCGCGGCGCACACCTGCGTCCCGCGCTTCTCTCTGCAGCGCCCGCAGATCCGTCGCTCGCACCGTGCCAACGCTGCTCCTCCACCTGCGAAAGCCAGCAGGAAGCAGCAGGCAAATTTGCCCGGTGTGAGGACCACGCCGCCCGATCTCATCTCCCGCAGAGGGTGCGCGCGGCACGGCCCCTTTCTGCCACCGCGTGGGCGCAGATTGCGCGTCATCAGCAGCAAGCGCGGCACGCGGCCGCACCGTGAGCGTGTCATGCTCGCTGACGGCGCGCCCGCCGAGCGCGCGGTGAGCAGCGCGCCGCTCAGGGATTGCCGCCGCTCGGACCCCGGAGCCGCCGGCACCCTTGCAGGCCCCTTGTGCAGCATCTACGCTGTAGGCCGAAGAACACCGCCCTGCTGCTACACCTGCGTGCGGAGCGCTCATGATGCGGTGCACGTGACGCCACGGACTGCCATCTCTCGCCTGAGCTCTTGGACTGGCACCAGAGGCAGTGGGCAGCAGCAGCCGCTGTTCCAGCAACCCGCTGCGGCCGTACACTCAGCCTCGCTGCGGTCTTTGCCGTTCTGCTTGGCGCAGTGCGAGCAACGCATCTGGGGCAGGGCGAACGACGGCGCGTGGGAGCGCTCTGCATGGGTCCCGGCTGTGTCTCGCGGCCAAGGCTAGAGCAGACATCGTATCGTTGAGCCTGCGCACAGATCTACCCTCTCAGAGACCCTGCCTCGACGGCCGTCGGGGCGTCGACCTGGGTCTCTCATTCCCACGGCCGTGGTCGCACGGTGCGGCGAGCAGCGTGGGTCAGGGGCACGGCGGAGCGCATCACGTGGTGCCTGTCCTGTGCGCCACATCCGGAGCGCGAGAGTTGCGCCGCGGCGCGCCTGTCTCGCTCGCAAATTTGCCGGCCTCCATCCCGCCTCGCTGCAGCAGCAAGAGGAAGCGTCGAACTCACCTGGACCCGTGGCCCACGCCACGTCCGAGCGGGCAGCGAGCGGCGCCCTGCTCGGCCTCTGGGCCGCGGCACCGAGGCCGTGCGCCCGCCCGCCCGCCCGCCCGCCGGGCTGCGCCGACTTGATGCGCCAGAAAAAGGTCGGGCCGCGGCAGGTGCGGCAAGAAGCGAGCTTCGCACGCCGAGGCGAGGCCTCTGCGCAGGCCTCCGGTACGCCTCACACACGCAGCCAAGCGCTGCACCGAGTCAGTCCGCTCGTTCGCCGCCACGAGCGGCGCAGGCTCGGCGTCCAGGCCGTGCGAGGCCGGGTGAATGTGGGCGGCGAGGGGCGCATGGCGTGCTGCTGTCCGTTCCTGGGCACAGTGCTCGCCTCGTTCTGCTCGTGTGACTGTGTCCGGCGCTCACACACAAAAGCACTCGAGTTCGCGCAGCCGCCTCCGTCTCGACACCCACATCCTTCTCCACCATGGACTCCCGACCGCCCACGCCGCCGATCCTGCCGCACACGCCCGTGCGCGTGTCGCAGAGCGACGACATCGAAAAGGCGCCGGCGAGCGACGCCAAGTCGCTGCACGGCAGCGGCTCGTCGGTGTCGGCGCTGGACGACGAGGAGCGCGCCAAGCTCGAGCGCCTCGGCCTCGTCGAGGGCGCGGCGGGCGGCGTGAAGCGCAACCTGAAGGAGCGCCACATCGCCCTCATCGCGCTCGGCGGCACCATCGGCACGGGCCTCTTCGTCGGCCTCGGCGCGTCGCTCGCGGCGTCGGGCCCGCTCTCGACGCTGCTCGGCTACACGCTCATGGGCTTCCTCGTGTGGGCGCTCATGGTCGCGCTCGGCGAGCTGGCCACGTTCCTGCCGCTGCCCGGCGGCTTTGTCGCGCACGCCTCGCGCTTCGTCTCGCCCGGCTTTGGCGCCGCGCTCGGCTGGCAGTACTGGGTGAGTACGAGGAGTGCGAGCTGCGGCATGGTCTGCGCTGACGCTTCACACAGTTCTCCTACTCGATCTGCCTGCCCACCGGCATCACTGCGTCGGCGCTCATCATCTCCTTCTGGGACCCGAACCAGGTCGTGCACCCGGCCATCTGGATTGTGCGTGACGCGTGTTGCCAAGCGTTGTGCGTCCGCTGACCCTTTCTTCAGTCCATCATCCTTGTGCTCGTCGTCGGCGTCAACATCCTCGGCGTGCGCGTCTTTGGCGAGCTCGAGAGCGTCATGGCCAGCATCAAGATCAGTGAGTGTCGCGGCACGTCGCTCTTCTCACACGCGTCTGACGCGCCCCAGTCGCCATCACCATCTTGATCATCACGATGCTCGTCATCGACCTCGGCGGCGGCCCGAGCGGCGAGTTCATCGGCGGCAAGTACTGGCGCGTGCCGGGCCCCATGGCGCAGTTCCTCTGGGAGCCGGCCGCCGACGGCGCGCCGAGCGGCGGCATCAGCGGCAGCTGGGGCCGCTTCCTCGGCTTCTGGAACGTGCTCGTCTCGGCCAGCTTTGCCTTTTCGGGCACGGAGCTCATCGGCATGGCCGTCGGCGAGGTGGCGAACCCGCGCAAGGGTGAGTGGAGCGAGAGATGCCTCCGTGCGTGCTATACTGACTCCTCCGCTGCTCAGCCGTCCCGCGCGCCATCCGCAGCGTCGCTATCCGCATCTTTGTGTTCTACGTGCTCGCCGTGCTGCTCGTCGGCTTGGTCGTGCCGTACAACTCGCCGCGCCTGCTCAACGCCAGCGGCTCCGACGCCTCGGCGTCGCCGTTCGTCATTGCCGTCGACGCCGCGAGCATCCGCGTGCTGCCGCACATTGTCAACGCCGTGCTCGTGACGGTCACCTGGAGCGCGGCCAACGCCGACCTCTACGCCGCCAGCCGCACGCTGTACGCCATGTCCATCGACGGCCAGGCGCCGGCCGTGTTCAAGCGCTGCACCAAGGGCGGCGTGCCGGTGTATGCCGTCGGCGCCACGGCGCTCTTCGGCCCGCTCGCCTACCTCGGCGTGGGCTCGGTGGGCGCGTCGCTCACGTTCTCCTACCTCTACGCGCTCTCGGCCGTCTCGATCATCATGGCGTGGTGGGCCATCGTCGTGACGTCGCTGCGCTTCCACTACGGCCTCAAGGCGCAGGGCTTCGTGCGCAAGACGATGCTGCCGTACGTGGCGCCGCTGCAGCCGGGCCTCAGCTGGCTGTGCCTCGTCATGTTCACGCTCGTCATCATCTTTGCCGCCTTCCCCACGTTCATCCGCGGCCACTGGGCGACGGACGTCTTCATCACGACGTACTTGCCCGTGCCGCTCTTCTTCCTCACGTGGGCCGGCTTCGACTGGGCCAAGAAGGGCCGCATCCTGCCGCTCGCGCAGCTTGACTTCAAGACGGGCCGCCGCCAGCTCGAGCAGATGGACGAGGAGTGCAACGCCGAGGAGGCGCGCTCCGAGAAGCCCAATGCCGTCATGCGCGCGCTCAAGCAGTGAGTAGTCTGGCGTGTCGAGAATGTTTGCACGCCGCTGACGCCTCCACTGCAGGTTCGCTTAAAACTTTTAATCACGCTCCCCACCCCGGTCACATCCTGTCACGATCCATAGAGTCTCAATAGATGGCCTGCTGCATCTCACCCGCCGGCGCCCGGCAGCGTGGCGATGATCTTCTGCAGCTCCTCGGCCTCGCCGGCGCGCTCCGAGCCGCTCGCAATGATGCGCGCCAGGAACTCGCCGGCGAGCTCGACGTTGGCGCGCGCCGCGGCGGCCTTGGACTTGGCGGCAGCATGCAGCTTGGCCGTGGTGAGAGAGGGCGCACGGGCCGCGACGGGCGGGCCCATGCTGTCGTCGACCTCCATCGCCGAGCCGTCCGTCGTGTCGGCGCCGCCGGCGATGTCGCTGTCGATCTCGAGAGGCTCTGGATCCGCGTCGGACGGATCTGTGTGCGCGCCTGCTTCCCGCAGCAGCATCCGCGACGTGGCGAGGAAGGAAGGCGCATATCTGGAGAAGGGTAGCTGTGGGCAGCATCAGCGCATGCGCGCGTAGCGCTGGCACTTGACTCACCGGCTCAGGGCCGTCCTGCGAGGCAGTGACGAGATCGACGATGCGGCGGTGCCAGACCTCCGTGGCGACGTGCTCGTCGGCGCTCTGGTACACGCCGATGATGTGCCCGATGAGGTCGATCTGCTCCGCCGGCGCCTGGCCGCCGAGCGACAGCGCGCGCTTGTAGCTCGAGATCGCATGCTGTGTGCGCCCGAGCTTCTCGAAGCAGACGGCCTGGCCAATCCACATGCGGGCGTTGTACGGGCTGCGAGGCGCGTGAGCACGAGCAGGACGGGTCACGAGAAGGAGTGACGCACCTGAGCGCGCACGCCTTCTGGTAGTAGTGCAGCGCGTAGTGCGGCGACTCGTTGAGCTCGTACGCCTGGCCCAGGCCGTACCACGCGCGATGGTCGTGCGGTGCAAGATCTGCGAGGAGCAGTCAGACAAAGGTGGAGTTGTCGACGGTTGCACACGTACCCAGCGCATGCCGGTACATCTCCGTCGCGGCTTGCGAGTTGCGCAGCTCGACGTAGGCGTGGCCGAGCAAAATCCAGGCATTCAGACAGCTGGGGTCCAGGCGCAGGGCGCGCTGTAGTGCCTCGACCGCGCGATGGTTGTTGAGCTGCATGGTGTGATAGTTCGCTGCGAGAGTGTCAGCGCGAGCAGATCATTGCAGCGCCAGCAAAGCTTACCTAGCGCGCAGCATGCATCAGGACTGTCGCGGCCAATCTCCACGAGCGAAGTCGTGAGATAGGCCAGCTTCTCGGGCTTGTCGAGCACGAAGAGCAGGTTCGAGTATTCGGCGACGCCCTCGAGGCAGTACGGATCGAGCGCGCGAGCCTCGTCCCACTGCGCCTCAGCCTCTGCGAAGTCTGCGTCGCGGTGTCAGCGCTGCCGCTTTGCTGGCGCGCACGGGTTGCTCACCCTCTGCGATGTAGTGCGAGTGCGCCTTGCAGTTCAGGATGTACGGGCTGTTGGGGAAGAGCGCGAGCAACGCATCGCAGCGTGCGACCTCGTTTGAGTGGCGGTGCAGACGCAGCACGCGCCGGCAGTAGTGGTCGATGAAGAAGGCTGTCATGAACGAGTCGGGCAGCAGCGAGGCGAGCTCGATGATCTGCCGAGCGCGTCAGGTATGCACTGGCACGCAAGAGGCACGAGCGGCTCACCTCTTCGCCCTCGGGGTCCAGCGCGGTGCTCAGCTCGAGCCATGTCGACCAGCAGTACGGCAGCAGCTCGAGGCTGCGAATGAAGCAGTCGATCGCCTCGATGCGCTTGTTGAACTTGCGCAGCACCACGCCTTTGCTGCGAGAGGCAAGCTCTGAGACAAGCTCGCCCTCTTTGGGAGTCCTGCGGCGCACTCACAGGTACAGCAGATACGGATCTGACGGATCGATGAGCTCCTTGAGCAGAACCAGCAGGCCGTCGGACGTGCGTTGCCGGAGCGCAGTCTCTACTGAGGCCGGCGACACAATCGCACCTTCTTCGTCAAGCCGTCGCTCGATGATCTGTAACGGCACGAGTCAGACGCCGCAGCTCCGCCATCCTTCTTGTCTCGCCGCGCCGCAACTAGGACGCAAACCTGCACTCACGAGGTACTTGGCGTACAGCCGCAGGAACTCCGCCCGATCGCTCGTCATGCGCCGCTTCTCCAGCCATGCCACGCAGCGCTCAAAGTGATGCTGCTCGAACATGGCGCGCGCGAACTGATAGTCGTCCTCGTCGTCCTCAGTATGCCCTGCCGCATCAGCCTCACTACCGACGTCACTGAGTCGCGACGTCTCCTGCGACGGTGCAAAGTGCACATGCGCCGAGCCCTGCTGCGACTGGTCCAGTGACGAAGAGGAGTCGTCGCCGTCGGCGTAGTACGCGTTCCGAGCGAGCGGGCTCGGCGGCGCACGCGAGGGGAAGCGGCCCGAGTCGTCGCCGATCTGTGACGATGGCGTAGCGCCACCAGGCACAAGATGTGACCGCAGGCCAAGCTGACTGACCGGCGACGACGGCAGGTACATGGACCCCAGCGCCGGCGTCGAGTGCACTGGGAACAGGCGGCTCGTCGAGGGCGCGCGTGCCGGCGTGCCGTTGGCCGAGTGCGACGGTCCGGCGCTGCTGGGGCCTGCGACGGCGGATGCGCCAGACGGCACGCGCGGCACGCAGATGAGCAGCTCGCGCGCCCTGATGCTCGTATCAGCAAGGCGCTCGCTGGCGCACGCCCTGTGCACTCACCAGGAGGCGGCAGCGCTGAGGCCGCGCTCGGAGAGCTCGTGTGCAGCCCTGCGCAGCGCATTGCGCGCCTCGGCGGGGCCCGAGTCGGGAAAGGAGTAGCGCACCTCGAAGAGCGAGTTGGCCGACATGGTGCCGCGCAGCCGAAGCGCTGTTAGCCCGCGACGAGGGAGGATGTGGTGGTGAGGCAGGCTTGATTGATGATGGCCTGCCGCCGCGGGGCGGCGGCGCACGCCTCTCGTGCGGGAGGCGTGTGTTGCTCTCGACGCGCTCCACTTTACGCGTCCTGCAAGACGCGCTTCCGGGCGGCGTGCGGCGGCGCAGCACCAGTTCCACCTTCTCGACCGCTGCACCCTCTCATACCCTCGCCGGCACCCCACCGGCCAAGCCGCCGCACGCCAGCATGGACCCGCTCTCCAAGCTCAAGGCCAAGTTCGCGCCGCCCTCGTTCCTCAAGCGGCCCGCCTCGCGCTCCTCGGGCCTCGCCGCCGCCGCGTCGCCGGCCAAGCGCGGCCGCACCTCGGCCTCGCCGCACAGCCCCGAGCCCGACGAGGACGTCGACAATGCCATCTTCGCCGCCAACCACGGCGCGCGCGTCGTGAGCCGCAAGCAGGCGCCGCCGCCCGCGCGCGAGCCGGCCACGCCCGACCAGCCGCGCAGCCGCGCCGCAGGCTCCTCGGCCGGGCGCTCTGCAGCGAGCGCCTCCTCGAGCCGCCGCGTCGTGACGCCGGCCAGCCGCCGTGACGAGCCCATGGACGAGGACGAGGACGAGCTGTCCGATGGGCCCGTGCAGCCGGCGCGACGCCCGCTGTCTAAGTCCTGCGCCACGCCGTCCAAGGGCCCCTCGCGCGAGCACATCCTGCGGCAGAACGAGACCATTGCTGGCGCGGACCGCTACTACCTGTGCTACTGGAGGAAGCCGCAGGGCAGAAAGCACAAGACGTGGGACGGTGACGCGGTGCTGATCGTGAAGGGCGGCGGGAAGTGCACGCTACGCTGCACGCAGTCGTTCAGAGAGTGAGTGCTTGCCGCACACCTGCGCCGCCCTCGTGCTTAGCGTGACGTGCTGCAGCCTGGCGACGGACGCCAAGCTCAATGCCACGCACGTTGGAGCCGGTGATGAGCTCGTTGTTGGCGGCAAAGAAGTGAGTGGGCTCGCAGAGCGCCTGCGTGTTCCTGCATGACTGACCACCGCTGTCCTCAGATCGAAGTCAGTGTGGAGCCAGGTGTATGCGCCGCAGGGATGCTGATCCCTTGTGCAGATCGACACGGAGATCTCTGCCTCAGCATACTACAGCGGCTGCAACGGCAAGGGCTTCACTGATGCGCCGTCCAAGACGAGCAGCTCAGTAAGCGGAGCGCGTGCCGTCAGTCTCGCTGCCGCGCCGACCAACAGCTTCTATGGTGAGCCAGCCGTGCACTCTGCGCTACTGCCAGCTGACTCCGCCTCTGCAGCGAAGCCGCTGCCCAAGCCGGTGCTCCAGAGCAAGCCAGTGCAGCAGGCGGCACGCACACCGCGCGCCGCCGAGAAGGCGCGTGCGGTGCCCACGCCAAACAAGGCCGTTGCGAGCGCGGGCCGCGGGCCTAGCGGTCTCGCCAACCCCGGCCAGGGCAAGGAGCCGCATCCTCGGTGAGGGTTCCGACGCTGGCATGCTCAACCGTACGCTCATACGCGCGCGCCAGCTATGACCCTCTGGCGCCCGGAGCGATTGTGATGAAGCGTCCAGACAAGGCGCACCAGAAGAAGTTCAATCGCCGGTACGTCGGAGCGATGTACAGCTCGCGACCTTTCTGACAAGCGCGTGCCTGCAGCGGTCTGCCTGTCGTAGACGTCGTCGTGGAGCCAACACTCGCCTCTGCGCTGCGCCCGCACCAAGTCGAGGGCGTAAAGTGGCTGTACGAGAAGGTGATGGGCATGAATGCGGGCACGTCAGAGGACGATGGCATGGGCGCAATCCTCGCAGACGAGATGGGCCTGGGCAAGACGCTGCAGACGATCGCGCTGCTCCACACGATGCTCAGTGAGTCGTGCGCTGTCAACGAAGCGAGGGTCAGTGATTGACACGCATGCAGAGCAAGACTGCTACTACACGGCGCAGCCGCACGCCATCGAGCGTGCCGTCATTGTCTGTCCCTTGTCGCTGACGACGGTGAGTCGTGTCGGAGGCTCCCGTGATGCGCCATTTGATACGGCCTGCAGAACTGGAAGCGCGAGTTTCGCAAATGGCTTGGGTGAGCAGCCGCGCTATGATCCCAGTGCGGCAGCATCGCTGACTTGATGCTCTCAGCACATCGGGCCTGAGCGTGCTGTGCGTCGACAGCAACGAGTCGAACAAAGTCGAGCGCTTCCTGTACTCGACGACGTACCAGGTGCTCATCATCGGCTACGAAAAGGTCAGTCCCTCGCGCAACTAGCTTGAGCTCGGCGCTGACCAGCGCACGCACAGCTGCGCACCTGTGTCAAGCTGCTCGCTGATGCGCAGCCACCGATTGGGCTCATCGTGTGCGACGAAGGTGAGAGCCGCCGCCTCGGCTCATGCGCTTCGCTGCTGACCCTGTTGCCAGGCCATCGCCTCAAGTCGCGCGACGCCAAGACGACAAAGATGTTCGCAGCGCTCAGCACGCCGCGCCGCATCATTCTGTCCGGCACGCCCATCCAGGTGAGGCAGCTCGCGCGAGTTCGAGGGTGTGGCACTCGCTGACCGCTCTGCAGAACGATCTGTCTGAGTTCTACGCGATGGTGAGAAGCTACGCTGCCTGCGCTGCCTAGCCCCAGCTCAGCCCTTCGCCACAGATCGACTTCGTCAACCCGGGCCTTCTCGGCGACTATGCGACGTTCAAGAAGGTCTTCGAGGACCCGATCGTCAAGAGCCGCGTGCAGCATGCGCGCAAGGACGCGCAGGAGCTCGGCCGCGTGCGCACCGAGAGCTTGAGCAAGGTGACCAAGAGCATGATCCTGCGGCGTCCTGCCAGCCTGCTCGACCAGTACCTGCAGCCCAAGTGCGAGCAGGTCGTCTTCTGCGCGCCGACGCAGCTGCAGCTGGACATCTACGGGCGCGTGCTGGGCTCCGACGAGGTCTCGGACGTGCTGCGCGGCGCCCACAGCGGCGCCTCGTCGCTGCCGCTCATCGGCGTGCTGCGCAAGCTGTGCAACTCGCCCGAGCTGCTTCTCAAGGACATCGACCCGCGCAACAAGGATCAGGATGCGAGCATGACCGCGACGCTGCTCAGCGGCGCTCATCATCTCTTTCCCACGAACCGCCAGCCGGGCCAGGTCGAGCTCAGCGGTGAGTGCGCAGTCAGTGACGCCTGTTCTGTAGCTCACACTACTCACCCACACAGGCAAGCTCATGACGCTGCTGAAGATGCTGAAGCGCATCCGCGACGAGACCGATGACAAGGTCGTGCTCGTGTCCAACTTCACAGCCACGCTCGACGTCGTCGAGGCTATGTGCCGCCGCAACCGCTTCACTACGCTGCGTCTCGACGGCTCCACCAAGCAGGACGACCGCATGGACATCGTCAGCGAGTTCAACCGCGGCAATGCGCGCTCGTCGTTCGTCTTTCTGCTCAGCACCAAGACGGGCGGCCAGGGCTTGAACCTGATTGGCGCGAACCGCCTGGTGCTGATCGACAGCGACTGGAACCCGAGTGTGGACAAGCAGGCGATGGCGCGCATCGTGAGTTGCTGAGGTGCAAGTCATGCCAGACCTCGCTGACCCGGGGCCCTCCGCAGCATCGCGACGGACAGAAGAAGCGCTGCTACATCTACCGCCTGCTGCTCGCTGGCACCATGGACGAGAAGATCTACCAGCGCCAGATCAGCAAGATCGGCCTGAGCGACTCGCTGATGGTGCGTGTCGCACAGTCGCACCGCTGGCGCCTTGCTCACTTTCTTTCGCCTGCAGGAGGGCGGCAACGCGTCGTCCAAGGCCTCCGACTCCTTCTCGCTGGAAGATGTGAGTGCAATGGCACTTGCGCTCTTTATCCCTGCTCATCACCCACCACCAGCTGCGCGACATCTTCTCGCTCCACTGCGACACCCCGTGCGTCTCTCACGACGCGATGCGCTGCACGTGCGGCGGCAATGGCATCGCCGGAGCGGGACGAGGCACTCTGGACGCCGACGAATACCAGCCGCAGAACAGCGGTCCCGGCGGCTTCGTATCCGCCACGCAGCAGGCCACGCAGCAGGAGCAGCAGGTGAGCGCGCCGCTAGTACGGCTGCAGTGAGGGCCTGAGCTGACTCTCTTGCCTCCAGCTCGTTCGCGACAGCCGCAGCAAGCTCGCAGCGCTGCACGAGTGGGGCCACTTCGACTGCTCCGACACATCGCTCGGCTTCGCTGCCCAGCTCACCGACACGGTCTTGCGCGACCTGATCCTCACGCAGCAGGGCGCCAAGAAGCCTGCTGCGCCGCCTCAGCAGGCGCGCGTCGCGAGCCCGGCCGAAGAAGTTACGCCGTTGACTGCGCCCGCCAAGTCAGCTGCCGCGGGCAGCAGCCTGCTGTCGATGCTCAGCTTCGACGCTTTGCAAGCGGCACAGGAGGAGGAGGCCAGAAAGGCAGCGATGGAGCAGGCACAGCGCGAGGCCGTCGTGTGCAAGGCGCCGTCACGCAAGGCAACGCGCGACATGCGCGGCGGCCGCGTGGCTCCGCCGCCCGACTGTGCCATCAGTGTCTCGGAGGCTCGCATCGCCATAAAGGCTGAGCCGGACGACGGCACGGTGGCAGCAGAAGAGGACGAGCTGCGCCTGCCTGTCGCAGGCTCTCACGTGCTGCCCGAGCCGGCCGCACCTGGCGCGCCGCCCCGCGAGGAGAGCGCAGAGAGCGACCGCTACGGCCTGCACGGCCGCGCCTTTGACATCAAGCAACACTCGCCCGGCGACATCCTCTTCGTCTACACCAAGACGTCGGGCAGTCCCGCCGTCGTGCCGGTGCTTCCGTCCGTGGCCGAGTCGGCGGAGGCATCGCCGGACGCCGAGACGCCGGCGGCCGGCGTCGGCAGCGACGACGAGTGATGCGGCGCTCCCGATACCTACACATTACCAGCACAGCACCTTGCACCCGCACGCACCTGTAACACCACCCAGCCAACGACGTGTCACCCTCACACCTGCCTCGATCGAGTGACGCTTTATGGTTGCAGCGAGCCGGAGTGTTGTACAGCAGGTATGACATGCGGAGAAGGCCGGCGGGAAGCATACGGCACGCATCAGCCTCAGGGCTGGCGCATGTAGAAGACCTCGACGAGAACTGCGCAGGGATTTCAGCGGCAGGCAGGCACGGCACGCTCCAAAACACGCACTGTTCGTGCACATGATGGCGGCGTACGTGGCGATGAGCGTGTAGCCGAGGCCGCGCGACAGCAGAAAGCCGTTCATGGGCACGGCGACGAGCGTGCCGAGGAGGATGAGCAGCAGGCCGAGCCCGGAGACGAGGAGCGTGGGCGAAAAGTCGATGTGGTACACGCCGCCGTCGACCTGCGGGATGTGCGACGTCGACGAGCCGGAGAGCAGGTACGTGCCCGAGATGCCGATGCCGAGCAGCAGGTTTAGCAGCGGGCCCGCGAAGCACGCCGAGATCTGGCCAAGGGTCAGCAGATGCTTGGCGAGGCAGCGCGCACAGACTCACAGCCATGACAGGGTGGCCCATCCGTGCGATCGTCACATTGGCGACGAGGTCGCCCAGCGAGTTGCCCATCGCAAACACCGTCAGGCCGAGGATCGCGTCCGAGAGGCCGCAGATGAGGCCGATGGTCTGCAGGATGCTCACGACCTCGTCGACGATCGTCATGATCCACATGACCGACACGAGGAAGCCGAGCGAGCAGCGCGCCATGCCGGCCGCAAGCGTCGCCTTGTGCGAGTACCAGGCGCCGCCGCGGGCACGGGCGCGCAGGCCGGCTGCCAGCACCAGCGCGCCGAGAACGAGGCCCGCGAGCAGCGCCACGAGCACCTTCCAGCCCGAGCCAGACTCGTGCGGGTCCGTCAGCGCCCAGACGACAAAGGGCGGCGAGAAGGCGCACTGCGCCACGCTCTGCAGCAGCGGCGCGCCCGTCGCGGGCGCGCTGTGCGAGTCGACCGAGGCGCAGTCGTCGCACTGCTCCGCTTGCTGGCCGGGCGCCGCGGGCTCGTCGAGCGTCATGGTGTGCACCGAGAGCGAGTCGCTGCTGGGCAGGTGCCGCAGCGCGGCGGCCACGCCGAGGTCGCGCTGCGCATTGTGCTGGCGGTCACGCGCGGCCCAGGGGTCCGAGTCGGGCGTGCTGGGGCCGAGCTGGACGATTGGGCCCTCCGCTTCCTCCTCGCTGCTCACTTCGGCGTGCGCCGTGAGCAGGCGCTCCTCGCCCTCGAGCCGCACCGCGCCGCCCGGCAGCTGCTCGGGCATGGCGATGGCGCGCGCCTCGGCGTCGTCGTCGACGACGGGCAGTGTGAGGTTGAGCAGCAGCAGCGCGGGTGCCGTGACGACCGACACGAAGAGGCCGAGCCACGACTTGTCCTTGAAGTGCCGCAGCGACGGGAAGAGCGCGCGGCGCAGCGGGCGCGTAAACTCGCGGTGCAGCTCGAGCGCGCGCTGAGTGCGCGAAGGCTTGGCAAGTGAGCTGACTGAGGCGCGGCGCCGAGCCTTGAAGTCATCGTCTTCCGGGTTCGCGGCAGAGATGTGAATGGAGGGCACTGGCGAGTGGTTGCGGCTGCTCGAGTCGCCGACGGACGCCGGCGGTGCTAGCCGCGTGTCGAGGCGAGACAGCGCAGGCACCGTGCGGGTCGCGTCAGCGCCGAGCGGCATCGTCGATGGCGGCAGCAGCAGCTCGTCGTCGCACGCGTCGCCTGGCCCGTGTTCCCGCCACGGGTCATCGACTGGCGCAGGCACTGCTTCCCGTCCGCGCGGCGCCTGCCGCACAGTCAGGCTGCTCCATCCGCCCGACGTCGCGTCGTCGCCGCCGAGATCCGGCACCGCCGAGTGGCTGCGCGCCAGCTTGGGCTTGCTGCTCGCGCCCGTGGAGTTGGAGCGGTTGCGCCCGGGCGCGGAGAAGCTCTGCGCCGAGGCGCTCGGCTCGAGCGCGCTCATCGGTCCGGCGCCGACGCTAACGCCACGCTTGTGCGTGTGGCGTGGGCGCCCATGCGCGTGGGCAGGGTGCGGCAGGAAGCGCTCCGGGTCGCGCGCCGCAAAGACCTCGGCGCTGCGGTCGGCCGTGCTCTCGAGCTGCAGGCTGCGCACCACGTCGCGGAACTCGACGGCGCCGAGCAGCGAGTGGCGCGCCACGACGCCGCTGCGGAAGCGCGTCTGCGAGCGCACCAGGCTCGCGCGTCCGCCGCTCGGCGTCGTCGCTGGCGACACGGCGCCCAGACGCGGCGAGGGCGGCGAGGAGATGGGCCGTCCCGCCTGGTCGGCCCAGATGTCGATGGGATTGACGTCTGGGTCGTACTCGCTGGGACTGACGGGCGACAGGTACGGCGAGTTGCCGGCGGCGCCCGGCACGGCCAGCAGGCCGCCCTGCGTCGAGGCGCGCTCCACGTCGCCCAGCGACGGCTCGTCCTGGTACGGCGAGCCGGCGCGCGAGTTCGTGTACTCGCCGCGCGCGGCGGCGATGGCCATGCGCCGCCGCCGCCGCCGTTCCTGCACCCAGCTGCCGATGATGACCGTCGTCGCGTAGCAGACGTACAGCGCCACGAGGCTGAGGCACTCGGCGAAGCGCAGGTGGCCGTCGAAGAGGAACGCCAGCGTCATCGCCACGGCCACCGTGAAGAAGCCGACGTCGCGCAGGAACGGGTAGGCCTTGACGTGGAACGGCGCGATGAGCATCATGCTGCCGCTGATGACCGACACGATGAACGACGCGGCGCCGATGAGCTCGCCGATGGCCAGCGAGCCCGAGCCGGTCTTCATGGCGCCGAACGTGGAGAAGACGTCTGGGCTGCCGTTGCCGAACGCGAGGAACGTCACGCCGGCCTGCAAGAGGGGGTCAGGTCTATATACCCTGATACACCATGCGGCGGTCGTGCGCATACATGCTGCCACGAGCGCCATGTTCCGCGCAGACAGCATGCCGCGGGTGAACAGCATGCGAGCAGACACCCTGCCACACGAATACGTCCCGCCACAGCATACGCTTCACCACCGCCCGCTCTCACTCACCGTGCTCTCATTCAAGCCCAGCCGGCTCGCCAGCGTGCTGAGGTTGGGGCAGAAGAAGTCGCTCGCCACGACGCCGACCCAGCTGAAGAGGAAGAGCATCCAGAGCACGATCGTCGCCAGCGCCAGCCCACGCTGCAGCGCTACGCCGGCGGGCAAAGGCGGGCCGTCCTTGCCGTGCCGCGGCGCCGTGCTGCCGTGTCGTGAGTGCGTCGGCGGCCGCTCGGCGCCATCAGGGAGTGGCTCGTCCGCGTGACGATGCGAGGAAGTCTCTGCGCCGTGCGCCAGTAGTGGCCCAGCCAGTGCGTCCTTGCCCGCCTCGGCCGTCTCGTTGCCCGCCGGGCGCACGCCGGCGCAGTAGTAGAAGCGCAGGTAGTCCAGCCGCCCGCTGGGCGGGCAGAAGGCCGTGACGTGTGCGCAGAGCTCGTCGGCGGGCGCGAGGATGGGCAGCGGGAAGCACTGCTCCTCGTGCTTCGCCAGTGGCTCCACCAGCGAGCGAGCGTGCAGCGTGGCGTTGCCGAGGCCGTCGAGCGCGTCGAGCGGCGCGCCGGGCCAGCGTGCGAGCAGCTGTGGCAGCTCGCGGCGCCGCAGAGGATGCGCCTCTGCCTGGCTGCCGAGCGCCTCGAGGCGCTGCGTGCCGCGCCAGCACGCCAGCTGCACGACGGCCACGAGCGCGAGGAGCGCCCAGGCCGAGGAGCGCGCCATGTGGCCGTGGCGGGTGAGAGGCGAGGGGTGGGGAGAGGTGTGCGTGTGCGATGCGAGAGCGGTGGATGTGGGTGAGAGGCACGCGCCGCCGCGGCTGCGAGCGAGGAGCTGTCCGCTCCACCGCGCATAGATGCGCGGGAGCGTCATGCAGGTGGCCCGCCGGTGCGGCTGCGCTGCCGTGCCGCCGGGCGCCTCCGCCTCTGGACCCTCGCGCTCGCTTCATGCGCCGCACGCCAATGCGCGCAGCACGGCACGCTGCTGGCTGCAACAGTGGCGAGCAAGTCTGAAGACGCCCCGCCTCGGCTCAGGAGACGATGTGGCGGCTCGGTGGCGCATGGCACACAGCACCGCCCACTCAACGCCCGCTCGCTGCGCCACATGCTGCGCGATGATCTGCAGGCGTAGCTTGCGCAGCAGCACAGCCTCGCGGGTCGCCCTCATGCATGCTGAGAGCCTTCCCACCCACTCGCCGTCATTCGGCATCTTCGCCAGCCATAGCACAGCACAGACGCAGAGGTATCGCGGATGACATCGTTTGCTGTGTCGCCTCTGTAACCTTTACTGCTGCGCGAAGCGGCGCGCAAACTCGATGAGGCTGCGCGTCGGGCGCCCCGTCATGAGGCTGTTCTGGTACGCCACCGGGTGCTTGCGCTCCATCGTGCCGGCCTGGCGGGGGTTTAGCGACGTGAACGGAGGGGGGAACAGGCATGCGTCAGTGCAGGCACAGCAGTGCTAGTGAGGCACGCGAGTCGCCGCGCTACGCACAATGTCCAGGTGGGCGTAGCGCACCGTCGCCTTGCCCGCGTCGCTGCCGTCGGCCAGCTTGCTGCGGTCCTCGAGGCCTCTGCGGGAAAGCGAGGAGGGGTCAGCGCGGTGCTTCGCAGGCATGCAGCGGTGCTCGATGACGGGCAGAAGGGCTGGCGCGGGTGCCTGGTGCCGCTTCTGCCTGGTGCCGCGGCTGCATGGTGGCACTTCTTCCACCTGCCCTGGCGTCTGCCACCTGCTGTCGCGTCTGCAACCCATCGCCTCCACCACGTTGTGTTGCGTCTGCCACTGATGCCTCTTCCACGCGGGCCTCTTGCGCCTGCACTCACTCGACAAAGTCCTGCAGGAACAGCGCGGCGCTCGCCGAGCCGGCCGGGCGGCCGACGTTGACGAGGTCCGAGATGCTGTTGGTGATGTACGGGCGGAACTTTTCGCACAGCGGCATGCGCCAGAACTGGTCGCCCTCCGTCTCGCCCGCGCGCTTGATCTCCTGCCACAGCGTCTCGTCCTGCACGAAGGCGCCCGAGTACTCGTGTCCCAGCGCGTGCAGAATGGCGCCCGTGAGCGTCGCAACGTCGATGAGCGTGTGCGGCTTGTACTTGCGCGACACGTACGTGAGCGCGTCGGCGAGGATGAGGCGGCTGTGCGGAGCGAGGCATCAGCCCGATGCGGCAGAGCGCCGGGTGTGCGCAAGGGCGACGTCGCACCGGCGCACACACGCAAGTGCGGTGCGGCACCAGATCCGCAACTCCGGCGCTGCTGCACCGCCGGGCTGACTCTCGCCCTCTGCACTGCATGGCGCAGACCCTCGCACCGCACTGCAAGGCATGTTCTTGACTCACCCCTCAGCATCCGTGTTGTCCACCTCGACGCTGAGGCCGTTCATGGCGCGCACAATGTCGCCCGGCTTTGTCGCCTTGCCGCTCGGCATGTTCTCCACCAGCGGCGTCACGCAGACGATGTTGAGCGGCAGCGCGAGCTGTGCGGCAGCCCACGTCGTCGACACGCACGCCGCGGCGCCGCCCATGTCGGCGACCATGAGCTTCATGCCGAGGCCGGGCTTGAGGCTGGGACAAGGGGTCAGCACAAAGGTGCAGCAGAGCGACGCCTGCTGCACAGCCGGGCAGCACCATGCTGCCTGCTGCACAGCTCAGCCTGCTCGACCCACCTGATGCCGCCCGAGTCGAAGCACACGCCCTTGCCCACAAACGCCAGCGTCGGCGCACCGGGCGCGCCGCCGTTGTAGCGCACCTCGAGCATCTTGGCCGGCTCGTCGGTGCCGGCGGTGACGGAGAGGAAGCAGCCCATGCCCTTCTCCTTGGCCCACGCCTCGTCGTGCACCTCAATCTCGACGTTCGACAGCGCGCCGAGCTTGGCCTGCACGCGCTCGCAGAAGAGCGTCGGCGTGAGGAGGCTGCGGACGGGTCAGCTACGATGCTGCAGCGCGGCACCACTGCAGACATGCAGCTGCTCTCACTCACTTGGCGGGCGTCTCCATGAGCTCGCGCGCCCAGTTCTGCGCCTCGGCATACACGAGGCCGCTCTCGAAGCCAAGCTCGCCCTTCTGCACCTGCTGCTGCTCGAGCGACACGAGGCTGATGTGCCTGCCGCCCTGCAGCTCCTTGGGCGCGTCCATGGCGGCGTTGACGTCGCCGCCCTTGGTGCGGAAGTGGTTGACGGTCCACAGCGCGAGGCCGGCGCCGACGGCGGCGCTGTGCGCGTCGCCCATGGCGTCGACGGCGATGGTGCGCTTCGCCAGCGCCTCCTTGGGTGCATCCTTGGCGGGCAGGTCGCGCAGCGCACGCGCCGCCGCCGCTGCGGCGCGGCGCACGCGCTCGGCACGCTCGTTGGCGAGGAAGACGTCGGCGGCCGGCAGCGCATCGGCGCCCACACTGGGCGCAGCGTGCTGCTTGCCCAGCGACACGGCGGCGACGAGCGGCTCGGCGGCGCTGCGCGGGTGCAGCACGCGCAGCTGGCCGGCCTTTGCGGCGTCGCCGCGCGCCAGGGCAAAGGCCTCGGCGACGTGCGCGGGGGCGGCGGCACTGACGTCGCCTGCGGGCGACACGGCGACGATGAGGGCGTCGGGCTGCGAGGACATGGTGCGGCGGGGTGTGAGGGTGAGGGTGCGGGACAGGAGGCGTCCGCGGGCGAGCATGGAGGTGCGAGGCGCAGAGACGCGGCGCAGGTGGTTGCCAGCAGCGCAGCCTATCTCCAGCACAAGGAAGGTCCATGCGCGCGGCGCACGGCACCACGGCTCGCCTGCGCGCTGGGCCGCCGGCACATCGCCGTCTTAGCTTGTCGGCCGCGGGGCCGAGCGCGCCGCGCGCGCGCGCGCGCGCGGCGGGATGCCCGCCGCTCCGGCACTCGGCGCGCCGCCGCTGCATGCTGAAGAGGGTGAGGCGCGCGACGCGTCGCCGTCGTCCAGAAAGGGCATCGCGCCGCCCAGATTGGTGTTGAGCGGGCGCGCTGCTGCGCTGCCTGCTGCTGTGCTGTATGCCGATGTGCCAGCTCTTGCTGCCCTCGCACCTCCTGTGCGAGGGCACCCTTCTTCTGACGCTGCGCGCTGCGCCTGGCTGCATCTGGCGCTGGCCGCCGCTGCGCCCTCTCGCCATCGCCACCACCACCACCAGCCGTCTCCCACCGGCCATCTTCAAGCCCCACCTCCACCTCTGCCGCACTCACTTGCGCATCGTCATGTCCCGCCCTGTGGGCACCATCGACGGCGAGAAGAGCCGCGAGCAGGAGCTCGAGGCGCAGCTCGCGCACGTCGAGGAGCAGCTGGCGCTCGAGACGCGCCGCTCGGCCGAGCAGGCGGCTGCCATTCGCGATCTCAGCCAGACCGTCAAGATGCAGAGCGACATCATCGAGATGATTCGTGCGGCACCGGCGCCCATGGAGGTGGACGAGGTGCTCCGTAAGTGCCAGCGTGCCTCGACGCGCCCACGCAGCAGGAGCATTCGCGCTCACCGTCGCTCTTGCCAGATGCGGTGCCTTCGCTGGCGGACCTGAAGTACATGAAGGTGTGCGCCGGCCTGTACTCGTGCGAGCGCCTCTTGCAGAAGGCCGGCGTGGGCCTCGAGTGGGCCAAGCCTCTCGAGCAGGACCGCCGCCGGCGCTTCGACGCCGCCTGGCAGAGCCATCCCGAGCTGAGCAGCCGTGCGTCGCCTCGGCGCCGGTGCCGCGGTCCTCTGCTTCGCTGACTCCCCACACCGAGCCAGCGCAGCGCATGGTTCTCCTCCAGTTTGGCGACTATCGTGCCCTGGACGTCGACCGCAACCCCATCGTGCGCGCACGACTTATGCAGCCGCCAATGACAAGCAAGTCCCGCGATTCGTAACCTGCCGGTCTCTCTCCTCTCTTGCAACACCGCCGTCTTCGACTGTCCCTGCACTGTCCTTCTCTGCCATGTGCCTCTACATCCCACTCCGTCTCGCTCCTCCCTTCGCCTCGTCATCACGTCACGTTCTCCTCTCTGATGCGCGCTTCCTCGAGCTGGCGGCCGGGGCCAACGCGGCGTGAGTAGGCGGAGACCGGTGCACGACGTGTGCGCGGCCCGTGGGCTCTTGCTGACGCCGCGATCCCAACTACTACAGTCTCCTCAGATTCTCCGAGCTCGTCGCCATCGGCTCGCAATTGTCATCCTCACTTCGAGTGCGTAGACATGCGTGCGATGCTCGCGTGCCTGCTGGGCTTGACACTGATGATCTGCCCACACAGCCGCAGCTGTGTCAAGGCTCTCTCACCCGTTTCGCACCCATCATTACCCTTCAAAGTGCCTAGACGATGCTTGTATGCTCCTTGCATCGGTGCTGACGCCGCTTCCGCTTCTAGATGCAGCCACCACCGCTGCCGCCTCAAGACTCCCTCTACTTTCTCATCCCCGACCGTCCCACCTGTCTCGCACTTCCCACCACGCCTTCTACCGTCGCGAACCCACTACTGTCTCAGCTATGACGCACACGCCACATCACGCATCACGCGAGCTGCTGTCTCAATCCACACGCCTCTCTGTGCGCGCGAGTGAGGGTGAGAGCTGACATGGAATTGCCACTTCTCGGAGAGCGGCGAGTTGCGGCTCGGAAAAGGACGGGCCGACGTCTGAGCGTCGAGGCGCTGCGTCGTGCTTTACTTCTGACGGCTGCGCTTGGCGACAGCCTCGTCGTCCTGCTTGCCGGGCGCGTGCTCGCGCTTCAGGCTTGCGGCCTGCTCGCCTGCAGGCGGTCTGCTCCACTTCTCGATGAAGCGCTCGGCGTCGCGGCGCTCGTCCTCATCGAGGGCAGCGACCAGCATAGGGTCGGCGAGCACCGGACGGTGGGAGAGTGCATCAGTGCGCGCTTGCACAGGCCTGAGAATGCCACGCCTCGGTGGGCGGCGCTGCCCTGTCGACGTCACAAGCAGAATCCACCGCCGCGTGCTTCTGCAGCCACACACTGCGCGTGGCCACAGATGGAAGGAAGCATGCACCTACGGCACTGGTACTGCACTCTGCCACGCACGCACCCAGCGAGAGGTGTGATGCTGCTGCTGCTCACCATCTTGTAGTTGCGGAACTTGGCCGCGCCCCACGAGGCATCGCGGGGACCATGCGGGCCGATGACGTCCATGCTCGGAGAGGCAGAAGAGAGAGAGAGACTTTGTGTGCAGTAGGTGGAGGCGCAGCTGATGAGGTGGTGGTGGTGAGGAAGCAGCGTCGCACGGCATGCGGCAACGAGAGCAAGCGTCGGCTCTGCCTGTGCCAGGCCAGAGGAGGCCCGAGCGCGCTGAGCAAGGGTGTGATGGCGGCTGGCTGACATCGCGTTCCCAGGCCACGCGTTGCCGTCACACATCACCGCGTGTGGCGTGGGAGCAGCCTGCGAGGCTTGGGCCGCGCCGCAGCAGCGCGCGGCGCGTCGCCTCGGCTCGGAGGCCAGTCACAGCAGAGCAGATATGCGTGAATCGTGAATTGGGATTGCCCGGGAAGTACATCGCAGCAGAAACGTGACAGGAGGGAGGGACTGATGGCAGAGCAAAGCGGCCGAAAGGGGGAGAGAGAAGGCGAGAAGGCGTTTTGGCGCGGCGCGCGTCTAGGCCGTGCGCGTGGCGGTCTGCGGCTTGGCCAGGTCGAGGTCCTTGCCGTCGTCCGAGGGCGTCTGCGGCGACTCGCCGCGGTAGTTGAGGCCCTCGCCGCCGGCGTAGAGCTCCTCCTTCTGGGCACGCAGGGCGCGCACACGCTTGTTGGCGGTGAGGCCCATCTTGTACCACGGGCCGTTGAAGAGCTCGTCCATGCTGAGAAAGCGGAGGTCAGTGCTGCGCTCTGAAGCGCGTCGAAGTGCGGCTACTCACTCCTCGAGGGCAATGCCGGCCGTCTCCGGGAGCAGGACGACCACGAGGATGATCATGAGGAGGCAGACCAGCGGGAAGAAGAAGACGAAAGTGGCCCAGCGGTTGAAGGCAACCATCATCGGAGGGAACGAGCGCGAGGCGCCGTACTGGCCTGTGGGTGGAAGGAGGTGTTAGGAACGTGTCTGGGGACGTCTGGAAGCCGCCAACACTTTCACAAAAAGTGGAACGCTGAATAGGAGAGGCGTTAGCAGTGATTCCTGGTAGTTCTGGAGGCTCCGGAGGCTCTGGGCAGCCTCCGGGGCATCAGACGCTACTCACCCATGACAACCGACGTGGCGAGCGCACGGCACTGCATGCCGAAGATCTCCGTGCCGTAGACGTACTGGACGGCGTTGACACCGAGCGACCAGGCGACACCGGAGAGGTAGATGGCGGCGAGGGCGAGGCGGGCGAAGGCCTGGTCGCCGGCCGTCTCGTTGGCGGCGGTGACGGTCTTGTCGACGACGTTCTTCTTGATGAAGACACCGAGGATGATCGAGCAGATGGCCTGCATCGTCAGGCCCGTGAGCACGGAGCGCTTGCGGCCGAGCAGGTCGATGAGGAACACGGCGGCGGCAATCGACGAAATGAGCTTGATGATGCCGAACACCGCCGTGGAGAGCAGCTTGGTCTCGACCTTGGCGCCGTGGAGCGTGAAGGCGATGATGCGGGGAGCGTAGATGGTCATGTTGCCGCCGCCGGAGAACTGGCCGGCAACCTGGATCATGATGGCGAGGCCGAGGCGGAAGAGGTTGCTGCCGTTGCAGAAGAGGCTCTTGACGGCGCCCATGAAGCCGGCGGCCGTGGCCTCGCGCTCCTCGTGGATCTGGTCGGTGACACCGCTGAGCTCCTGGGCGAGGTAGGGGTGGTCGGCGGGCATCTGGCGCAGCCAGCAGAGCGCCTTGGTGCCCTCGTCGGTGCGGCCCTTCTTGAGCAGCCAGCGCGGCGACTCGACGCAGAAGAAGGAGCCGATGAAGAGAAGGCCGGCGAAGATGAAGTTGAGTGCCAGCGGGATGCGCCACTGCATGTTGGTGGCGGCCACGTTGCGCACGACGCCGTAGTTGGTGAAGTAGCCGAGCAGGATGCCGATGTACACCGAGCCGGAGTAGACGAGCACGGCGGCGCCGCGGATCGTCTTGGGCGCGATCTCGACGAGGTAGGTAGGCGAGTAGACGGGCATGGCGCCGATGCCGATGCCGGAAATGAAGCGGCCGACGTAGATCAGGGGAATGTTGGCGGCCGAGACGGTCCAGAGCAGGTTGCCGAGCAGCCAGATGGCGCACGAGATCTGCATCGAGCGCAGGCGGCCCCAGCGGTCGACGACGAGGAATGCGAGAAGCGAGCCGAGCACGCAGCCAATCTGGACCATTGAGACGATGTTGGCCTCCTCGTCCGAGCCCTCGTGGACGCCGTACGACTTCTTCCACGACGGCAGGTTGATCATGCCGGAGATGATGCCCTCATCGACTGCAGGGAGAGGTCAATGCTGTGCTGCAGAAGATGTGCTGCTGCTGCGCCACTCACGACCGCGCGCGGCGCCGACAAGACCAACGACGGCAACGGACAGGCCGAGGCGCCAGTTGAGAGCCTCGCTGGGCGTCTCCTTGAAGTGGGCGAAGGGAGTGGTGCTCTTCGTCATTGTGGGCGAGAGGAGGAGGGGGAGAGGGGAAGGGAGAGTTGAGGAGGATGCGGGGAGATGGGAGGACGAGGCAAAAGGGTCGCCTTTTATGTCTGCTGTGCCTCTCCGGGGTACCCCAGTCTTCTTTGCCAGGGAGGGTGCGGCGAGGAGAGTGGGGTGGTGCGGCGGCGAGGCACCAGGCGGCGCCTGCGCGGCCCAACGGGGCCCCACAGTGTGCAGGCGTGCCTGGGGCGAAGCAATGCGTTCTGCTCTGCTGCGCTACGCCTCTCTCTCCTCTCCCCGCAGTGCTTCGCTTCGCCCCTGCACTGTGGGGATCGAGCGAAAAGCGTTCCGGGTCAATCCGAATGCCAGGCGCACGCAGGCGCATGCAGGCGGCGCTGCACTGGGCTCAAAGTACGGCCGCGTGCAGGCGCCACAGCGACGAGCAGAGCAGCGTCGCAGGCGTTCCACTTCCAGCAGGGTCGCTGCCGGCGGTGCGCTGGGGCGGCGGCGGCGGCACATGGGCCCATGCCGCCCGCCCGCGGGGCCCCCGGTCCGTCTCGCCGCTGCTCCGCCACTCCGCTCGTCTCATGCGCAGGGCGCCAATGCCTGGCCCGGCGCCAGCACGCAGCAGCAGGAAAGCATGCAGCAGCGAGGTGCTGCATGCTGGTGCAGTGCGGCGGCGCGCGCTCTGCGGCCTGCAAGCCACGAGACTCGCACCGCGCGCGCGCGCACGAGCAAAAACGGTGCCCCGCTGCGCCCATCGCCGCCAAATGGCCTGACGCTCTGCATTTCGAGCGCACTCATGACGCTTCAAGTGTGCCTGTGTATTTTGCGCATCGCTGTGCTCGATTGATGGGCCGGCGCGAGTGCGCCAGCTGCGCGTGCAGGGGCATTTGCGGGGTGCGGGGTGCGCGGGGAGCTGCCACGTCGCCGCGTCCTCTCGCCGCGCGCGCCAGGGTCGCGTGCAGCCGGCGGCAGGGCAGCACTGCCGCAGGCAAGCAGCCGCCGGGCAGGCAGTGCGCGACACAGACGAGTCCGCTGCGTTGGCCGCACGCACGCTGCGTGCTGCTGCACGCCCGCGTGGCGCGCGGGAGGCGCAGCGGCAAGAGTAAGCGGCGGTCAGCTCGCAGAGCAGCTCGCCTGCCCTCGTGCACGAGAGGGGCACCTCGCTGGCCGCCTGTGTATGCCGCGCCTGCTGCTTTGGGCGGCGGCACTCAGGCCAGCAACGCCAGGCACCTCAGGGCGCGGCCCGGCGGCTGGATCTCTTGCGCTGCCTGCGCACCTCGCCACTTTGCGCCCCTCGACGGAGCGTTCCGGAAGGCGAGTGGCTGGCCGCAAACCGGTCCGGGACCGGCGGGGTTGCTGTGCTGCATGCGGGGCACCAATGTGGGCCCTGCGGCGGCCTCGCGCGCTGCCGCCGGGAGCGCGCATCTCGAGGCACCGCAGCGGTGCAGCACTGCGAGAGCAAGATGCGGCCTGTGGGCGCGCCAGACGCGCGGGAGATGCGCCTCGTTCAGCCGCATCGGCGAGAGCGCCGAGGCGCCGCCGGCTCCGCAGGCGCCGCCGCCGGGCACCGCAGCGGCAACTGCGCACCGCCCTCGCCGCCGCCGCGCCTGCTTTGCCCGTGCTTCCATCGGCCCTGGCGCTGGCTTCCACATTGTGCAACTCCGCTCATGCACGCGGGTCAACGAGGCAAGCATCGGCGCGGCGCGGCCAGCTGGGCGGGCGTGCGCGCAGCCGAGCAAGCCGCTCGTGCTCCCCGCGTCTCGCGCGCCTCGCCGCAACTTCTGCCGCCGTCTGCCCTGCTCCTCCAGCACCCCGGCGAGGCACCGACGCACCTCGCAAGCACGGTCCGGCGAGCCGCACCATCGCCGCATGGCGTTGCCAAGCCCTCCTCTCTGCCTCCCGGGCTTTCCTGCATGCACGCGTGCAGGCCGCCCCGTTGCAGCGCCGCCCGCACGAGAAACCTGGCTCGCCTCCTGTGCTCTCCTGCGGCGTGCATCCTTCTTCCGCATGCCTCAGCCACGGGATCAGCGCTTTTCCCCTGCGAGCCAACCACAGCGCGCGCATGGACCTACTCCTCCACTCCTCCGCGCTCCCAGGCTCGCAACGTAGCGCAGCACCGGAGCAGGCCGGATGCACGAGGCGCCGTGCGTGCATGGGCCGCTGCCACTCCGCCGCCGCCGCCTCGTGCCTCTTGCGTGCCAGGCCTTGCCCCAACAGCGCACGCGAGACCGCGGTGATGCGCCAGGAGGCGGCACGCGGACCGGCGGAGAGAGCGGAACGGCGGAGGCCACGGACCGCACGCTCCGCCGGTCGACGACGCCTCCATCGCGATCGCTCGACGTCGTGAGGGCACGCTGCCTGCTCCTTGCTGACAGCACGCAGGCACCGCCGCCATCACACGACGACGCAGGGACGCTGCACGCTGCTGCAGTGCAGTGCGTGGCCTGATGCTGCTGCTGCGACGCACGCTGCACGCTGCTGCACCACGACATGGCCTGAGAAGAAACGCACACGTCGTGACATCAAGATGCTTGCCCTCCTGAGACACATGCATGTACAGAGAGGCGACCGGGGCGCCCAAAACGCGGGGAACGCGGACTTGTCTGCTCTACGGGTAAAGGGGGCCGGTGACTCCGCAGTGAGGAGCCCCGGACGATGCGGGAGCGCCGCACCATGTTGGGGCCCCAGACTCGACGGCTGCGCACGGTCAGAACGGCTTCGCGATCGACGCACGTTCTGAGGAAGCGACCTGCTCGCAATCGCCGCCAGCGAGGCCACGCATCTCGTGCCGCTGCGCCGCCAGCGTCGACGACTCCTCGAGCAGCGCCGAGGGCCACAGCACGGCCCAGATGGCCACGGCGAGCAGCAGCGGCAGCGCATCGAGGAAGATGAGCCAGTGCTCGTTGGCCATGAGCTAGGAAGGATCGCACGTCAGCGCAAGGTGTATCTCGTGATGACACGTGACGACTCACGGGTCCGCCGTAGCCCTCGGACGCCTCGACGATGCGGAACACGGAGCGCACGAGGATCAGCACCGAGGCAATGTAGATGGCCAGCAGCAGACGCAGCGTCGGGTGCGAGGCGAAGAGGTTGCGAAAGGCAAAGACGCGGTCCAGCCGGCGCAGGCGGAAGTGCGCCGTGAGGGAGAGCACCGTGAAGATCAGGTACGACACGCCTGATGTGCGAGTCAGCGCCAGTAGAGGCAGTGCGGCTGTGTGCTGCAGAAATGCTCTCTGCTCACCTTGGAGGATCACGCCGACGAGGAAGATCTGGGCGAGGTCGTGTGAGCGCCAGGGGTGCGGGGGCCAAGCAGCACGGGTCGGCAAGCGTGTGACACGGCCTCACCTTGGTGCCCGTCTCGTGCATGTCGGTGGCCTGCATGCCGCCGCCGGCACACTGCACGAGAAAGGTAATGACATCGCTCCAGACGAAGAGGCGCCCGACGATGCGCGGCGGAATGGGTGAAAATTCAGAGCGCTGCCGCTTCTTGCCGCCCATGTCGATCGACTTGTCGATGGCGACGATGAGGCGGCCGTAGAGGATCTGGCAGGACGCAGAGAGCGTCAGTCGCGCATGCCTGGCCTGGGCCAGAGGGCGTGTGCAGCCACCACACCGCTCGCCATTGCGTTGCCCGCTCACATAGTTGAACGCCAGAAAGGCCGCGGGCGAGAGCACAATGAAGAGCTGCTGCACGGCATACAGCGGCGTGGAGCGCTGGTTGGTGCGCACGGGCAGGCGCAGCAGCCAGCCGAGCGCGGCAAAGAGGCCGCCGATGGGCAGGCAGAGCCCCCACTTGGCGCCGCTGCGGAAGATGTGGAAGAAGTGCACGGCGGCGAGCAGCAGGTAGGCGCCGCCGATGCCCACGGCCGCGCCGATGGTCGGCATGTAGATGAGCAGGCCCTCGGGGTCCAGCGCCGGCTCGGCGGCCACGAGGGGCGCCGAGAGGAGGAGCGCGCCGGCGAGCAGGCAGATGTGGCGCGGCATGGCGAGCGAGGATGTGGTGAGCAAAAGAGGGAGTACTTGACGGCCGTCGTCTTATAGCTCGAGGATCCCAGGCACTCAGGGGGCCGTGACGGCCTGGCTCGTGTGGCAGCGCACACTTGCGCGGCGCACGTCGCTTGATCACCGCGCGGTGCGCAGCGCAAGACACCGCCTCACGCACGCACCCGCCGTGCGGCGCACGTCATGCCAGGCACGGGCTGCGGCAGCCTCGCGCACAGCAGCATTCGACGCAACGGCTGCCCGGCAAGGAGGAGCCGGAGCATGGTTGCGGCAGGTGCGGCAGCGGGATGCGCGAAGGGGCGCAGAGGACGCCTGCGAGAGGGCGCTCCTCGGAAGTTGCACGCGCTCGGCGGTGCAGGCGCAACTTCCGCGGCTTCGTGTTGGACGCGCGTCTTTCCCGCGGCGACGACGCGTCGAGCGCGCCCTCTCGCGGCCGGCCTCAGCGTCAGTCTCGGGCCGGCTCGCAGCAGAGCATTCCCGCTGCCCTCGCTGTGGCGCCGCTATCGGGAGAGCAACACGGCCGGCCGAGATCCGCGCTGATCCTCGCCGAGGCTGGGTGCGTGCCTTGACACCCGAGGAGGCGCATCTCGGGCCGCAAATAGCCAGCTCCGGTCAGGCACACGTTTGCGGTAGCACAGCCTCGGCGCTCTGCGTTACGGCCGATCGGAGGATTCTGCACCTGTGCTGCGATTTCACCGCGCCGCCCAGCGTCCCACCTCCTCCTGCCCATCCTCGACGAGCACCCAGAGCGCATCGCGGCCACACACGATGTGCGCGTGCTGCGGCACGCGGCTCCACGCGCGCCGCATGCCCTGCGCCTCGAGCGGCTCATACGTGCGCAGCTCGACGGCGTCGGGCGTGAAGCGCGAGGCGAGCGCGAAGCTCGGGCGCGGCAGCGGCGGCCCGAGCCCGAGACGGCCAGACGGCGAGTTGAGGCCCCAGCTGTACAGCCGCCCGCTGGCCGAGAGCGCGGCGCAGTACTCGAGCCCGGCGCCGAGCGTGACGATGCGCTCGTGCGCGAGCGCGGGGATCTGCTGCAGCGTCGCGCTCGAGAGGCGCTCGGCACCGAGACCGAGGGCGCCAAAGCCGCAGGAGAAGACTCGTCCTTGGTCTGCAGCGTGCGAAGCGTGAGCGCGCGCCGATGCTGGACAGATGGCTTGACTCACCGTCGAGCACGAGCGTCCAGCTCCCGCCGCACTTGACATCCGCCACGCGCGCACCCTGCAGCGCCGCGTCCACGGCGTGCGTATACTCCCTCGGCGCCTCGATGCGGTCGACGAGCTCGCCGCTGAGCGCCTGACCGTACTCCGAGTTGCCCCAGCCCCATATCCGCGCGGCGCTCCACGCCACACTCGTGTCGCCGCCCGCCGCGACGCCGCGCAGCGTGTCGCCGCCCCAGAAGGGCGCGAGGGGCAGCAATGCCGGAGAGGAGAAGCGTACGTCGGGCCGCCCGAGCTGCCCGTCGGTGTTGACTGCCGCACGGGGGCATGAGCGTCGCGAGCGTCGCAGCATGCGTTCGACTCACCGCCAGTGCTGCGCACCTCCTGCCGCCCGTCAATGTCCAGCAGTGCCAGCGAGTGGTCGAGGCCCGTCGCAAGGCTCAACACGCGAGTCGGCGCCGCCGCCTCCTCGCCCGCATGCTGCAGGCGCTCGTCGGTCGCCTGCAGCGAGGCACGCCGCGGCGCCGACACGAGGGCCAGCTGCGGCTCGCCGCTGGCGCTCTGCGTGACGTGCTGGCCGAGCGCCAGCTGGCCGGACGTGTGGTCTGCGGCTGCGCATCAGCACGGCATTGCTGCCGTGGCCGCCGAGCAGACACTCACTGCCAAACGCAAAGAGGCTGTTGGGCGCTGCAGCATCCGTCAGGCCCAGCACACAGCATCACTCGGCCCTCACACTCACCGAGCTCGGCGGCGTGCGTCTTGGTGACGATCCAGCTGCTGCTGCCGCCGGCATGCACGGCGCGCACGCCGCCCTCGCCGTCGAAGCCCGGCGACACGAGCCCCCACGTGGCCTCGTGGCTGGTGTAGCCGAGACCGAGCTCGCCGTGCGTGTTGCGCCCGACGGCGACGACGCGGTGGCGCGCGTGCGGCACGCGCGTGGCCGCGTACTCGCCGAGCGCCGGCGCCGACGAGTCGTGTGTGGGCGCCGAGCTGCTGGGCAGCGTGCGGTACGCCAGGAGCGCGTGCGAGGGCGAGGCGGCGAGCGAGGTGAAGGAGATGCCCTGTGCGTCATGTCAGTGCCAGTATACCACATCGGATGCGCTCTCGACACACACCTGCTCGACGTCGCTCTGTGCGCCGAGCGAGAGGAGCCAGTCGCGCGGCACCTCGGCGAGCGCGGCGCTGGTGCGGTCGAGCACGGCGCCGGCCCAGAGGAGGCGCTGCACGCGGGCGCTGCGCGAGGTGGCGAAGGTGCGCCGGGCGGGTGCGACGGCGTGGCGCAGCGGTGCGCTGCTGCGCGGCAGCATGGCGTGCGGTATCCGGGCCATCGTGTGCGGTGAGAAGGACGGGCGCGGCTGCGGGGCGGGCGCGGGCGTGATGTGGTGGAGGTCGCGCGCGTCGGCGCAGCGCAGCGCCAGAGCGGCAGGCACAGCGCAGCCGCAGCCACCGCCGCGCCGCGCCGCGACGCGTAAAGAGCGCACCACGCGTGGCTCGGGCGACGGCCGGCGGCTGCGCGCTCCTTGCCTTCCAACCTCATCGCCACCGCACACCGCACACACACCCACATGCACATGGCGGCACCCGCGTCCTCTCGCGGCGCAGGTGCCGCGGCGGGCCGCAGCAGCGGCAGCAGCAGTGCCAGCGGCAGCACCACCACCCGCAGCGCGCCGCTGCGCCCGCCGCCGCCGCCGTCGCCCTCCTTCGCCGACCTGCTCGGCAGCGACCAGTCGCCCGGCACGCTGCAGCGCATCGTCGAGCGCTCCTTTGCCGCACCGCCGCTGAGACATAGCACCGCTCTGCAGGCCGGGCCGCCGCCGCGCCAGGCCAGCCCATCACTCGCTCGTCGCGCCGCGCCGCAGCCGGATGCGCCGAGCGTGCCCGCCGAGGAGGAAGAGGAGGGCGAGGAGGAAGAAGAGGAAGAGGACGATGACGACGACGAGCCCACGTCGTCGCCACTGGATGATGACGACGACGACGGCTCGGAGGGCGAGCCGGAAGACTTCTCCTGGGCGGCCGGCGGCTTCGACCTCAACGCCAGCATGCTCGACCTCTTCGGCGCCTCGTCTGCCGCCGCCTTGCAGCCGTCACGTCCGCCCGGCAGCGTGCCCGGCCTCGGTGCGCCCTCGCCGGCCTCGGCCTTTGCGGGCCGCACGCCCGCCGGCGCCACACCGGGCGGCACAGTGGCGCACACGCCCGGCGTGGCGGACATCGAGGGCGCCATCGGCCTGCTCACGTCGCTCCTTGGCTGCATTCCTGCGGCCGCGGCCGCGCCGGAGAGCAGCGGCGCCGGCACAAGCCGCACGCGGCGCGCCACGGCCGCGGGCAATGTCATGAGCGGCGGTACATCGGGCAGCAGTAGCGCCACTCTTGCGGCGCCGTCGACGCCCGTCCAGCAGGCGGCGTCGCCCGGCGGCGGCTTCGTCGTCGAGGCTGCGCCGGACTGGATGCAGGTGAGTCACGCCTCCTTCTCCGCCGCCCGTCACGCATTGACGCCGCACCAGCCGCTCCTGCGCGACCTCGTCACGACAATCCGCGGCGAGTCGGACAAGCCCATCTCCTCGGCGGACCTCGTGCTCGTGCTGCAGACGCTGCTCGAGCAGCGGCAGCGGCAGCACGACCTGCACCACGCCAGCATCTCGTCTGCCAATGCAAAGTGGCCCTCGTCGGCGCCTGCAGCGGCGCCGTACAATCCCACGCTCTCGCTGCCCGCGCCGCTGCCCGAGCAGTCTGGAGGCGCAGTGGGTGAGGCGCAATCTGGCGTTCCGCTCTTCTCCTTCGCCGACTTTCCGTTCGCCGATGATGACGAAGAGGATCCGGACTGGGACCCAGTTCGCGCCGCGTACGCCAACGCCGTGTTGGGTGGCGGCGACGAGCTGCCGGGCCCCGATGCGCAGGGTCAGGACATGCTGGCCCAGTTCGGCTCGCTCGGACAGGAGGCGCGGGTGCAGCAGCTCGGCGCGTCTGGCTCATCTGCAGTGCCGCATCGCGGCACACCTGCAGGTCCCGCTAGCTCTCCACCGCAGGCGCTGCCGCATGCCGAGCCGTCCGGCTCCGAGTCGCACAGCCGTCGTCGGGCACCGGCGCCGACGGTCGATCCCGATGCCTCGCGCGAGCTGAGCGACGCAGCGTGGGCGACGCTCGTCTCGCGCGCCACCGCGCCATCCGAGTCCGAGGACGAGCAGCGCGACGGCTCTGCCTCTGCCTCGCCCGCCGCTGGTGCCGCTCGTCCGGCCCGTGGACGCCCTCCGCTTTCGGTCGAGGAGCGCGCCCGGCGGCGCCGCGAGCGCAACCGCATCTCGGCGGCGCGTGCGCGCGAACGCCGTCTGGCAGAGCGCGAGGACATGCGCGCGGCCTTGGACTCCAACGGCATCCGCGTTCCGGAGCGCGTGGCGCCGCCGCGTCCCGCCGTCGACGATGCCAAGCAGCGCAAGCGCGAGGAGGCGCAGCACGAGGAGCTGCTGCGCCTGCAGGCCGAGAACCGCATGCTGCGCGCCGAGATGGAGCGCCTGCGCGACGAGAATGCGGCGCTGCGCGCCCGCGACATCGTCACGCGCCAGCGGCTTGTGGAGGAGGAGGACGAGGAGACGTACGACTATCGCCCTGCGCCTCGCGCATCGGGCAGCCGTCGAGCCTACGACGCTCCTCCGCCTGTTCCGCCACGCCGGCGCGCCGACGAGTACGCCGCACCTCGCCCGCAGCAGCGGCCGCATGCCGGCGATGTCCGCTCGTACTCCTACTCGGACAGCGGCGGCAGCGCGGCAGAGTACGACGACTTGTCGGCACGTCGCGACAATCGCCTCGCGCCCAGCCACTCAGCACGCCGTCGACGCGGCGACTCGCCGGACTCGGAGCTCGTCGACGAGCTCGACGCGTCGCGTGGCCGACCGGCGCCTCCGCAGAAACGCCGCCGGGCCGTGTCGCCTGTTCACGACTACCAGCCGCCGACGCGCCACATGCCTCGCCGCGCTCCTGAGCCCTCATACGCCACGTCGTCGACGTCGCACGACTCGCGCGCCTACTCGCGGTCCGGCCACGGCGACGCGGCGTACCTGCACGGCGCTGCCGAGCCCTGGCGGCGCGGCTAGCCCCCCCAACGATGTCACCCTTCACATTCGATACCTCCACGTCATTTGAATGAATACCCGTTCGTGAGATTAGGCTTGCAGGACGCTACACGCAAGGGAGAGAGAAGAGGGCGCGCCTACTCGCCCGCGCACACGTCTTTTGAGCGCTCTACTTGGGCGGGCGACAGACGGGCGCGTCCGGCGGCGCCGAGGGGTTGATGAGCGCGACAATCGTCTGGCTGCCGGCGAAGAGCGTGCTGGCGATGCCGAACGCGAGAATCGAGTAGTCGAGGATGCGCGCCTTGCGCGACACGGCACAGCCGCGGGCGCGCAGGTGCAGCAGCGGCGGGTAGATGAAGCAGAGCGGACAGCAGAAGACGCTGCCCACGAACGACACGAAGACGTCCAGCGACGCCGAGCCGGCCCAGGCGGCCAGCGTGCACACGAGCACCGTCGAGCAGCGGAAGGCATTCTTGAGCACCTTGATCTTCCAGCTGTGGCAGAGATGTCAGCACGGCGCCAGGACCAGCTCTCCTCGCGCTACTCACTTGTACTTGCCGCTCTTGGTGAAGATGCCGCGCTCCAGAATCGTCACGGCCGGGAAGAGCTGCAGCGGCGTCGAGAGCAGAATGGCAATCGAGTAGAGGAACTGCATCGCCTGCACAAACTTGCTGTTCTGCGGCAGGTTCGTAATGACGACGGTCTGCACCTTGCTGCCGAAGGCCATGTACGAGAGCGCGCCCGACGTCGTGAAGAGCAGCATCACGCCAATCATGACGCCCGTGAGCGCCTTGGGGAAGCGCTGCGGCTCCTTCATCGACTCGGTGATCGGAATGACGAGGCCGACGCCCTCGAACGTGAAGACTGCCGTGCCGATGAAGAGCGAGAAGGTCGACGAGTTGAAGAGCACGACGTCGGCGACGCCCTTGTCGAGCAGCGTCGTGATCTCGTACTTGAAGAGGTAGACGATGCCGAAGAGGATGAACACGTCGGCGATGAGCGCCGTCGAACTGAGCTTGGCAATGCGGCGCACAAGGCTCAGCGGCAGGAAGACGGCGGCCTGCGCGAGAATGAGATACACGGTCGGCACGAGCGTGCGGCAGTGTGTGACGGCGAGGATGAAGGCCTGCAGGTTCTGCGCCACAAAGACTGTGTACGCGGCGACGAAGCCGATCTGCGAAAAGACGATCGACGTGAGAATGGCGAGGCGCATCTTCGGGCCGTAGAGGATGCCGCCCATGTCGCCAAACGACGCCGGGTGCTGCAGGTTGGCCTTGACGAGCAGCAGAAAGGACACGAGCGAGATCATCGCCACGCCGCACAGCACGAGCGTCGAGAAGAGCAGGCCGCCGTTCATGAAGGCCTTGCCGAGGAAGAGAATGCCCGTGCCCACAAACGACTTGAGCAGCATCATGACGGCCTCGAGCACCGTCGCCTCGCCGCGCGGCCGGTTGTGCTCGCCGGTGGCTGGGCGCAGGCGGCTGCTGCGCGAGCGCTGCAGCTTCCGCCGCTGGCTCTCTTGCCGCAGCAGCGCCGTGCGCTCCGTCGCGTCGCGACTGCTGCCTGCCACAGGGCCCTCGCTCTCCGCCGCCAGCTCCTCGTCGTCCTCCTCATCGTCGGACTCCTCGATGTCCTCCAGGTCCTCACCACCGTAGTGGCCGTACAGCGCGAGGAAGTCGATGAAGGAGCGCATCGCGCGCGGGCGTGGCCGGCCCTGGCCCTCGGCCTGGTTCAGCACAAAGAAGCGGCTGCACGAGAAGGTGTCAGCAGCGCCGCATGCATCAGCCTCGTTCTGCACACGCACCGGAAGCCGCCTGGCTCCTTGATGGCCGTCGTGTCGAGCTCGGGGTCGATGGTGCTGGTGCGCGGCAGGTGCAGGCTTTCGCTGCGCGTGCGGCGGCTCATCTTGCGCTTGTTGTTGTGCGCCCAGCGGTACACGTCGTCGGTGATGGCGCCGCCCTGCATCGCGGCCGGGCCAAAGTACTCGTCGGCGTCCTCGTCAAAGGCGGACGCTGACGCGGGGTTGGAGCCCGGGAAGTGCACCGACGGGCCCGCACCGCCCGGACCGCCCTCGTCGCCGGTCATCGACGCGGCCGACGAGGCGACGCCGTCCGTGACGCTGTCCGTGCGCGGGAAGCCGGACTCGTTGGGCCGCGCCAGGCTGTGGAGGTGTCAGCCAGGAGGCGGGCGACGCGATGCACCAGAGGCAGCTACCTCGCCACTCTGCACTCACTGCATCTCGACAATGCGGCCCTTCTGCGCATCGCTGATCGGCAGGCTGTCGAGGTCGTGCGGCTCGTCGGCCGTGTCGAGCGCATGCTCGTCCTCGCTGATGGCCGTGCTGTGCGGGCGGCTGCCGCTGTGCTCGCTCGGCGTACGGCGCAGCGGCAGCGGCGCGAGCTGTGCGCGCGGCGAGCGCGTCACATCGCCGACGGCGTCGCCGCTGCCGCCGGGCGTGGGCGAGGCGACGCGCGGCGGGATCTGCTGCACCACCGGCGAGCGGCCGTACGGCGAGTCCTGCTGCTGGTTCGAGCTGGCACGGCGCGGCGCGGCGGGCCGGCCGCCGGACGGCGCGTCGTGCGACATGGGCGCTGCGAGGAGAAGGGCTGAGGCGAGGAGGATGCGCGGTGCGGATGCTGCGCGGCGTGCAGAGGCTGCGCGGAGGGTCACGCGGCGATGGATGTGGCCGGGAGGCTGACGGCGAAGGGGGCCAAGATTCGCGGCCCGGCCCGCACGTTGGCCCAGAGGAGGCGGCGCGCTCCTTCGCTGGCGGCGCCGCGCCGACGCCAGGCAGGAGCGGTGGCTGGCCAGTTGTAGTCGTGCACTACAGCAACCGGCGCCGCTGCCCCGTGCTCCGCCAAAGCGTGAATACAACGGGCTGGCGCGGCACGGCTCCGCGGCCGTCCCACGCCGGCGCACGCATGACGCGCCGGCGCAGCGGTGGAGGCAGCGGCGGAGCGGGCAGCATCTGCATGCGCTGCAGCCACGCCAAGTGCGCCGCTGCCTCCGACCGGCCACGCTGCCGACGGCTGCGCTGAGCCATGCATGGGTGGGCAAGAAGAGGACGGGGCCCAGAGCAGAGCACGCAGCGGCGAGAGTTGACGGCCAGGCTGGTGGGCGGGGCCAGCGGGCTCAGGCCGTGGTGAGGTTGAGGCTGTGCACTTTCTGTTTGCCCCTCAGGGGCTCCTCTCGGTGGCCGTGCTCCGGCCTGCGCACACACAAGCGTCTCGAGACGGGTGAGACAGAATGGATTGCGGGGTGGAAGGGGCAAGAGACTCGCGCTTGCGTTGAGAGTGAGAGCGACCGGCATAGAAACTCGGACAGGAAGCCGGGACATGATATGCTACGAGGTGGGCTTGGATGCTGCGGCGTGGGAGAGTCGAGAAGCGAGACGTGTGAGAGAGAGAGAAGGATGCTTGTGAGAGAGAGGGACGCGGCCATGACGATTAGAAGTTGAGAATCTGGCCTAGGTGCATTGGCAGTTCGGCTGGCGGCGTTCAGGTCAGCGCATGTCGTCGACGCAGAGACACGCTACGCACCCATCTTGCATCCCAGGTGCAGCTCGAGCGAGCGCAGCATCTCAATGTCGCCGCGCGGGCCGCCGGAGCCCGTGACGACGTTGATGCAGACGCTGGGACGTCCGGCGCCCGAGGTGGCGGCCGCACAGGCAATCTTCTCCTTGTACTCCTCCACCGAGCGCGGCAGGTCGTAGAAGACGACGAGCGGCACCTGGTGCACGTCGCGCGCCTGCAGCGCCAGGTCGTGCACCACGAGCGCCTTGCGCCCGCCGCTGCGCCCGGCACTGGCGCCGCCGGGCCCGCCGACGACGGCGTGGCTCGCCTGCTGGTACGCCGAGACGCCGCCGTACGCGCTGCGGAAGGCGGAGAGCACCTGCTGCCGCGTCGTCGAGGCCATCTCCTTGGACTGCGGCGCGTGTCAGTGCGGGCGCGGCGGCCAAGCACGAAATGTCACTCACGAGACTTATCGCCTCGACGCCCTTGCTCGCCAGCTTGTACGTGACGGCCTCGAGCGCCGCAGCCGACGCCACGTACACGACGGCCTGGTTGAAGTCGATGTCCTCGAGCAGGTCCGTGATGACATCGCTGCGGGGCCTGGTGAGCTGAGCGCAAGGTGACGCCGGCGCAGCACTTACAGCTTCATCTCGTTGGCATGCGCGCTGGGCCCGCCGTAGCCCATCGGCGGGCCGGCGGCCGGGCCCGTCGAGACGGCCACATACAGGTAGTACTGCCTCAGGCCGCGCAGAGGCGCCAGCATCGGGTCGGCCAGCGGGTTGGTGTTGCTGTTGCCCGGCGCAGCGCCCAGTGCGTTGGACGGCGTGCCGGGCGGAGCACTGCCGTACGAGCCGAGCTGCGGCGTGTGCTGCTGCTGCTGCGCGTGATGCTGCAGCTGCCCGAGCTGCGGCGTCTGGCTGCCGTGGCTGTTGCCGAGGCCCATCGTGCCGGAGCCAATGCTTGGTGACGAAGAGAAGCCGCTTGCGCCGGCCGCGCCGTACGTCGTCGTGGCCTGCAGTGCGCCGCCGCCGCCCTCGCGCCGCACCAGCACGCGCACGCTCTCGCGCAGGTGGATCGACTGGGCAAAGTTGAGCACGTCCTGCGGCACCGTGTTGCTGAAGATGGCCGTCTGGCGGTCCAGCGTCGCGGGCTTGTCGCCGTCGAACGGACTGAAGGGCCGCCCGGGGCCCGAGCTCTGCGGCAGGCCCGGCGAGAGGAGCGGCTCGCGCGAGGCATTGCCGCGAGGCTGCGGCAGGAGACGCAGCAGCGTCGAGACGTAGTCGGCCAGGTTGCGCGCAATCAGCTGGTCCGCCTCGTCGAGAATGACGAGGCGCACGTCGGACAGCGAAATCGCACCGCGATTGGCGAGGTACGTGAAGAGGTCGTTCATCTTCTGCGGCGTGCCGACGACGAGGTGCGGCTGCGACTGCACGAGGTTGGCCGCCTCCTGGCCCACGTCGATACTTCCAGCCGCAGCGATGTGCACGCGCACGCCCAGCGCCGCGCCGAGGCCGAGCGACATGCGCTGCGCCTGCGTCGCCTGGTCCACCGTCGTGCTGATGATGAGCACAATGGGCCCGCGCATCGCGCCGCCCGGCGGCACGGGCTCGCCGCGCAGCACGTTGAGGATCTGCTGCAGCGCCGGAATGACATAGCTGGCGATGCGCTCCTGCGTCGGCGGCGCCTGCGCGATGATATCGCTGCCGCGCAGCAGGAACGGCAGCGCGCGCTGCTGGATCTTGTTCGGCGGGCCGAGGCCGTACTTGAGGATCGACCGCAGCAGGTCGCCGTGCAGGTTCAGGTGCTCCCATTTCGTCACGACGACGCTCGGGTCCGGCGGGCCCATCGCGCCGCCGCTCATCGCCGGTCCGGCGCCGGCGAAGCGGCCCGTCGAGTCGACTTCTGGCGTGCCGGTGCGCATGTGCGGCGTGCCCGAGCTCTCGCGGCGGTTGGGCCCGCCCAGTGCCGGCGAGAAGTTGCCTCCGGCAGCAGCGGCGTTCATGGCGGCCCAGCGGCGCGCGTCGGGCGCCAGGTGCTCCTTGGCCACGCCGGTGAGGCTCTGCTGCGCCTGTTGCGGTGCGCCGGCGCCCCAGCTGAGGCGGTTCTGGCTCGGCGCAGGGCTGGCACCTGGCCGCGGGCTGAGGCCACGGTCCAGCGGCGGGTGCGCAAAGCCGCCAGAGCCTGTGCGCGGACTTGCCGAGCGCTCGTAGGGGTTCAGCGCGCCTGTGCGGCCGCCGAGGTTGGGCGTGCCCGGAAACGTGCCGAGCTGCGGCGTGAGGATGTTGCCGCCGAGCTGCGGCGTGCCGCTGGGCGGTGCACCGAGGCCGAGGCCCGCCAGCTGCTGCTGCATGGCGCCGACGTGCGGCGTGCCGTTCATGCCAGACGGCGTGCGCTGCTGCGGCATCGGCGGCGGCGCGCCGCCTTGCGACGTGAAGAGCTGCGCCACGCTGCCGGCGAGCGTGTTGAGCTGGGCACTGAGCGCGCGCACCTCTTCTTGCACCTGCGCCGAGCCGTGCGCCGCATTGTGCACGTCTGCCGGCAGGCCGCCGCGCTGGGCGCCGCCGAGATGCTTGGTGCGGTCGAGCAGCAGGCTGACGTTGCGGCTCAGCCCGCCGATGTGCCGGTTGACGTCCTTGAGCCCGACCTCGAGCCGCAGTAGCCGCTCCAGCACGTCGTTGAAGAGCGGCGAGGCGCGCAGCGAGGCGTCGGCGGCAGACGAGGGCGCATGTGCGCCGCGCTCCGAGCCAAAGCCCGACGCACCGTCGACGCTGGGAGCACGCTGCGTGTTGGAGTTGCGCGCCGCACTGCTGAGGCCCGAGGCAGAGCGCGGGATGCCCCCTCCATTGTGGTGCCCGCCGACGCCCGAATGCATGCTGCCTGGCGTGAGCGGCCGCTCGCGCGGCGGGCTGCCAAAGGGCGAGAATGTCGGCGTGCTTGAGCCGGCCGTCGCAGCTGTCGCGCCCGTCGAGCTCGCGCCGCTGCCGCCGAGGCCGAAGGTGGCTGCTGTCGGCGAGAGCAGGCCGCCCGCGAGGCCCGCTGCGCCGCCCGGCAGCGAGAGGAACGGACTCTGCGCCGTGCCGAGCGACGGCGAGCGCAGCGGCGGCGCATACGACGCACCGCCTGGGAACGGGTATGCCGCCCCGTTGCCGTCCACCCGCGGGCTGCTGCCTTCTTGCCCGCGCATCGACGCACCAGACGCTGGACGACGCACGGGCTGCTGCTGTTCGGCCTCCTCTTCATCGTCGACGAGCTGCCCGACCATGCTGGCGGAGCGCGTGTCGAGGCCCTCCTCGTCGGCCTCGGGCTCGGCAAACATGGCGCGCGCCTCGTCGCCGGTGCGCGGCGTCGCGTGCGCCGGCACGGGCGATGTCGTGTCGACGACGAGGCGCGGCGTGCCGGCGGCCTGCGGTGCGTCGCCGAGGTGCGATCGAGCGCTGGCATAGCTCGGCGAGCTCGAGTGCAGGCCGGACGAGTGCCGTGCGCCGCCGCCGCCGCTGCTGCCTGCTGCGAGCTCGCTGTCGCCGCTGCCGCTGCCGGGCGCGCCGCTGGCTGGCGAGCTGGAGCGCTGCCGGGCGGCGGCGGCGCGGTGTGCGCCGATGGGCCCGAAGACGAGGCTGGGCGTGCCGGCGCGGCTGCGCGGCTGCTGCTGCATGCTGCGGCGCTGCTCGAGCGACTCGCCGGGCGAGAGCTGCTCGGCCAGCGACGACGGCGGGCGGCGTGGGGGTGAGGTCGTCGCGGCCGCGGCAGCCGAGGGCGCCCAGCCGCCCGGCACGCCGCCGGGCGTGGCAGAGAGCGGCGAGGCCATGAGGGTGTGGCTGCTGCGCGGGGTGTGGGAGATGCAGCCGGCCGTGCGAGCGGCTGTGGTGTGCGGCGAGTGCGAGTGCGAGTGCGAGAGGCTAGGGCGCCTCTGCTTCTCCCGCCGCAGCGCAGCGCATCTCCGCTCCTTGTCTCCTGCACGGCGCTGCGCTGGCTGGCGCGCCGCGGCGGCCGAGCGTGGGACGCTCCGTGCCGCGCGCCTCTCGGCCGGCACTCGCGGCGCTGCCTCCCACAGAGCCTCTGTCCAGCTGCAGGCCCGTAGCGATGGAAGGAGGGCAGCAGCTCAGCTCAAAATGCAGAGGCAGCCAGTCTCATTGCAGCGAGCCTCGCGATGGCTTGGTAGCTTGCGGCTGACCGTGTCAGTGAGCTTGGGAGATCGCGCGTGAGCTCCGTGGTGCGGCAAGTCCAGTACGCACCGGCAGCCGCCATCCTGTCTTGGATGCTGGCTCGAGCACGGCCGGCAAGTTCTCGCGGCCCGATCGGCACGGACGAGATGGACAACACTCCCAAGCCGCAGCGGAGGCACCGAGGCTTGCTCGGCGCCAGTAGCGGGCCTCTGCGCATGGCTTCGCGTCGAACGAGCGCGCAGCTCATCCACGCTGCGCTCGACGCTGCTCTTTCCTCGTCCATCTCGAGATCAGTCGACGTCCGCACACGTCGAGAGCGCAGCAGCAGCAGCGTCCACACTCCACACGGCACACAGCGACGCGCGAGAAAAGAGATCATCATTCGTCTAACACGATGCGTGCGCGCGGGAGAGTGCAGCGCTGCATGTCCAGAGGAAGGGATTCAGATGAGTAGCGCCACGACAGAGGAGTGGGCGTGAAGATGTAAGTGAAGAAGGGGGCAAATAGAGAAGCCAGTCGTGTGCAGTGTGCGTGAAGAACCTGTGAGGTGGGTGGAGAGTGGGTGCGGCGTGAGGAGAGGCGAAGTGGGATGCGCGAGTCACGGCGACGAGTGTTGCCGTGAATGGAGCGAGCCGGACGGAGGAGAGGGGAGGAAGAGCGTAGAGAAAAGCTCGCGCTTACTCCTCGTCCTCGAGGATCTCCTCGGCGCCGCGGGCGCTGACGCTGCGGCGGTAGGGCAGCTGCTTGGCGGCGCCGCCCGTGGGCGAGGCGCGCGGCTTGCAGTTCGACGACGCGCCGGCGGGCGCGGCCGAGGGCGTCTTCTTGTCACCTGCGGACGACGAGGGCGGCGTCAGCGTGCGGACTCGGGGTGCACCCGCGGCATGGCGTACGTACCCTGGTGGAAGGTGCTCGTAGAGCCGTTCTTGCGCACGCGCTCGCCCGGGAAGGGGCCAGAGTTGCCGTCGCAGTCGTCGAAGCCGTTGCCGTAGTTGCCCTAGAGAGGAAAGGACGGCGTCAGCGAGGTTGTGACGACTGCGATGCGCCGAAATTCACCGCGTGGTTCCACTGGGCACCCATGCTGATGGAGTGTGTGTGTGAGCGAGAGTGAGCGGCAGGGGCTCAGGGCTCTCTACTCACACGTCGTAGATGTGCGGGCACAGCTTGGTGGCGTTGGGGCCGCCGGTGCAGGCACGGATGGAGAACTCGGTGGCCGACATGAACGACGACCACTCCTTGCTCTGGCTGTGGGCGGAGAGAGGCGCGTCAGGCGCGGCCACGGTGCACGACACGACGACGCGTCGACGCCGACGACGCCGAGCAGCTACTCACACCCACTGGCCCTCACGGCCCTTGGCAGAGCGCGTGAAGACGAGGCCGCCGGGCGGGTTGCCGGCGCCGGTGGCACTGGATGGGACCGTCAGCCGACGCTCCTCCCCCATGCTGCTGTCGCGACGCCTCACCCGTGCGGGTCGAGCTCGCCGCCCTCGTCGCCGGCGTCGATCTTCATGCTGGTAAAGTCGCCGAAGCCGGTGACCTGCACAAAGTCGGGCGTCTTGAGGAAGTGGGCCTTCTTGAGCGTGCCGTTGGGAATGAGGCGCGTGCCGTAGCCGCTCTTGGTGCACCACGAGTACATGAACTCCTCCTGCGCGCCGACGGTGCCCTGCTTGCGGGGGCCCCACAGGCAGACTGCGGCGCGTGTCAGTCACAAACCACGTGCGAGGCGCAGCAGAGGCGCAATGGCGGCTACGCACAGTCTGCGGCAGGGGGTCAGCGATGCTCTGCCGTGCTTGCCCTCTGCTGCCACTCACCCGACACCGAGTTGACAAAGACGTTCTGGCACTTGGACTTCTGGCTCGACGCGCCAAACTGCTTGCACTGGTTGGTGCCGATCTGGCCCTTCTCCCACTTGTCGGGCAGGTTGTTGACGCTGAACGTCGGCTTCTTCTGCGCCTCGACGCCGGCGAGCGCCACGAGGGCGACCGTCACGAGGGCCTGCAGCTTGAACATGATTGAGAGAGAGAGTGTGGGTGGGTGATTGGCGTCGGGCCACGTGTAGTTGGAATCGAACGGGAAAGGGCCGGGCTGGAGGGGGTGGAGGGAGCTGGTGCGGAGAGGGAGAGGAGCGCGGCGCCGGGCGTGCTTTGAGGGATCGGCGCGGCGAGCGCTGGGCGTGGGCGTGTTGGCTGGGCTGGGCGGGCGCGGGCGTGCGCGGCGAGAGGGTGCTTTGCCGCTGTGCTGCCCGCCTGCCCGCCAGCGCAGGACCAACACAGCCGCCGTGCGGGCCGAGGCCGTTGCACCTGCTGGCGTGCGGCTTCTCGCGCCGGCACCGGCGGGTCGAGCGGCAGGCGGCAGGCCAGCGCAGGTGCGGCGTCCAGGGCAGCAGGGCACTCTCGCCCGCGCGCGGCCCCCTCAGCGTAGCCCCTCTGTCCTGCAAGCTGCCGCCCGCGCGGCACCGACCCTCGAAGCGAGCGCAACAACACCGCCGCGCTGCCCGCTGCGCCGCGCGCTCTGACAGAACACGCGGGACGGCGCATGCCTCGCGTGCATGTGCGTGCAGCGCAGAGCGCAGAGGTGCGGTGCCGCAGCGGCTGGAGCGTCTCTTCTCTGTCCATGCGCTCGCCCTGCGGCTGCGCTGCAGCGCTGCAAGCCACTCTGCTCGGCAGCAGGCCGGCGGCGCGTGATGGCCATGCGGCGCGCATGGCGGCCGGGCACTTCCGCAGAGCCTCGTCTAAATCGAGGCTTGGACAGGCCGGCGAGAGCAACACGGCGGGGCGCAGGCGCAGTGCCGGCATGCCACATGGGTCCTGCACAGGGCCCCTGAGCGGCAAACTCTTACTGCCTGAACAGGCAGCACGCCCGCAGCGCGCAGCGGCAGGTGCAGAGAGCCGCTCGAGCGATCTTGCAGCGCAGCGCCGCACGCCGCCCGGCCGCCGCTTCGCTGCCGCTGCTGCCCGCCGGGCGCTACGGCGGCAGCGCGTCCAGGGACAAAGCGAGGCACACGAGCGCAGCGCGGGGCGTCGCGACCCCGGCGCAGAACGAGGGTCCCTGCCCCTTCTCGAGGTCGCTCCCGCCCGTTGTTCCGCCGCGCCAGAAGCAATGCGCACGCCAAACAAAGCAGCTCGCAGCAGCATCGCATCAGCAGCACGTCGATCCTCCCGCAATGCACGCTCGTCGGCCCTTGTCCGCGGCGAGCGCGCAGCGGCCCTTTGTGAGATGCCGGCGTGCCGTGCGGACGACGCTCTGGACGTCCGCTGCGCAGGGCTCCCCGACATGTAGATGCCTGCTGCTGCACCTGCTGCCTGCCCGCTGCCGCACGGCGATCTCGCATCGCAGGTGCGCCGCTCGGACAGCTCGGACCGCGCGCGCGCGTGTGTGGGCGGAGATGAGGGGGCGAGCGCCCTCTGCGCAAGACTCGGGCGCAGAACAGCAGCAAGCAGCCTGCCCTGGCAGTTGATCGAGCGTTCGATGCCGGCTCGGCGCCCGAGGGATGCCGTGCGGAGCCCAGCGGGGCGGAGCAGGGAGCGCCAGCCTGCAGCGTGCAGCACAGGTCGTGGGGTGTGCACCGTCCCTCGTGGACCACGCTGCTTGTCAGCCGACAGCAGGCAGACAGCCGATGCAGCGTCGCTTCAAAAGCATGACTCACAAGCAGGTCGTCGAGGCCGCTGATGCTGCGCACTCTGGACCACTGTCAGCGGCAGGAGCGCGAGGAGGACCCCATGGACAGCGGCCCGAGATAGCGCGTGAACGCCTCACGAGGCGCTAAGCCTCCGAGCTGCGCGCCCTTCTGGCGTGCTCCTCACGCTGCCATCTTGCCCTGTCAGTCTAGCGCAGCCGTCCATGGCGCCAGCGTCAAGCGCCACACGAAAGACGCATACGCGGACAGCGTGAGATGGTCGACGGCGTGCCTCCGACTCGCCCTCACTGGACCGAGGCCGAGGACAAGCAATTTGCCATCGCGTTCATCCTCGAGGATGGCGACGTCAACGCCATCATCAGCAAGGCAAGGCACTCTACATCTTGCTTGCTGACAAGAAGAACTTCACGCTCAACCAGCGTCACAAGCCCAAACGCTGCGTGACGGCGGACGTCGAGAGTTGCAAGCTGGCTGCGGCGGCTCTCGAGGACGCGGGCGCGGTCCCGCCGGCGTACATCCAGATGGTGCAACTCCACTGGGGCCCAATCACGTTCCCCCTTGAGCATCACAGCGTCATCATGGATCGAAATGGAGTGGAGACGATGCAGTTGCGTGGATCCGCAGCGGCTCAGGTTGCTCATCGGGCCTCTGCGCTCAGCCCTCTTCTTGCACTCTGGGGTTGACCGGTGGCATCTATGCATTCCAGTGCTCCGGCACCACGATCACGCTCGAGCGCACGCCCGCGCGCACGACGTCGTGCAGGCGCACCTTGAGCGGCGCACCCAGCTCGGCGGCGGCGATGGAGCGGTGCCAGCCGCACTCGGCGTTGATGCCGAGCTGCGGCACAAAGACGCGCACGCGTGCGTCGAGGCGCGACGGGTTGATGCGCACGTCGGGCAGCGCCACGACGGCGTCGAGCGGCCCGAGGAGCGCCTGCTCCTCGGGCGTCAGCGAGCCGGGCGGCGCATCGAGCAGGCGCCGCAGGCCCAGCGCCATCCAGAAGTAGCGCACGCGCCGCTCGAGGCTGCGCGACCAGGCGTCCATGCGTGCCATGCGCGGCATGTCGGCCTCGAGGCGCTCCTGGCTCCACGGCGCCGTGCGCCCCGCCAGGCTCGCCTTGAGCTGCCAGTGCGCCACAATGTCCGGGTAGCGGCGCAGCGGCGACGTGCTGCGCGCATAGCCGCCGTGCGCGGCGGCGTCGTCGAGCGCCGGCGAGATGCCGAGCGCAAAGTGCGGCGCCGGCGCGTGCGAGGCGTTGCCCGGCGCCAGACGCACGCCCGAGCGCAGCAGCGTCAGCCACGACATGTTGCCGTCCTCGTCGCGCAGGCCGCGCAGCTTGGCCGCCGCGGCGGCCTCGGGCGCCTCTTGCGAGCGGTACACGAGGGGCACGCCGCGGTCTGCGGCGCAGGCGCCGGCGACGCGGCCGGCGAGCAGCATGCACTCGGAGACGAGGTCCTGCGCCTTCGACCACGCCGGCGGCTCGAGCGACAGCATGCCAATGTCGATCTTGGGAAAGCCGCGGAAGAGCGTCTGCGTCGACGGCGTTGCGGGCGCGCCCGGCAGCGGCACGGGCGAGAGCGTAAAGTTCGGCCCGGGCATGTTAGAGGCGATGCTCGAGTTGGCCACGCGCTGGTGCAGCATCGCGCGGGCGAAGCGCTGCAGGACGTGCAGGTCCGAGGTGCCGTCGACCTCGAGCGCTGCGCTGACCTCGTCGTACGTCGTGATCTGCACATTGTGCACGATGCTCGGCCGCACGCAGTACTCCTGCACCTTGCCCTGCGCATCCACACGCGCACTGAACGTGAGCGCGCACAGGCCGTGCTTCTGCCGCTCCTCGCGCTGCTCCTCCGTCTCGCTCTTGGAGCCCAGCGACAGCCGGCCGGCCTGCAGCATCTCGTCCGGCAGCAGCGGCCAGCGCCCCTCGGGCAGGTAGAGCGTGTTGTGCTGCCGCCGCGCCCGCCGCGCCAGATCGTCGGCGGGGTCCATGATTGACGTCGGATCGGCAACGTGCACGTGGATCCAGATCTCGTCCTTGCCGGCCACACGCTCGATGGAGATGCCGTCGTCGAGCTCGTGCGCCGTGGGATCGTCGATGACGTGCACAGGCAGCTGCTCAAAGTCGAAGCGCTCCATCTCCGCCTCGTGCAGCGCCAGCTTGGGCCGGGGCGTCGGCTGCGGCGTCTCGCTCGGCGCGTCGCGCTCGTTCGTTGTGAAGTCGACGCCGACCTGAAGCAGGGCGTGGTCCTCCCACGGCGGCATCTCGCCGACGGCCTGCAGGAAGCGCACGACGAGCGCGCCCTGGTGGTCGATGCCTGCGTCGCCCGTGTCGCGGCCGTACGGCACGAGGTCGCGCGGCACATCCGTGAAGCTGCGCTCCGGGTGCTGCAGACGGTGCGCCACGGGCTGGACGGTGACATCGGCGCCCGCGCGCTTCAGCACGTCCATGGCGATGGAGAGGTACTCGTAGCCCTGCAGCGAGCGGCGCGTCGAGAGCGTGCTGCGGAGAAAGCGCAGAATGACGTGGTCCGTCTGGCGCCACTGCACGCCGGGCCCGGCCTCGGCCTCCAGCTCCACTCGCTCGGGCTCGTCGGCCGGCATTGTCTCGCCGCCCAGCTTGGCGCGCCAGGCGAGCACCTCCTTGGCGCGCTGGCCGAAGCCTTCCAGGTTGCGCCACTCGGTGCTGCCCTTTGGCGCGCGCACCCACTCGTCGACCGTCTCGATGGCCTCGCGCTCGCGGTCCGAGCGCAGGCTGAAGCGGTGCGACGAGCGGTGCGCAATGTCGTCGGCGACGAAGCGGCTCGGCGTGTCCATGAGCATGCGGTGCACGGCCAGCAGCACAGGCTGCGCGACGCGCGCCGAGGCGACGTCGGCGAAGCAGTGGCCCTCGGCCTGCATGGTGCGCTGCAGGATCGTGTAGGCGACGCTGGGCATGTACGCCGTGCCCTCCTCCTCGATGAGCGCCACGCCCTCCTTGCTGAGACACACCTCGCGGAACGCCGGGCGCAGGCGCAGCATCTCCGTCTCGCTCATGCGTGTCAGCGCCCGCAGTGCCGCACAGGCAGCGCTGCGCGCGCCGAAGCGTGCCGCATCGAATGGCTCCTGCTCGTTGCGCTTCGGCGACGCGTCCTCCGTCGGGTCGATGCCCTCGGTGGACACAATGTGCGCCATGTCGGCCGGCGCCGCGAGCGCGGCGAGCTCGGGCCCGATGAGGTTGGGCAGCCGCAGCATGACGTCGTTCTCAATGAAAATGACGATGCTGCCCCACGGCAGCAGCACGCACAGCTCGGTGCCCGTGCGCGTGGCTCCTGGGACCGAGCTGCTGGGCATGGGCAGGACGATGCCGAGGCAGCTCGTCGGACTGCGGGCCAGGACAAGATCAGCACGCAGCAGCGAGGCTGCCGGCGCAAAGCTGTGGCGCCCATCGCAGCGAGCCTGCCAGCACAGCGTGGCGGCGCCCGTCGTGCATGCCTCCTGCCGCACACTCACATGCGCAGCTCGACGGCATCGCCCGGCACGGGGCGTCCCTGGCGCGTGCTGTTGGAGAGGATGCGGCGCTCGAGGGCGGCGGCGGCGCCCTTTGCGGCGCGCGCGTCTCTGCGCGAGCGCTGCTGCGTCATGGCATCCTTCTCTGGCAGCGGCGCGCGGCCAAGAGTGCGCTCGCGGCGCGGAGGCGGCTCAGAGGAGACGAAGTGGTGCGCGGCAGCGCTGGTGGAGGCGGCCGAGGGGCCGGGCGCGCTGCGGCAGCTGGGCGGCGCCGTGTGCAGCGCGGCGCGCAGTGCGGCGGCAGGCGTGCGTGGGCCGCTGCGCAGGATGTGCCGTGAGAGAGGCAGCGACATGGCGGGCTGTCGCTGGGGTGCAGGTGGGCAGGAAGCAGGCCGGGCGAGCATGTCGGCCTCGAGTCGCAGCATCGTCAAGTGGTCAGCGCTTTTTTGGGCTTACGTCAGCCGCACGCGCTGCTCCACAGCGGCCGCGAGCGGCGCACAGACGCGGCCAGCTCCTTGCTTCGGGCACATCCTCTCCCCCACCACCACCCACACCACCAGCCAGTCTCAGCACGCGGGCCAAGCAGCGCACCCTCTGCGCGCGGCACCATGCCCTATCCGCCCGACCGGCAGCGCGCGCCGCCGCCGCACCTCGCCGGGCCCTCGCAGCCGGCGCCCGCCGCGGGGCCGTCGCGCCGCAGCGCCTCGCCCACACGGCCGCGCATTCCCACAGGGCCGGCAGCGTCACGCATGCCCGCCGACGCACACGCCGGGCCTTCGCGCTTTGCCGCGCAAGCGCCGCACCAGCAGCAGGGCTGGGGCCGCAGAGGTGGGCACGAGGCGCCGCGCGGCAGAGGCGGCTGGGTGCAGCGCGGCCGCTGGGCGCCAAGAGGCGGCGGCGGCGGCGGCGGCGGCGGCGGCGGCGGCTGGGGCGAGCGGGCCGGCTACGAGCGGGAGCGGGAGCGCAGCTACGTGCCGCCGCCGCGTGGCGAGCGCGAGGTGCCGCCGCCGCGCGGCGAGCGCAACGTCTCGCCCGTCGCGCCGTCGCACGAGCGCGGCCGCGGGCGCGCAGAGGTGCCGCCGCCGCGAGAGGAGGCCGACCGGCGGCGCGACGAGAGCAGGGAGCGCGAGCGGAGAGAGCGGGAGAGAGATAGGGAGCGAGAACGGGAGCGCGACCGCGAGCGAGACAGGGAGCGCGAGCGCGACCGATCACGAGACAGATCGCGAGATCGATCACGCGACCGCTCCCGAGACCGAGAGCGCGAGCGTGAGCGGGTGCGCCCACCACGCGCGGCAGAGGAGAGCGAAGCGAAGGCAGAAGCCAAGCCTCCAGTGCGGTGCGTGGTTGTCTCTCGCGCAAGATTGCCGCCCTCGCTGACCTTGAGCGCACGCAGCTCTGCCCTCTCCGTCCTCTCGCGGCCTGCGCGTCCCACGCAGGCTCTTGCTGTGCCAGCGCGGCAGGTGGCGCAAAGCCTATCATATGGCTCGCCCTCGCCACAGAGCCCCAGCGAGCCGTCACATACGCCGCAGATGCCTACAGGCGCCAGCACGAACGGCAACGGCGAAGCGCGGGCAAAGAGAGAGAGGGACGAGAGCCCGACGGTCTCGCGCGACGTCAAGCGCAGGGCAGCTTCGCCACTACCTCCGCCGGCTGCATCGACATCAGCGGCCGCGCAAGGCACGCCAAGCGGTCCGCGTTCCACCGCCTCCTCGCTGGCGCCGTTGGCTCCGCTCGCACCTCTCGCACCACTCGCGCCTCACGCGCCAAGCGGGCCGCTGTCGGCGCCGCTCGGGCCCAGCGCGCTAGAGGCGTCCAGCCGACTGCTGGCGCGCAAGAGCCCGAACCCGCCTTCTGTGCGGGAGGAGAAGCCGGCTGCGTCTGTCACGGAGCCAGCACGGCCAGAGTCTGCGAGCCAGAGAGACGGCGCTGGCGGCGCGACACGCAAAGGCTGGACTGTGATTCGCCCGGGTGCCAAGAGCCAGAGCCGCAGTCCGAGCAAGGGCGAAGAGGAGCTGCTAGGAGCAGCACGCGAGGCACGCGACCCAGAGCCATCTCGAGAAGAAGCAAGCAGCTCTTTCGAGAAGCAGAAGGTCGTGCGAGACGAGCCTTCTGCCGCTGCTGCCGTGCCGGGCCCGAGCGCCGCGATGCAAAAGGCGATGGAAGCTGCGCTTGCAGCGGCGACTGGCAGGCCGACGACACCTCCGCGTGCGCCCGAAGTCGCGCGACGCTCACCCTCTCCGACCGCCTCGCCAGCGCGCTCCGCGACGCGCTCGCCCTCGCCCGTCTCTCTGGCTCCCATGCCGCGCGCCGCGCCTGGCGAGGGCTACGAGCGCATCGCGCAGGTCGGCGAGGGCACGTACGGGCAGGTGTTCAAGGCGCGCGCCGAGAAGAGCGGCGCCCTCGTGGCGCTCAAGAAGATCCGCATGGAGGCGGAGAAGGACGGCTTTCCCGTCACGGCGATGCGCGAGATCAAGCTGCTGCAGGGCCTGAGACACGAGAATGTGGTGCGCCTGTGGGAGATGATGGTGTCGAAGAGTGAGTCGCGCCCGTGCGAGCAGCAGATTCTGCATGTGCTGATGCAGAGCGCAGACTCGGTCTATATGGTCTTCGAGTACATGGAGCACGATCTCAACGGCGTGCTGGCGCATCCCAGCATCACCTTCACACCTGCGCATCTCAAGTCGCTCTCAGCACAGCTCTTCTCGGGCCTGGCCTACCTGCACCGCCGCTCAGTGCTGCACCGCGATCTCAAGGGCAGCAACATCCTGCTCTCCAACGCCGGCGTGCTCAAGCTCGCCGATTTTGGCCTGGCGCGCATGTATGCCAAACGCCGCAAGGGCGACTATACGAACCGCGTCGTCACCCTGTGGTACAAGCCTCTCGAGCTGCTCTTTGGCGCGACGCAGTACGGGCCGGAGGTCGACATGTGGGGCGCCGGGTGAGTGCCAGCGTCGTTGCCTCACTGCGCAGCATGCTGATCTGCGCCGAGCAGATGCATCTTCCTCGAGCTGTTCACGCGCCGTCCGGCCTTCCAGGGCAACGACGAGATCCACCAAGTGGCAGTGATCTACGATGTGCTGGGCCCGCTCGTTCCCGCCGACGAATGGCCCGACGCGGAGAAGCTGCCATGGTACGACCTCGTGAGGCCCGCTGCAGCATCCGACGGATTGGCTGCGCAGACTGCAGAGGAGCGCTTCAAGCTCGCTTTCGAGAAGTGAGCCGCATCGCTCGTCTGAGTTGCCCGTACTTGCTGACGCTGGCCGCTCGTTCAGGTCCATGCCGCCCGCAGCGCTGGCCGTTGCGTTTGCGCTGCTGCGCTTCGATCCCGCTCGCCGAGCATCGGCAGCCGAGGCGCTGCAGATGCCGTACTTCACCACTGAGCGGCCCCGCGCTCAACGACCTGCAGGGTGCGTCGCTTCACGACTTTGTCTGTCGCTACTATCCAAGACTGACGCTGTTGGGCCTCCGCAGCCTGCTCGCGAGTGTCGAAGGCGAGTGGCACGAGTTCGAGAGCCGGCGCGCCGCGCGCAAGGCGCGGCCATAGCACCCGGAGCGCACCAGCATCGACTCCTCACTGCGCAAGCGGGCAGCCCCGCGCGCACCACCTCACACCATCACCCCACGGGCCTGGCCGATAATCAAGGTGTTGATTTTGTGTGGCCCCGATCCGGGTCCACCAGCCCAAGCCTGCGCGTGACTTGCGTCTCTAGAGATGCCGAGGCTACAACGAGCAGAGGAGAGCAGAGAGAGGCTCATGCGTCGGCCTTGGCCTCGGCAGCGGCCGGCGCCTCCGTCGATGCCTCGTCCGAGATGCTCGACTTGGCCAGTGCTGTGTGATGGCGCGTGCGTCAGCGCAGCGCCTCGCGCTCTGTGCCGCCGCGTCAACGTACCCTTCTCGACCTTCTCGATATTGGCGCGCGTCTGCTGCGCCTGGTTGCTGACAAAGTACTCGCGCTTCAGCTTGAGGTTGTCCACGACGCGCGGCACGTCGCCCGAGCTCGTCGGCGGCGGGATGCTGAGGGCCAGCAGTGCGCTGAGCGTGCCGAGCGGCACGTTGAGCGGCGCATTGGCACTCGTGGCCGGCGCAGCAGCGGCGACCTCGGCCTCGTCGGGTGCCTGGCCGAGCGCCAGCGGCGTGCCCTTCTTCTTGGCGCCGCCCTTCTTGCCCTTTTTGCCGCCGCCGCCGAGGAAGTACGCGTCCTCCTCCGACTCGCCCTTCTTCTTCACCACGCGGCCCAGCGACGCGTCTGCCTCGACCTGGCGCACCTCGAGCGCCTTGGCGCCCGACACGGCCGCCTTTGCCTCTGCGGAGCGCGGCGCAGAGACCGACGAGTTGCCGCTGAAGTACTATGGGGAAGCGGGCCGTCAGCGCAGCAGCGACGTCCCCACACGCATGCACTCACGTTGATGAGCACCTCGCAGTCCTCAATCTCCTTGGCGAAGGCCGGCAGCGCCGCGTCCTCGCGCATCTGTGCCTCGTGCTCCTTCCTCTTGCCCTCCTCGTACTTGCGCTGCTCCTCCTTGGCGGCGGCGTGGCGCGCCTCGCGGTCCTTGGTGACCTTGGCGTAGTAGACGTCGTTGGCGGTGCGGAACGCGGCCTGGCGCTCCTTGCGCGCCGCGTACAGCTCGTCGAGCTTCTTGCTGAGCGCCGTGCGCTGGTCGAGCAGCTTGGAGCGCGAGCCGTAGGCCTTGTCGGCCTCCTTCTGCAGCGCGTCGAGCGCCTCGCGCACCTCGTCGTAGCGCTTGCTCTGCGCCTTGCTCGCCGGGTCGTCGAGCGACGCCTTGAGCTCGTCGATGCGCGCCTTGTCGGCGTCGATGGAGTCCTGCTGCGCGCCGAAGGCCTCGACGGCCTTGCGGCTCTTGCGCAGCTGCGAGATCTCCGACAGCGCCCGCTTCTCGTCGACGAGCTTCATCTTGCCGCCGTCGACCGAGGCCTCGAGGCGCTGGATCTGCGCGTCGACCTCGGCCGTCGACTTGTAGTTGGCCTTGCTCTTGGCCGTCTTCAGCGTGTCGAGCTGGAGAGGGGGTCAGCTGGGATTCGAGGCACGCACGCCCGGCGACCCAGGCCGGACACGCTAGGTGTGAGCTGCCCGCACCCGCGGTAGCATTCCCAATGGTCTCGCTCCATCGCTCTCGCTGTCTCTGTCACTCCATCATTCCATCACTTTGCCTCGCTCCATCGCTCCCAGCACACTCACCTTCTGGCGCATGCCCTCCTGCACATTCTTGATCTCGTCGAAGATCTTGCCGCGCGCGCCCTTGCCGCCGGCCTGGGCGCCGCGGATCTCGTCGAGCTCGGCACGCAGCTCGGCGCGCCGCTTGCCCTCGGGCGTGTCCTTCGACGGGCCCGAGCCGGAGAGGATGGAGCGCAGGTTGTTCTGCGAGCGTGTGTGAGCAGGGAGGCTGCGGAAGCAGCCCAAGAGGAGAGATGTATGCGCCGCCAAGAGCGGCTTCTTCAGCGCCTCGCTGAGCTCTCGCCCATCTCTGGCTGTCACTGAAGCGGCCACGAGAGAGCGACTCGCCAGCACGCGCCTCAGCACACGGGCGCATGGCAGCTGCGGCATGCCAAAGTACCAGTGCCAATGCTCGCTCGTCTTCTTGCCCAGCCTCACGCCCGCTGCCCAGCTCGCGCTCCCGCGTCTCGCACTCCGCTGCTCCCTATACCTCGCCGCAACTCACGATCTCCTCGTGCGTCGAGTCAATCTCCTTCTTGAGCGCGTCGAGCTTGGCCGTGTTGTCGGCGGCGTCGGGCTTGCCGCCGGCGAGCTTCGCAATCTCGACGCCTGCGCCGCTGGCCGCCGGCGCCGCGGCGGCATCGGCCGGCGCGGCGGCGCCGTTTGCGCCGGCAGAGGCAGAGGCAGAGGCACCGTTGGTGCGCTTGGGAGCGGCGGCGGACATGGCGAAGTGAGGGGATGGAGAGAGAAGGGAAGGCGGCCGACGCCGTGCGGTGCCTGTGCATGGCAGCCACACGCGGGTGCAGCGCTGCAGCCGAGGCACCGCACGGCGCCAGCGCAGCCAAGGCGCGCGCGGCGCGGCGCGGGGAGAAGCTTCGCGCCTCGGCGCTCGGCCGGCCTCCTCCTGCTCCTTGCTGCCCGTGCGGCGTTGCATGCGGCGCTGCCACGTCTCGGCCCCTCGGCGCCTGTTCCGCCGCGCGCACGCCATCATGCCGCCTGCCACGCCGGGCGACGTCCCGCCTCTGCGTCAACGACACCTCTCCACGACCAGCCCATCACACAGCAGCAGTGCGACAAAGCATGGCATCAGGCGGCAAGGGTCGTGCGTGGTCGTGAACGGGTGTGACAGGGGGGAAAGCAAAGCGAGGCGCGGGCTGCCGTCTAGGCGTGCTGCGGCAGCGTGCTGGCAATGTCGACGAGCACCGTGTAGAGCTGCGAGGGGCGCGTGAGCAAATGCTGCGACAATGGACCATCGGTCAAGGCTCACCTCGCCGCTGCGGATGGCGCGGTAGATCTTCGACTGCGGCGGGGCGAAGCATCAGCTGCTGCGCCAGGCTAGCCCTGCACTGCCAGCTCACCACCTGTGCGCCGTTGTTCTCGCCCAGCTGGCCCGCGGCGCCCTTGAAGCCGGCAAAGTGCTCGCGCCCCGCCAGCGGCACGCCGAGCGTCTGGCGCACATACGTGTACATGACGCCCGTCGTCGGCGCCAGGTACGGCGTGGCGGGCGTGCCGTTGGCGTCGGCGAGGAACTCGGCCGTGAGCGCGTGGTGCCGCTCGCACATCTCGGCCACGCTGTGCTTGCGCCAGGCTGGCAGGTGCGAGGCATCAGTGACGGCAAGAGACGACGTGGTCTTTCGCTGGTGCTCACCCATGATGGTGCGCAGCACCTCGCCGTTGCCGGCGCTCGACGGAAGCTCCGCAAAGTAAGTCGACAGCTGCGGCGCCCAGGCGTCAGTCCAGCGTGACCCATGCTGAGCCGCATCGTGCACTCACCTCGTCGGCGCCCTGCAGGTACGACTCGTGCATGCGGCTCTGCAGCACCAGTGCGCCCGTCTCGTCGAAGCGGCGGCTGATGCGCGCAAAGACGCGCTTGGCGAGCAGCGCCTGCTCGGCCTCGTCGAGCCACTTGCCGAAGAAGCTGGCGAGGCTGTCCTTGAGCTGCACGCGCACCAGCTCGCCCGTCTGGCGCTGCATGGCGCGCAGGTCGACGGCCTGGCAGAGCAGGTAGAGTGTCCAGGAGAGCAGCTGGCTGAACGTCTCGATCGCCTTGACCGTGTAGCGCGCGCTGACGAGGGCCATCGAGTTGATTGCCTGGCAGGGCGCGGTGAGCATGCGGCTGTGGCCGACAGCATTGGGACACTCACCTGGTTGCCCATCTCGGCAGCCTGCACGTGCGTCGAGACTGGCGAGGCGAGGTACTGCAGCTCCGACGTGACGGCAGCCATGGCGATGTCGCAGCTCTTGCCGAAGTAGTCGAGCGACACGTCCGTCGCCGCGAGGTTCGCCGGCAGGCCGCGGTTCATCGCCGGGTTGATGAGCTGGCGGAGGATGTGAGCACAAGGTCGACGGCAGTGCATAGATCGAGACCCACCTCGGTCATCTGCTGGAAGGTCATCTTGCCGAGCAGCGCGAGAGCGAGGCGCGTCTTCTCCATCGCCGAGGTGACTGTGCGCGGCAGAGTCAGCGAGCGGCAAGCCGTCAGGGCGTCAGCAAGACTCACCTGCGCTGGCCATGAAGTTGCCCTGGTGCGCAATGTGTCCCGTGCGTGCGTCGCAGAGCGGGTTGTCCGTCGTCGAGTTGAGCTCAATCGTAATCGAGCGGCTGGCGGCCAGCAGGTCCTCGAGCAGCGGGCCCATCCACTGCGGACTGCAGCGCAGCGGGTAGCGGTCCTGCCGCAGCACGCCGTCGTCGTCGGCGTGCACCTCGTTCTCCACGTGCGTCGCCAGCTTGCTGCCGCGCAGCATCGCCAGCACCGTGGCGCCGGCCTCGATCTGGCCCGGGTGCGGGCGTGCCTCGTTGTGGATGAAGGCGGCGAAGCTGCAGCGGAGTCAGCAAGAGAGCCGAGGTGTGATGCATCACTATGCTCACCTGCCGTCGCTCGCCAGATCTGCCTCGACAGCCAGCGCCGTGGTCAGCTGGGTAAGGAGCGCCAGCATGTTCGACTCGTGCATGACGAGTGCGCCGACAGCAGCGCTGTACGCCGTGCCGTTGACGAGGCCGAGGCCCTCCTTGGGCTCGTACGAGAGCGGCTCGATGTGAAACTTGGCCAGCGCCTCGGGCGACGACATCTTCATGCGGCGGCCGTCCGGGCCGTCGACCCACACGTACACGCCCGGCATGCCCGCCATGGCGCCGGCGATGTAGGACAGCGGCGAGAGGTCGCCCGAGGCCGAGATGCTGGAGCGCAGCGGCACGACGGGCGTGATGTTGTACTTGAGCATCTTGTGCATGCTGCAGCCAGTGTGTTAGATGGCAGCATTGCACGACGTCCCATCACAGACTCACGTCTCGAGCACGACGAAGCGCACGCCCGAGTGGCCGCGCACGAGGCTGTTGAGGCGCACCACCATCGCGCCGCGCACCCACGCCTCGGGCTGCGAGAGCGGCTCGTCGGAGAGCGGCAGCGCGCCGCTGGCGTCGACGTGGCCGGGCACGGGCAGGATGCCGATCTGCAGGCCCGACACGAGCGAGATCTGCAGCGCGGCGAACTGCGTCGTGCGTGTGTCGGCACTGCCGCCTGGGAGCAAAGTGAGCGGCGTGTATGCGCCAGAACAGCGAGCGGACACGCACCGAAGCCAGTGGCGACGCCATAGACGGACTCGCCAGACTTGAGCATGCGGTCCAGCACGTCGATGCTCGCCTGCACGCGGCGGCGCACCTCGGGCGAGTTGTCGAGCTCGGGCGTGGCGGCGTAGCTGCGGCGAGAGCGTCAGGACGATGACAAGCATCATGCACCTGCTGCACTCACCGCGACACGGCCACGACATCACCGACGCTCAGCGTGGCGCCGTCGACGAGCGGCGCGGCGCTGCCGGCCTTGCTGTTGGCGGCGCCGTCCTGCTGCAGGGCACGCTTGGCCTGCACGGCATGCCAGGTGGCGAGGGTGAAGTTGCGCAGGTCGACGCGCGTCGGGGCGGGGTCCATGCTGCCGAGGGTGCTGAGCAGCAGCGGCGACTTGGTGGTGGTCGGGAGCGGAGCAGCGAAGGCCGCGCTGGGCGCCGCCGAGGCGGTGAGAGCCGGCACCATTCTGCTAGATGCTGAACAAGCTTTGGCGATTCGATCAGAAGAAGAGCGCGGAAGAGGCGCTGAGACTGATGGCCTGCGTGAGGGGTGCTGTGGCGCGACGGATAAGGACGTCAGGGGCCGATGCGGGCTGCGCCAGATGCTGCGGCGAGGTGAGAGGAGCTTGGCAGAGTCGATGAGCGAGCTGCGGGATGCTTGGGGAACGAGAGGGAGCGAGCAGCGGCGGGCAGCGCTTCTTATGCCTGAGCGAGCGCCCCACACCGGCAAGCGATGCGCAGCACAGCATGCGCTTGTGGTGGAACCGGCATGGCATGCTGACCCCTGACGCTCGCATCGGGCGGCCCGCAGCGGAGGGCTCGCTCACGATGAGGGGCCCCGCCGCGCGCGACGGCAGCGGCGGGCCAAGAGCAGCACGAGCTTGATGCGGCCTCGGCGCCGCGGATCTGGACAGGGAGAAGCGGGGCACAGCATGCCGATCTTGCCATCGCATGCCGGCACGGAGGGTCGTCCGCGATGTGGTCTGAGCGTGCCGCACATCCGGCGCGGCGGTGGCGGCGGCGCGCCGCGGTCCGCCGTCCGGCGCCGCCGCGACTTCCTTGCGCGCTGCTCCCACGGACCCGCCCGGCTGTCACGCCGCCATGCGCGCACGTGAGCGCCACCTGCAGGCGGATCGGGAACGCACGCCTGCCATCGGGCCTGCTCCCTTCTGCCAGCACTGACATCGCTCCCTTCGAAGTGACGAGAGGTGTGCTGGCAATGTAACTCACGCACGCACGAAGCTGCTGCGGCGCACTTGGCTCGGCGCGCAAAGGGCGAGCCACGCTGCATGCTGAGAAGGGCGCGGGCGTCAGCGTCCAGATCGGGCAGGCGCAGCTGCGCAGGTTGCAGCGCACACGGGGCGTGCTGCGCCCCGTCGTCCTGACAACGCGTCCCGATCGAGCCGTGTCAACACGCTGCCGCATCTGCTCGACAGCCTCGCCAGCGTCAAGGCGAAAAGAGCGGCGGAGGCGTTGGCGAGGCTGCAAGAAGGCGAGGCCACTCGCACCGCCTGCTTCCGCTCCACGTCCTTCTCCGCCGAGTCAGCCTCTCCCGCGCCCTCTCCGCCCACACGCCGCACCGTCGCACCCACACCCACTTGCACACAATGCACTCCACGCTCCTTGCTCTCCTCCTCACGCTGCTGCTGAGCAGCAGCGCCTGCGTGCGCGCCATCGACACCGACTGCCACAACCGCAACCCCGGCACGGGCGACGACTGCTCCAACTCGTGGGACCGCGTGAGTCTGGAGTGCTGGACGCCGCATCGTGCTGTACATCGTATGCTCACATCACGGCCAGCTCTGGGACATCCGCTCGCGTGTCTGCTCGCAGCCGCAGCACTTCGGCTTCTACGCCGGCAAGCGCAAGAATGCCTTTGGTGCGTGCGCTGCTCATGGCTGCGCGCCGTGTCGCTGACATCGCCTGGTGCAGTGACGAATGCCGACTGCCCGTAAGGGCCGACTGGAAGCTTGCACCTCGCTCATGCTCACTCTGTGCCCCCTTCTGCAGCGGCCGCGGCGTCTTCTTTGGCTCCGACGCCTCGGGCCGCGTGGACCAGTGCTGGCGCGCCACGCAGCGCGCCATCACCACCTGCCAGCTCAATGGCTGCCAGAACAACGGCGGCTGCTGGGGCACGGGCGTCGCTCATGCGGGCGATGGTGAGTGGATACGCAGCGCCGGGAGAAAGGCCACAGTGAGCAGGCTGCTGACGCCACCTTCGGGCGTTGCTCGGACAGAGGTCTACCAGGTGGGTGCCGCTGAGGCATTGCTCACGTCTAACGCTGACCCGCCATCAGACCGTGCGCTACCTCGACAACGACGGCTCGTGGTACGGTCACCCTCGCGCTGGCGATTATGGCCGCCGCGGTACGTGCCGTGCTTGCAAAGCCTTGACTCCCGCTCAATCACGCCCTTGCAGACACCGCCGCGATCCTCTCGACCTCGCAGTCGGACGACTTCGAGACCTTCGTGTGAGTCCCGTCTGCGATGTCTCGGGAGGGCCACCACTGATCTGCGTTCGCCAGCGTCGAGAACGGCCGCGATTGAGCTGGCCCGATGCGCCAGCCCCTGTCCCTCTTGACGAGGACACGCGCTCCGGCCCCACGCCCCCTTCTCCCAGGTTCCTTTCCGCCTCGCCCCGCCGACGGACCTGTCGTCGCGCCACACTCTCGGAGCAACCCAGTTGATGGCGCTGTGCGCCTCCTCGCGCGCATTTGTGTGATCCAGAGCATAGTGTTACAGTCAGTAGAGTACAACAGAGGCGAGCGTGAGCACTGAGAGCGGAAAGGGGACGAGGTCAGGCAGCGACGGTCCGGCTCCGGCCGGCGGCGGACGCCTTCGAGAGACCCTTGCGCGCCGGGCCAGTCGAAGCAGCGTTCTCCTTGTCGCCGGAGCCTGCGATGTGCCGCTGTCCGGTCCGCTCGACGATACTGTGCGTGGGTCAGCGACTGCTCTCTGACACGCTTCGTCACACGACTCACCTCGTGCCGTCGCGGAAGCGCGCACGGAAGAGCACGTTGGCATTGGTGAAGAGGCCCTCCTTGAGCGAGACGACGATGAACTGCGAGCCATGGAAGCGGCTCTTGAACAGCTGGCCGATGTGCTGCGTGTGCGAGAGGTCGAGCGCGGCGTCGATCTCGTCGAGGATGTACATCGGCGCCGGCTTGAACTGCAGCAGCGACATGATGAGGCTGAGCGCGATGAGCGAGCTGGTGCAGGCATGTCAGCGAAAGGCTCGAGCCACGTCAGTCGCAGCAACTCACCGTTGGCCACCACTGAGCTCCGTCAGACTGGCCTTCCACACGCTGCCGAGGCGCACCTTGACCTCGAGGCCCTGCGTGATCTCCTGCCCCTCGGGCGGCTGCAGCTTGGCGTAGTTGCCGGGCAGCAGCTCGTTGAAGATGGCGCCAAAGTCGCCGTTGACCTTCTCCCACGTCGTCTGCAGCGCGTCCTTCTTGTAGCGGTCCAGCTCGGCAATCGTGTCCTCGATCTTGCCCTTGTCCTTGAGCACCGTCGACATCATCGTCTTGAGCTCGGTCTCCTTCTTCTCGACGCTGCAGACGTGTCAGGACGACGGGCGGAGCAGCGAGGCGGCACACTCACCTGTCGATCATGTTGAGCACCTTGGGGTTGACCTTCTTCTTCATGCCGCTCTGCTGCTCCTCGAGCTTCTTGCACGAGCGCCGCACCTCGTTCATGTTGTGCTTGGCAAAGTCGTACGCCGTGCCCTCCTGCCCGAAGTAGCTGCAGCGGCATGCGTCAGCGCCGAGCTGCGCCGCATCACACACGCGACACCCACCTGCTCTCGTCGAGGATCCACTCAAACTGCGCCTCGAGCTGCTTGACGCCCTTCTCGACGGCCGCCACCTCCTGCTGCAGCTTGTCGGCGTCGTGCACCAGCTGCTTGACCGCCAGCTCCGAGTCGGCGATCTCCTGCCGCTTCGTCTTGACTGCCTCGCGCAGACTGTCGAGCTCCTCGTCGTACGCCGTCAGCATGCTGCGCTCGGCGCTGAGCTTCGTCTCGAGCGCGTCCGCATCGGCCTGCGGATGTGTGTGAGCAGAGCGTCTCAAGACAGGTGAGAAGGGCTCACTCACCTGCAGCTTCTTCATCGCCCGCTGCATCTCGGCCAGCTCGGCGCGGCTCTTCTTCTCCTGCGCCCGGCTCTCGGCAAGCGTGCTCTCGGCCGCCAGCACTTCGGCCGCGTACTGCTCGAGCTCGAGCTCCAGCGTCCGCACCTCGTTCTGCCGGGTCTTTATCGTCGTGCTACTCTTCTGCACTGCAGCCCGTCGCTTCTTGACGTCGGCCTTGAGCTGCTCGAGCTTCGAGTCCTTGTTGTTCTCGAACTCGGCCATCTCCTTCTCGAGCCGCTTCGCCTCGGCGGACGCTGCCTTTTGCCGCTCTTTGCAGTCGGCAATCGTGGCTGTGAGCTCGGTGATCGTGGCACGGTGCGCCTCGACCTCGGCGATGATCTACGCGTGCCTCGTCAGCCAGCCACCCACGTCCCTCCTTCGGCACTACTCACCCGCGTGGCGTTGCTGCCCTGCACCTGCGCCTCGACCAGCGTCACCTCGTGTCGCTTGAGGTCAAGCTCTCGCCGCAGCTTGGAGAAGGCCGCCATCTGCTCGTTGGCAGCCTTCATCTGCGCCTCGACGCTGGCGAGCTCCTTGCGCGCGCTGGCCAGCTCGCGCTCGACGTTGTTGAGCTCCTGCATCTTGACGAGCACGCCGCCAGTGCTCGGCTTGCTGCCGCCCGACAACGTGCCCTGCGGGTCGTACACGTCGCCGTCGAGCGTCACGCTCTTCATCTTGACGGCGTTGTCAAACGTAACACGCTTGGCCGTCTCCGAGTCAGAGCAGATAAGCGTGTTGCCGAACACGTACGCCATCGCCGCCGAGACCTCGTCCTCGTAGCCGATGAGCGTCAGCGCCAGGTTGACCTTGCCCGGCGCAATCTTCTCAGCAGCGCCGATGCGCTGGGCCGCCGCGACGGTGGCGCTGATCTTGTTGAGCGGGATGAGCGTCACGCGCTTCTTTAGCCGGCCGTTGGCCAGCAGCTTCGAGCCGACGGCCTCGTTGTCCACCACGACGTTGTATAGCCGCCCACCGGCGCAGATCTCGAGCGCGGTGGCGTACTTGTGCTTGTCCTCGTCAAGGCTCACGAGGCTCGCGATGAGGCCCTTGACGCTGGACCGGTCGAAGTTCGGCTCGGGGTCGGAGTAGGAAAAGTCCATGCCGGCAAGGCGCGACTTGATGCGGTCGCGGCTCTCGTACAGCTGCGACACCTTGGAGCTGAGCGATGCCCTGGCGGCGAGCAGCTCCTTCTCCTTCTGCTCGTCCCAGCCCGTGCTGCTGACCTTGGCCTCGAGCGCGGCGGCGGCTGCGCGCGAGGCAGCAAGCTCCTTGACGAGGCCAGCGCTCTCGCGCTCGGCCTTCTTCGCCAGCGGCTCTTTGGTCTTGCACTCCTTCTGCGCATGAGTGATCCGCAGCTTGGCCTGCTCCACCTCGGTGCCCAGCGCGGCCTCCTGCGCGCGCACCTCGGCCAGCTGGCCCATGAAGCCGCCCTGCTGCGCGCCGTCCGAGCCCGAGGCCTTCGAGCCCATGCCCGTCTGCAGCGTCTGCAGCAGCTCGTCTTGGCGGTTCAGCTGCGCGACCTCCTCGTCGTACGTTGCCTTGAGCGCGCCGAACGAGGTCGACAGCTCTGCAAGCTCCTGCTGCTTCTCGTCGCGCGCCGCCCGCAGCGCGGCCAGCGACTCGTCGTCTGCGAGCACCTTCTTGCTCTCCTCGTCGAGCGACGTGACCTTGAAGTCGACGTGCGACTGCTCCTTGACGACGTCGTGTGCCATCTGCTTCGACTTCTCGACGAGCGCCTGCAGCTTGCCGCCCTTGGCCAGCTCCTGGTCGCGGCGCCTCTCGATCTGCGCCAGCTCCTTGTCGATGCCGGCGATCTGGCGCTTGAGCGCCTCGGCGCCCTCCTCCTGCGCCCGCATCTCGCCCTTGCGCGCCTTGAGCGCGGCGCGCTTCTCGTCGTAGCGCGCGTGCAGCGTCTGCCACTCGTGCGCCTTGGCCAGGCGCGTGAGGCGCTCGAGCTCGGACGTGGCGCGCTGGTACTCGAGGAACGAGCGCTTCTCCTCGCGCAGCTTGTCGAGCTTCGGCGTGATCTCCTCCTCAAGCAGCTGCGCACGCGCCCTCAGCCCCTGCCCGTCCACGCATTTCTGGCACACCGACTCACCGCGGAGATCTCCTTGACCTTCTGGTCCTTTTTCTGCATCGTCTTGATGGCCTTCTCCTTGCGGTCCTCAAACATGCGCGTGCCCGCAGCCTCCTCCATCATGCTCAGGATCTCGGGCGGCTTCATGTTGAGCACCTTTGTGATGCGGCCCTGCATGATGAGAAAGTTGGGGTTGTTGATGTTGAGCTGCACGGACTGGAACATGTTCTGCACGGCCTGCTGTGTGGCCTTGTGGCCGTTGATGAGGTACTTGCTCAGGCCGCCCATGGCGATCTGGCGCGTGACGGTGATCTGCGCATAGTTCTCAAACGAGACGGGCGACTTGGCGCGGTCGCTGTTGTCGAACACGATCGTCACCGACGCCTTGGTGACGCCGGCCTGGCCGCGCTTGTAGATGAGGTCCTGCAGGTTCGTCGCGCGCACCTGTCGAGCGGGGTCAGCAGGTGCCACCTCCAACCAGCGCCAGCACACGCACTGCGCTGAGGTTCGTGATGCCGAGCACAAAGCAGATCGAGTCGAGAATGTTGCTCTTGCCGCTGCCGTTGAGGCCGGTGATGGCGTTGAAGCTCGGGTCGAAGCCGGACACGTGCGTGCGGACCGGGTAGCTGCGCCGAGTGTCAGTGTGGAGACAGCGGGCCGTCTGCGCGCAGCACGCACCTCTTGAAGCCATCGATGATGAGCTCCTCGATGCGCATGGCGGCGGCGGGGCGCGCACGGGGCGCGGCGGAGCGGGAGGGCGAGCAGGGATGAGGGTGAGAGGCAGGTGGTGGAGCTCGGCGCCGTGGCCGTGTGTTGGACTCGCCGCCGCGCGCGCAGCCAGGAGGCGAGGGCAGGCCGCCTGTCTGTCGCGCGCCGCCGCCGCGCGCCAGACCAACACCGAAACGCGCCTGCCGCGGCATGGGCAGAGGGGCGCCGTCGACCGGCCGCCTCTGCCAAAGTCGAGCATGAGCAGCGCGAGAGCTATGCAGATGTAGGACCTCACCACACATTGCTGCTCGCGCTCGCATTCGTGGTCAGGCGTGAGCCAGAGATGGGCGGTCTGGCGTCCGCACTGGTCTGGTGCACGTGACCGACACGCCTCCGCCTAAGCACGTACGCGCCGGCGGCGAGGCGCGGCGGACGCGACGCGTAGAGAGGCGCGCGCCGCCGCGAGCTTCTCTCCCGCCCACTCCACCCCACTCCCTCCGCGCTACCCATCCGACCCGACCCAGCGAAATACTCACTTGACTGCGGAACCCTATCTCTCTACAACTGTGCCTCTGCCGGCATGTCCGACTCCGAAGAGCTCGAGCTCTTCGAGCAGGACGACATCGGCCTCTCGTCGGACGACTCGCGCGACGAGCGGCGCGGCGGGCACCGCTTCGGGCGCCTGGGCGCCGACAGCGACGACGAGGGCAGCCAGGCGTCCGGCGCCGAGGACGACGTGCCGGCAGATGTCACAGACGAGGACTACCGCATCCTGCGCGCCACCGTCGTGGACATTGTCTCGGCGCTCGGCGGCCTGGAGGATGTGCTGGTGGACGGCGTGGTGGAGGCGCACTACTCCATCGGCGACGACGTGCTGCGTGAGTCGAGCGCTAGGCGGGTCGCCTTGCTCAGTCACTCATCTCCTTGACAGGCTGCCTGCGTGATCTGCGTACGCTCTGGCGGCAAGACGAGGACGATGCGTCGCGCCTTATCCCTCGCATCTACGCCGAGGTCAACGTGCTGGAGAAGGGCCTCGTGCCTCTGCTGCTCAAGGCCGTTGGCCTCGGAGAGCGCGGCACGAAGATTGCGCTCGCCTGCAGTGAGTAGCAGCAAGACGTCTAGCTGAGCGACTCTCACACCTCCTTCTTCAGCCGACCTCATCACCTCTCTTACCTGGCCGATCGACGCGATCGCCGAGCTGCGCGCCGCGGTGGAGCAAAACGAGGACAAGGCGCAGCTGGAGCGCCTCGCCAAGCTCACTATCCTCGAGCGTGCGCTGATTTCATACAAGGCAGCCATCCTGCGCGCGCGCTCGGGCGAGACGCACGGCTCGGAGCACGATGTGCTGCAGACGGTCATGCTGCACATCCTGCTGCCCTCGCTGTCAAAGCCGCGGCCGCTGCGCACGGAGCGCGACACGGGCACCATCAGCATGTGTCTGCACCTCTTCCGCAACCTGCTCGCCATCAAGGACCCGCTTGCATCGTCGCTGAGCAGCAACGAAACGATTGCGGCGTCGCGCCTACAGAGCGACCTCGTCGTGGCGCTCGACAAGGCGCACATCCTCGACACCCTCCTCATGCTCGCCTCGAGCTCGGAAACGCGCGAGCTCGAGCCGTGGAACGCGGTCACCGCCGAGTGCATCTACCAGATCTTCTCGGGCACAAAGGCCGTGCTGCTCGTGCCGAGCGCCGACCAGACGCCTGCGGCCCCGGAGCCGCAAGTGTCCGGTGCTGCGCCCGCTGCCGTCCAGCGCAAGGTGAGTCAGCCGCCAGCCGCGCCTCGCTGCGACGCAGCTCACATCGCGCTGCAGCCTCGCCCCGCGTCTGCGTCCGCTCTTGCGTCCTCGCTCAATGCCGAGGCCAGCCAGCGCCGCGCCGCGCTGATGCAGAACGGCCCGACGCGGCACTCGCGCTTCGGCACGGCGCTCACCTTCACGGGCACCGACGGCCGGCGACGCGTCTCGCGCACGCAGGCGTCGCTGCGCAAGACGTCTGAGCAGCTCACCGAGGAGGCTGCCGCTAAGCAGAAGCGCCGCCCCTCTCGCCGCAAGGCGGTCAGAGAGAAGGGCGCGGCGAGACTGAAGACGGACTGGACCAAGGAGGCACGCGCGGTGCTCACGCGCTGGGCGGCAGAGTTCCTCAGAGTGGGCTTCGAGCGTGAGTGATGCGTGATCGATCAGACGGGCAGCTGCTGACTCGCGTGCTTTGTAGCCCTCACGCGCTCTGTCCTTCACGACGTGCGCAAGGAGAACGCCAAGGTCGGCAACGTTGACGAGGCGCGCGTGCGCATCATGCAGCTCGCCGTCTTCTTCCTCGACTTCTTCCTGCTGCATCGCGCCGCCTCTGCGCAGCAGGTGGCAGCTGCGCGCAAGGCTCAGCAGGAGCAGGCCAAGGCAGCGGAGGCTCGCCGCTTGGACAAGGGCAAGGGACGCGCGATTGACCCGCCGGAGCAGGGCGCCTCTGCTGTGGACGGTGCGGCGGCGGCATCGGCAGCCCCAGCAGTGCCGGACGCACAGCCCGAAGCCACTGCCAAGAACGACTGGACCTTCGCGCTCGTCGGCTTCTGGCTCGAGCCCTGGGCCTTCAAGATGGCTACGATCCGCTCCGAGTTCGCACTCGAGGCCCGCGAGTGGCTCGAGTACGTGACAGCGGTGCAGCTCTGGACGGTGCTTCTGCGGCTCGTCGACTCGATGGCGCACAGCGGCGATGCGACGCAGCAAGACGTCGCCGAGGGTTTGCAGGCGCAGCTCTACTACGAGAAGAACACGCTGGACATGTGCCAGCGCATCGCGCGCAGCTACAAGAGCCAGAGCTTCTCGTGCCTTGAGGCGGTGATCAGCTTTGCGCACACGATGCCGCGCATGCTCGAGCGCTACTCGTCGAACAAGGAACACCTCTTCATCCGCGCCCGCGCTCGGGTGAAGCGCGCCAAGGCTCGCGGCGGCGCAGACGAGGCGGACCTGGCCGAGATGCAGCAGGACGCCAACGAGCGCGCCGAGGCGACGTATCAAGAACGCCGCTTCGAGTTTGCTCGCTTCCAGAACGAGCTGTGCAAGCCCGAGGTGGCCGATGCAAGCCTTAACTACCTGGCGCGCTGGCGTGACTACTCTACGCCCGCCGAGCAGCTCGCCAGCGTCGTGGGCATCATGCATCGCATTGCGGTCAAGGCCGGCCGGCACGACCTCTTCTTCCCGCACGACGTGCGCCAGACCTTGAAGGCGCTGCTGTCGAGCCCGATGGTGCCTGCAATGGAGGCGACGGCGCCGACAACTGCGCGCGACGCGAAGAAGCTCATCGAGTACATCCTCAAGCGCTACGAGAAGCTCACGCCTGAGCAGCAGACAAAGTACGCCATGGGCAAGGGCCGCACGCGCGAGCTCAAGGCCAAGAAGATGCCGCGCGAGATCCACGTGTCGCCGACGCGCGGCCACGTGGGCGACGTCGGCATTGCCGTCGGCCTGCTCGCCAAGCTCGGCAAGGTGCGCGACATCATGTGGGTCAAGGAGGCGCTGGAGCTCGCCAGCGCCGAGCGCACCGAGATCGTGCTCAGCACGGACGGTGCCGCCGCGCGTGCCCGCTCCGAGGAGCGCGACGACTGGGACGACCTCGACCGCCGGCGCGCGCCGCAGTCCGCGCTCGACTCGAACCACCTGCCGTCTGACGCGGCCGTCGCCAAGTTCACCTCGTTCATCATGTCGTATCCGAACGCCGAGGTGGCGAACGACGGCTGCATGCTGTCCGAGCTCAAGATGCTCTGCCGCCTCGTCGGCCTGGAGAGCGAGAGCAGTGAGTCGCGAAGTGCGAGTGTTCTGCAGCTCGCTCTGACACCTCTCACAGCTGGCGAAGACAAGATGCGCTGGATCGTCCCTGCAGAGGTCCCTCCGGCGCACCTCGACGCCGAGGTCGCCTACATCGAGGAGTTCATGCGCTCGCCGTACGACACGGAAGGCGCTGAGCTGCGCTCGTTCGTGCGTGTGGTGCCAAAGCCCCGCGCGAAGAAGACGGCCGCCGAGAGGGACGCGGATGAGGAGGATCCTTCGGGCTACGACACGTACGGCAGCGGCGTCGTCTCGGACAACGACGACGGCACAGAGGCGCAGAACGCCGCCCGCTCGCGCAAGGAGGCTGCGGCCGAGCTGCGCAAGTCGCGCAAGCGCAAGCCTGGCAATGCCGCGCCTCGGCCGCGCAAGAAGAAGGCGGGCCCGACGTGGACGGCAGGCGACTTCATCGAGGACAGCGACGAGGAGATGGCGCAGGCGCAGGCCATCCTCGATGCTCGCGCCAACGCCGCACTCGCTGCCGAGGCCAACGCTTCTCGCGCCGCCGCCATCTCGGACAGCGACTCTGGCTCGTCTGCCTCGACGCGGCGCCGGGCTCGTGGACCAGCTCGTCCGCGTCCGACAGCGCTGGCTCGCATGGACGGCACGCACGTCTCGCCTGCACGCTCGACGCCCAGCAGGGCAGGCAGCACACCGCCGACGAGCTCGCCGGCGCGCGACTCGCCGGCGCCGGCAAAGACGCGCAAGCTGCGCCCCAGCGGCGGCCTGTTCTTCGGCGGCATGGACTCGGACGAGGAGGATGCGGCGATGAGCGACGCCGAGCTGCGTGCCGACTCGCCATCTCCGGCTGTGCGCAGCGCCACGCAGGTCAAGCGCCCGGCCATGCTTGAGTCCGACGACGAGGCATCGGCGCAGGAGGAGAGCGCACCCACGGCGCAGCTGGCCAAGCGCCGCCGTGCGGCCGTGCTGGACTCTGACGACGAGTAGACGAGAGAGAGAGAGGTGCACCCTAATGATATTCATGAGAGCTGAGAACATCGGGCGGCTGCCGATGCGAGCTGAGCAGGAGCCTGTGCCGCCGCTGCGGTTGCCCTTGTCGCACAGCATGACCACAAATAGCGCTCGTCGGCGCAAGGCGGCACCGTCAGCTCGCCTGGGCCGCGACTGAGCTGCCGTCCGGACGTCCAGACGCACGGAGAAAGACGAACGCTCCGGCGGCGAGGCCGTCACCAGGGGTGCAGCTTGCATGCGTGCCCCTTCTGGCGCGTGCCGCTTTAGACGCCGAGGTGCTGTCGCGCGTCGCGGGCTGGACCATGCCGGCTGCTGCGGCTGCGGCTGTGCAGCGCCTGTTGCTCCGCCGAACGTCAGCGTTCCGACGATCTCGGCGCGGCAGCCACACCTGCCCTCCTGCGTGCTCGGCGGCGGGCGGCGGCGAGCTCGTCGGCCTCGCTGCGGAGGATGATGCCGCAGCACGTGGGCCTCGTCGGGAGGGGTGAGCCGTGCGCACACGGGCCGCCGCCATGCAGCTGATCGGGGGTGCGGCGACAGCGGCAGCAGACGAGAGGCACGCCGGCACGGAGGGCGATCCCCGCGCGGCGAGACTAATGACGCCAGAGTGCAGCGCGCACGGCACCGACGCTGGCGGCGTGCCGCGGCGAGGTGCGCGGCATGCGCGCTATCCACGCAGGCAGGCAGAGGCGGCGGCTGGGCGCAGGCTCTCGGCATCCGGCTGCGGCGGTGGAGCTCCTCGCGGGCGAGGCTGGGCCGCAGCGAGGGTGGCCGCTTGCGTGCCTGCCGCTCTGCGCTGGCGGCGGAGCTTGCTGCCGTTGTGTCACCGCACCGAGGAGCGGCGCCGCGCTCGCTGCCCTTGCGCAGCGCACGCCCCACCGCCGCCAGCGCTGCTGCTCATCAGGCCACGCCTCGCAGCCACCGCTCCTGCCTCTGCACCACATCCATCCCCTGCGCACGCACTCTCCCGCCCGCGCACGCCTCCATCCCGCACCCTTCACCCACCACCCCGCACGTACCCGCCATGTCGCAGTACGACGCACACTCCATCTCGCGCGCCTCGAGCCTCAGCCGCAAGAGCACCGTCGCCAGCCGCAATGCGTCGCTCATCAAGAAGAACACGGGCCCGCACGAGCTGCGCCCGTCGGACATTCTCATCGAGCGCTTCACGGGTGAGTGGCAGCGGCACTGTGCAGTGTGGAGTAGCGGCGCAGCACCAGGCATGCGGCACACCGTCAGCCCTTCTCGCAGCGAGCTGACACCCGCGCCCAGGCTGGAAGCACATCACCAAGCAGCTCATCGCCTACTTCGAGGGAATCGCCGACATCGAGTACAACACGGCCAAGGAGCTCACCAAGCTCGGCGGCGTGATCCAGGTGCCGTTCAAGGAGGGCTCGCAGTTCCTCGGCGAGGAGGGCATCCAGGACATCTACTACGGCATCCGCGACAAGACGCGCGTCATTGCCGACCACCACGCCAACCTCGCCAAGACCGTCGAGGGCAGCATCGTGCAGCACCTGCAGAAGCTGCGCAGCGAGATCAAGGCGCACGTCAAGAACGTGCAGCAGGACACGGGCAAGCTGGCCAACAGCGTCGCCAAGGAGCGCGAGATGTCGACGAAGATGATCAGCGACCTGGCGCGCAGCATCACGCTGCTCAAGAACACGCCCATGAGCGTCACGGCCAAGGAGGACCCGTACAGCGCCAACAACGCCGTCTTCCGCCAGCTGCAGAAGCAGGTCAACGAGGAGAACGCGCTGCAGAAGAGCATCATCATCATGCAGCAGAACTCGGCGCACTTTGAGGAGGGCATCGTGCGCAGCATCCAGAGCGCCTGGCAGACGTTCGACGAGTGGAGCGGCCGCATGTCGGCGCAGGTGCAGGACACGTGGCTCGGCCTCGGCGTGCAGATGCGCAGCCTGCAGCCCAACGCCGAGTGGATCGCGTTTGCCGCGCGCAGCGACCACCTGCTCGACCCCGACACGCCGCTGCGCAACCCCGAGACGATCGACTATCCGGGCAAGGAGGACCCATCGGTGATTCCCGTGCACCAGGGCATCCTCGAGCGCAAGAAGCGCTTCACCAAGACGTACAAGGAGAGCTTCTACGTGCTCACGCCCTCGGGCTACCTGCACGAGCACGGCAGCAGCGACGCCACAACGCACCCCAACCCCGAGCTCTCGCTCTTCCTGCCCAACTGCACGCTCGGCCCGATCCGCGGCACCAAGTTCCACATCGAGGCGGCGGCCAAGAACATGCCCGGCCTCTCGAAGCTGCCGCTCGCGCGTGAGCACAGCTACACGTTCCGCGCGCGCAGCGAGGAGGAGGTGCACGAGTGGTGGAACGACATCAAGCAGCTCAGCAAGGTGTACCTGACGTCGTCGGCCGTCATGGACCGCACGGGCCCCGTGCCCGCCGCCGTGCGCGCCGCCGGCTACCGCTCCGAGCCCGAGGACGAGGAGGACGAGGAGGACGGCAGCAGCGTCGAGGAGGACGATGAGTACGAGGAGGCGCAGGACCAGGCCGCCACCAACGCCCAGCACAACGCCTCGGCCGGCGCTGCGCCGGCCATCACGAGCGGCAACGAGGAGACGCCGGCGTACTCGGGTGCCGGCGCCGAGAAGGCGGGCGTTGAGATTGGCGCCAACGGTGAGCAGCGCAAGTGAGGCCATTACACACGCACAGTACTGACGCGCATCTGCCAGGCTACGCCGTCGAGAAGAAGGGCGAGGCCGGCCAGGCCGGCGAGCCGTCGCAGGACGCACGAGGCAAGGAGAAGGCGGCCGACACGCCTGCTGCCGCCGCTGGCGCCAGTGAGCCCGCAGGTGAGCTGCGCTCGGGATCGGCCGTGCTGGGGGACCATGCGCCCGTGCCGTCGCTGGCGATGCAGCCGTGATGTGCCGTCGCCCTCGTCTCAAGACCGCAGCAGGAGCCAGCGCTGACCAGGTCGCCATCGCAGCCTGAATAGCGACGTTCGACCAGTGAACCCCTGCCGCCCGTCGGACCCGCGCTCGCAAGAGCAAGGGCCGACGCCGGCGCCGATACCACGCTCTCGTTCTCATTACTCTCGCTTCCTACTGTCCCTGCTCGCCCCAACGCGCGCGTCGAAATGCCACGCGCTGACCTCGACTGATGTGTGAGCGTTGCCGATGTCAGGCGCAGTTGTGTGAGGGAAGCGCACGTGGCGAGAGGAGAGCCATGGTGCGGGGCCAGGACGGACAGGTGTGGCTGTGGCTGTGCATGCGCCATGCCGACACGGGCCCGCCGCGGCCGCCTTTGCGTCATACGCTCCCACGCGCCACGATGGCCGGCCATTCAGCAGCTTGCCGACCTCGACGGCCCGCCCGGCTTGTGCAGATCAAACAGCGGCGAACAGTCCGAGGCGTAAGGCCCATGCTGCCCTGCCTTCGGTGACGAGCCGGCCGCGCGATGGAAGCAGCAAACGAGCGCGAGCGGATGCATCCCGCGCCGCCGCCGCCGCGAGTGCTGCGGGACGCCCTCAGCTCGAGCTGCGACCTCGATGCTGCGCCATGCGCTTGTGCGGCGCGCAGCATGTGGTCTTGCACCGCCAAGAGGGCGCAGCAGAGTCTAGCCTTGCTGTCGGCGCCGACGCCGTGCTGCGCCTCGAGATCTGGCGGCTGTGGAGGCGGCACCCACGCGGTGACCGCCGCTTGCTGCGCGCGGGCCATGTCAGTGTGGCGGTGCGCCGGCGCTAGCGCATCGTGCAGCTGCGTCAAAGTGTGGAGAGCGGCGGCGCTGGCGGGCCTCATATAGAGAGCTCTTCTTGCATCCACCTCGCCACGCCACGCCTCACCTCTCACCACCACAGCCACCCACAACAACACACACACGCCTCTCACACAACATGGGCCTCTTCTCCAGCCTCACGCAGCCCTCGGTCGCCGCGCCGCTCGCGCCCGTGCCGCACCCCATCGGCGTGCTGCCGGCCTTCTGCCAGCACCAGCAGCAGATGGCGCTCAAGGTGCGTCGGACGCATGGCGGGCCACTGCTCTGGCACTCACGCTGCTGCATCAGATCCGCGAGCATAAAGTCTCGCTGACCGGCGACGACTTTTCCATCAAGGTGCGTGCACGTCAGACGCCTTGTGCTGCCGCAGCCGCTCACCCTTGCCTCGCAGGACGCCATGACGAACCAGACGATCTTCAAGGTCGACGGCAAGGCGCTGAGCCTGAGCGGGCGGAAGGACGTGCTCGACGCTTCGGGCACCAAGCTCTTCCAGGTGCGCAAGAAGCACATTGCCATCCACACGACGTACCAGGGCATCGGCGCCAACGACGAGGTGCTTTTCACTGTCTCGAGCCGCATGTCGCTCGGCACTAAGCTCGAGATCAAGGTGTGTGCTGGTGGAGAGCGCTGCGAGGTCTGTACTGAGACTCACTCGCCTGCAGTTCAAGAACGTGGCCGGCGGCGGCGGCGAGACTGAGTGAGTCGTGCCGAGTGCGTGCGCTCCTGCTTGTGCTTACCATCCCTCTCAGGCTCGTGCTCAAGGGCGACTTGTGCGTGCCCTCGCCAACTGCCTTACAAAGGCCTTGCGCTGACGCCTCTCCACCTCAGCTTCGACCGCAACGCCACGATCACCACAAAGGAGGGCGTGCCTGTCGCGTCGATCGGGCGCAGCTTTGCGAACGCCGGCCAGGTACTCTTTGACAAGCAGACGTACATTCTCGTGAGTCGCTTTGCACGTGTCAGGCGGAGCGAGCGCCTCTGCTGCGCCGGAACGCTCGTGAAGGAAAGCTCTGGTCTTGGCGAGCGACGCTAGCGAGCCGACACCCGTGTGCGGCGGCCTGCACCTTGCTAAAACCGCTGGCTAAGCCTGTGTACCACCGGGTGCATCGCTGCGAAGCCTTGCTGGACACATGCCGTCGTCGCACCAGCAGCTGACGCAGACCTCCACCGCAGAACGTCGCGCCGGGCGTCGATGCCGCGCTCATGGTGGCCGTTGCCATCTGCCTCGACGAGAAGGCCAACGAGACGAACTGAGCGCAGCTTCACACCTCCGTCCTCTGCCCGCCTGCTTGCTACGCCGTTCCGCATCTCTCCTTATGCATATCGACGAGCCGTGCGCCCTCCACCCCTGACCAGTGCGCCGGCGCGCGCGAGGCCGAGTTCCGCGCCTCGGCCTTGCCGCGCCTGGAATACCATACCCTCTCGACGCATGCTCGATGCGTGTGCTGTGTGATGCTGCGTCAGTGTGTGCCCGTCTCGAGTCAGCTTGCTTTACAGGTGGTCGCCACTGAGAGCTGGTGGAGTGCTGGTGCTGCCGTCACGTGTGCCGGCCGGCAGCCGAGGATCTCCAAGGCCAAGGCGCGAGATGCGAGATGCACGCGCGGCACGCCGGCAGCGGACGCGGAGATGCGGCGCGCGTGGCGGCAAGAGGCAAGCGCGGGCCGGCGGGCGGCACGGCGGCAAGGCACGGCATCACTGTCAGGGGCGGCGCGGCCGCTCAGGGTGCACGCCGCCGGCGTGTTGCTTGCGGCGTGCATGTGCCTCTCTCGCAGAGCTGCGGAGAGCGCAAGCCTACGTAGAGCTCGGCGTGGCCCAACTCCCTTCTCGCCACCACCTCACACCATGTTCGCGCTCCTCGCCTCGCTCCTGCTCGCCTCGCAGGCGCACGCCCAGCTCGTCGGCGGCAGTGCGTGCCGTGCCTGCTGCTGCTCTCTCGCCACGCTCGCACTGACGCTCTGCCTATCACCCAGGCGGGCCCTCAGCGCCCGTGCTCTCCGCCACTGCCGCGACGGGCAGCTGGGCGCCCGCTGCCACGGCCGCGTCGCCCAAGCCGGCGCTCGACGGCACGGGCCGCCAGCTCTACATCAACTCGGCAAACGAGTGCGTGGCGAGCAGCGCGCGTGCAGCCGCAATGTATGCTGACTGCGTGTGTGCCGCAGCTTCTGCCTCCTCATGCCGCCGGACCCGACGACGCAGAACCTCGTCGATGCCGAGGCCGATGCCGTGGCGTACTGCATCAACCCAATGAACGGCACGCGGCCCATGCCCGACGGTGCGTGCGCATCTCTCGCCTTGCCCACGGCCACGGCTGACGCGCGCGCCTTGGCGCTGCAGGCTTCATCGTCTCGGCGCACTTCAAGAAGGCCGCCGGCTACAAGCAGATCATCGGCCAGTACAACCCCGCCGTGATGAACCTCGGCAGCGGCGCCAGCCCCGACTGTGGCGGCGAGTACGACAGCTACGGCGCGCAGGGCGTCGGCAACCCCGTCGGCGCGGCCGTGACGGGCGCGGTGGACTACCAGCAGGTGAGTCGGGCGGTCAGAGGTGGAGTGGCAAGCGAAGTCAACAGAGGGAGAATGACGCGCGCAGTGGCGGAGGAGATCGAGCCTGGGACCGAGGCAATCGGGCGCGAGCGCGATCAGCAGGGAAGGAGGTGGTTGTATGGCGCAGGACAGCTGAGCCGGCAAGGGGCTTCCCGACTCGATCTTGGCGTGTGCGAAGCACGAAGAGCAGGGCTGACAGGCTGCGGCAGTTCCTCGGCGGCTGCGACATCCCGGGCAAGTACACCTTTGCGCTGCGTGCCTGCACGGACGAGAACACACAGTGAGCCTTGCACGTCCACTGCGCTCTTGGCGCGATGCTGACTCCCGACTCTCAGCGGCGCCCTGTGTGGTGAGCACTCGCGCAGGAGCGAAGCTGATCTGCCGAGCTGACACGGCCTTCAGACCACACCTACGACCTCATGGGCATGCTCGTGCGTAAAGTCTGCACTGAGTCGCGAGCAATGCGCTAACAGATCCTTCGTGAACGCAGTACACGCAGCCCAGCAACTGTGAGTCGCTTGCGCTCTTCTTGGCCTCGACATGGAGCTGACTCTCTTTGATTGCAGACGAGGACGCTGGCGTGAGCACGCCTGACACCTATCGCCGCTTGTCCCAGACTGACGCGGCACCTCTCGCAGTTCGACGACTGCGAGGTGACGGACACGACGCCGCTCTCGGTGCTGCCCAACGGCAGCACCTTCCGCCAGGGCGATAGCACCACTCCGCTGCCCTCGGCGTACCGGCAGGCGCCGAGCAGCAGCAACTGCGTGGCGAAGCAGAGCCCGGCGCCCAGCGGCGTCACGTACACCTGGAACCAGGTGAGCAGAGGTGCCGCGAGTGTCGCTCGCACGGCTGCTGACAGAGCAATAACAGGCGGCCGCACAGCAGACCACCGGCGCCTCGTCCTCGTCGCGCGGCGGAAGCTCCGGCTCGAGCAGCAGGCCCGCAGCCACCTCCTCGGGCTCCTCGGGCAGCACCGGCGGCGCCGCCGCTGGCGCAGTGCCGGCTGCCGGTCTGGCGCTCGGCGCGTGTGCTGCGGCCGCCATGATGGGCGCCATGCTGCTGTAGACGTGTGCACGCATTGCTGCCCCTCCTTCGCCTCGCTCGAGAAAAGCACTGTTTGTGGTGGGCTGCTCCAGCCCATCACGTCTCACGACTCCCTTTCCACTCTAGCACGCCTGTTTGACGCCCTCACCTGACGCTGCTAATTGATGCGTCTCTGCTGCGATCACTGGCCCGGCCTGCGTTGCTGGAACCTTTCGAGCGGGACGCCATGCGCTGGCAGGCGGCTGCTCTCTCCGTCCCGCCGCCGGACGACTTGCCCTTTCGCCTCTCATCACACGCCTCGTCCAATCGCACGCACACCGCAGACTCACGGATAGCACATAAAGATTGATGTCCCTCTGCGCCCTAGGCGCCCAGCCCCAGCCCGTCCAGCTCCCGCTGCAGCGCGTCCATCGCATCGACCTTCTCGCGCTGCTCCGGCAGCAGTGCCTCGCCCTTCTCCGCCCGCTCTGCCAGCGCCTGCGCGGCACGGAGCTTCTTGGCGAGGGCGCGCGCCCGCTTGGCCGGATTCTCTGCGTCTGCTGCGGCTGCCGGTGCGGCTGCGTCGGCGCTGGCGGGTGCCGCGGTGGCAGCGGCGCCGGTGGACGCCTCGCTCTTCCTTGCCGGTGCAGCCGGAGCGGCCTCGTCCCACGCATCCGGCACCTCCTCTTCATCCTCCTCGCCGTCCTTGGCCGCGCCCTTACCCTTGCCGCGCCGCCGTGTCTTCTTCGGTGCCGCCGCTGCTGGCGCCGGCTTGGGCGCGCTGCCCGGCGGCCCACGCGGCGCGCTTCCCGGCGGTCCACGCCCCTCGAGCGCCTCGATCTCCCGAGCTCGCCGTGTCTGGAAGCGCCCCACGTCCTCGGCGGGCGTGAAGCCTGGCCGCACTCGCCGTGCAGGCCGTTCGCTGCGGCAGACCGTGTCAGTGCCCAGAAGAGCACGGCAGCCCCGCAGAGTCGACGCACCTGCCGTCGGGGCGCAGCGTGGACGGGATGACGCGCTGTCCGGCGTCGGAGACGATGCCGCTGACGCTCTGCGTCGGGTGGATCTGGGGCAGGCTGCGTTGCGACATGCCGGGCTAAGAAGGAGCGAGGAGAAGGAGCAAGTCTGAGTGCGAGCGGCGAGGGTGTGGAGGCGGGAATGCAAGACGCGGCGGGGCAATTTTGGGCCTCATCAGCCGCGCATTCGTGCCTTCTTCTTGACCACCACAACGGCGCACAAGCGCATAGCCGCAAGCAGCAGGCACCAGAGCGGCTTCGCAGCCTGAGATCGCCGAGAGCCCTGTCGCATTGCTGCTCGCCTCAGCCGGTCGCAGCCGTGCATCAGCCGTCTTGCCGGCCGGTCGGGCGCGCGCCGGGAGCCTCGAGCTTCACGCGCGCCTGACGCAGAGCGAGGCCGATGGCGTCTCAGTGCAAGCCCTCGAAGCCGTCAAAGGCCACCAGCGCTGCTGCCGCCCCATCGTCGAAGCCGCGGCCGAATCTCAAGCAGACGCTCGACGGCCTTGCGCAGCTCTACGCGCAGCCTGACGCACCCGAGGAGCTCGCTGCCTCGTGGCCGGCCATTGCGCCGCTCGCACACGCTCTCGCCGGCACAGGCCGCTCGCCGGTCCCGATCCCGCTCGGCATCGTGGTGCGTGCTGATCTGATGCGCATACATTGACCCCTAGCTCACAAGATTGCTCCAGGTCCGCACGCTCAAAGCGCAGTGGCACCGCGACGGCACTTGGCCGCTCGTCGCAGCCGACGAGCAGCTGGCGTCCGGCGACCCGCGAGCCGCACTGCCGCGCTCGCAGCACTCCAAGAGCGTGCTCTTACGGCCAGCTACGAGCGCCACGCCGCTGCCGCTGCCGCTTACGCTGACGCTGGAGCTGGAGCACGGCAAGGCGGACCCCGAGTGCGAGGCCATATCGCGCCGCTACGCGAGCCGCGGCCTGGACATGGGCATTGCGCCGGGCAACTTCGACTAGTCCCGTCTTCACTGGCCGTCCCGACGGTGCTCTCACAGCGACATGACACGCTTTGGTAGTTTGTACGAGCTCAGCACCGCTTGTGAGACAGATGTGGGTGCATTGCATTGCGCCTTCTCTTCCGAGTGGCATGCGCGTTCAAGAGCAAGACGGGAGCGCATCAAGCGGCCGGCTTTCGACATCATCAGTGCAGTCGCGGCGTCACGGATCGCCCGTTGACGGCGCTTCTCAGCTCGCTAGAACGCCAGCACCCCGGCCGTGTCCTTCTCGTAGAAGTACGCGAGCTGCTCCTTGCGGAAGTCGTCCGCCACGAGCGTGACACTAGAGAAGAGGAGGGTCAGACATCGACGGCGCAGCAACGAAAGCTTCTTGATGCTACGCACTTGTCGCCCTTCCACTGCTTGAGCGTGCCCTGCTCGCCTGCGCTGCCCTGCAAGTACGTGGGCCACTCGCGGCTCGCACCGCGCAACAGCGCGCGCGGGTCGTGGAAGTGGGCGAATCCAACGGCGAGTCGCTGCATATCCTCCTGGAGCGGAGCGTGGATGCCGACTGCATCGGCGGGACGGCCGCGCACCAGGCCACCGAGGATGTACGGCAGACTGTCAAGGCAGGGTCAGCGCCGCAAAGTACGAGGCGAAGCAATGTCACGCACTCGGCGCCGTGCGGCGTGCCGAGGTAGGCAGCCAGTCCGGGATTGCTCTGGCGGAAGACGTAAGCCCAGATTGGGCTCTTGTGCGTCGACGAGCGGGCGAGGGTCGAGAGGAAGAAGCGGCGCGCGCCATTGAAGGTGAAGTCGCCTGCAGCTCACATGAGCGTCTGCCCGGTTCGGTAGGGCCGCGGATCTACTCACCGAAAATGCTGGCGCCACGCTTGAAGTTGGACGTAGCGAGCGGTGGGAAGAGACGGCTATCTGGCGTGGCGGAAGCCTGAGAAATCGAGCCGTTCACGCCGACCGGCGCGTTCGAGTACGGCGAACCAAGCGCCGGCACATCGGGGTACAGCTCGAAGAGGCGCTGCAGCACGGTCTCGCGCGCCGTCGTGTTCTGCACCACTGCCAGGCCTGCGGAGGACTCGATTGTCAGTACGTCCAGACGCTGTCGCGCAAGTCAAAGACGCACTGGTGAACCACGCTTCGAATGACGCGCTGTTTGACAGCGCACTGGGCGCAACGAGCGTCGGTCCTTCATCTTGGCAGGTGCCTGCGTTCGCGCAGCAGCGTCAGTGCGGGTACCGAAGACACCACCCGCACACCTCGGAGCCGCAACGCACCTGCGGCAATCGGCACGTCGATGATGCGGCCCGCGTTGATCGTTACCGTGCCGCGGTCGGGCATGAAGAAGCCATCGATGCCTGGGCCCCACGCAAGGGCGCCAGACAGAGGCGCCACGGCGAAGCTGCCTTGGATGACGTTGATCGCGGCACTCAGCTTTGCAGCGTCGACACTGCGCAGGCACGACAGGCTAATCGCGCCCGAGGTTGGACATCCGACGGCCGCCGTGACATTAGCGTACGTCGCCGTCACTCGTGGATGCGAAGGTGACATGGCCGTGCCGCCAGCCGTCCCGGAAAGCATGAGCGCGGCAGAGAAGAGGCCCTCGTCGCGGCCGCCGTTCGCCTGCAGGTGCAGGCCAATGCTGATCGCACCGGCTGACTGGCCGAGCAGCAGGACCTGCGCAGAGTCATGAGCAGCTGAGTGAGATGCAGGCAGTGACCAAGCTCACCTTGTGCACATCGCCGCCGAACTTTGCGAGATTCGCCTGCGTCCACTGCAATGCGAAGCGCTGGTCCCACGTGCCGGCATTGAGGGTCGTCGCCTCGGGGTCCTGCTGCACGGCATCGACGAAGTCCTCGCCGCCCATGAAGCCAAAGCCACCGAGGCGCTGTGTTGCTGCGTCAGTCGACGGCAGGATCGTGAACACTGCCGGCCAGACAACTCACGTAGTTGGCATTGACGGCGATGACAGGGTGTCCCAGCTTGACCGAGGCCGCTACGAAGGCGTCCAGGTTGTACATCGCCGTGCTGCCGGTCTGGAAGGCGCCGCCGTAGATCCACTGCACGACGGGCAGGCGAACACCCCACGGCACGCCGGCTGGACGCACGATGTCGAGGCTCAGGCAGTCTGCACAGGTTAGCAGAGGAATGGCAGGCGGAACAGAAGGGCGCGTACCTTCCGACATGGTCGCGTTGCCGGTCTGCAGGCATGCGGGGCCCGACTGCGTTGCTTCGATGACGACGTGCTTGTCCGCCGCAAGTGCCTTGGGGCGGGCAAAGCGCAGGTTGCCAACGGGCGCCTGGGCAAATCTGTGGGCGTGGCATGAGCAAGGCGATGACTCGCAGCGGAAGAGAACGTACGGCACGCCAAGAAACTTGTCCAGCTTGACGCCGTCGACGATGTCGCGCTTGCCGCGCACGAAGCCCTGGTCCAGCTGCACGCTCGGCTGTGCAGCCGTCGTCGCGCCGAGCACGGCAGGAAGCGAGCACAGGGCGATGAGAAGGGTGTCGAGACGCATGATGCAGAATGGAGAGGTGCGGAAGGAAGCCGGGGCATCGACGGCGGGCGTCTTTTGACCACGAAGAGGTCGCTAGGGCGCAATCGAATGTGGGGCCGCGGCCCGAGCCGGACCGGAGCGCACAGGCGTCTCCGTCAGGGGACGGCCTTGTCCGTGTGGGTCTGCCTGCCTCGGGTCCTTCCTTGCGCCACCCTCGGCCTCAGGGCCGCGGCAAAGCCCAGGGGCACACGAGCGGCTCGGAGAGTGCGCTAGCGGCGCTGCCCGATGCCGCTTCGAGCGCACTTGGGGCAAAGCAGGCCTTGGCCTTGTGCCTTGCTCCTGGGGAAGAGTGGTGGCGTGCTGCGTCTGGACATGGCGAGGAACGAAGAGCTTTCTTGAGAGGCGCCACGCGGCCAGCTCCGGCACGGCAACCCCCTGACACCAGAGCCCCTTCGCGGCGCAGGAGCTCCCCACCTTCCCGCCGCGCACGAGGCATGGCTTTGGTCACCGTCAGATCTCCTCTAACGACCACCCATGAGTACGTCCAGCTCTTCTCTCTCATTTGTTGCAGCTGCAGCTTCAAACGTGAAATGAATGCATGATTAGGCTGTGATCGGGTAGTCTAGACAAGAGCGGGACGGCACGCCTACTGGCCCTCGGCCATGAGCGTGTAGCGGAAGCGCGGCTTGCCGGCGACCATGTCCTTGACGGCCTCGTTGGCCTCGCTCATCTTGCGCTTCTCAATCATGAAGTTGGGCTTGGCCGACACGGCGAGGTCGAGCATCTCGCGCAGCTGTGCGCGGCCGGCGATGGCCGAGCCGCCGATGTTGGCGCCGCTGAAGAGCAGCGCGCCGATGGGCACGGGCTTGCACGGCTTCTCGGGCACGGCAATGTTGATGAGGTGGCCGCGCGGGCGCAGCATGAAGACGAACTTGTCAAAGTCCATGTTCTCGTCGGCAGCCGTGTTGAGGATGATGTCGAAGTGGCGGCGGTACTTCTTGTGGCCCTCGGGGTCGTCCTTCATCGCCAGGAAGTCCGTGGCGCCGAGCTGCATGGCGAGGTCCTTCTTCGACGCCGTCGTCGAGATGGCCACGATCTCGTCGGCACCGAGCGCCTTGGCCCAGTTGAGGCCGAAGGCGCCAATGCCGCCGACGCCGACGATGGCCACGCGCTTGCCGTTCTCCTGGCCGCAGCCGTAGTCGCGCAGCGGCGAGTAGGCCGTGGCGCCGCCGCAGAGCAGCGGCGCGGCGACGGAGAGGTCGAGGCCGTCGGGGATCGGGATGGCGAGCGTGGCCGGGCCGCGCCACTTGCTGGCGTAGCCGCCCATCGAGCGACCGGAGCCGTCCTTGACTGCAGCACTGCGTCAGCTGCCATCACTGCGCCCTCGTCTCTGCATGGCTACTCACACTTGCCGCTGTACGTGCCGACCATGCCGTCGCAGTACGAGTTGCTCTCCTTCTTGCACTGCTCGCACTGCTCGCACGAGTCGCACTGCGCGCCGATGCCGACAATGTCGCCGACCTTGTAGCCGTCCTTGACGTCGCTGCCGACCTTTGTGATCTTGCCGACGATCTCGTGGCCCACGACGGTCGGGTACTCGGTCGGGCCCCAGCCGGAGCGCATCGTGTGGATGTCCGAGCTGCGAGGCGGTCAGCCACGGCGGTGCGGCCGAGCTCTGCATGCCACTCACGCGCAGATGCCGCACGCCAGCACGTCAAGCTCAAGGTCCGTCTCGGTGAACTTCTTGGCCCTGCGAGAGAAGCAGTGAGCCGCAGCACCGGTAGCAGGCAAGACAGACCACGCACGGGACGTCCTGCCAGACAAGCTTGCCCTCGACGGCGTCGGGGCCCAGGGCGCACCAGCCCTTGAATGACTCGGAGGAAGACATGGTTGTATGTGTGTGAGGTGTGTGGTGGTTGTGATGGATGGGGGGCGAGTGAATGTGCCGGTGCGGAGCGGTGTTATATGGCACACGACATCCTTCCTCGCAAGTGCAATGTGCCTGGGGGAGCCGAGCGGCGGCCGGACGGAGCCGCTCATCGTCCGCCGCCGTCAACGGCGTCCGTGCACGGGCGATCCCGGCCGCATCTTGCTGCTGCGTGGTGAGCATCTCGCTGCACGGTGAGCTGAGCTGACGGCGCCCGCGCCGCTGCTGCATCGTCGTCCGGCGGTGACGCCGTCGATGCCGGCGAGGCGTAACGTTACGCGGCGACCTCCACATGCACGCCGCACGTGGCTGAGAGGCAGACGCCGCCGCTCCCGGCTCACCGCCAGCAGTTGGTGCTCCAGACGCAGAGCACACTTCAGCGCGCAGAAATCACACGTCAACTTGGCTGAGATGCATCGGGATGATATTCACGGGGCGAGATCGCGGTACATGACGGGTGAAGTACGAACAGGGAGGCGCGAGTAGGCGCGCGAACAGACCGAGGCGGCGGCCGCGAAGGGGCACGCCCGCAGGTGCGAGATCGGCGCAGGTGGTGAAGAGAGGAGGCAGCCCGGAGAGAGGGCGCGTCGCAGAACGGGGCCGATGCGAAGGGGGTGTAGGAACGTACAACTGAGAACGAGGCGTGGATGCGATGCTAGAGAGTATGTGGGGTGAGCGTATGGGACGGGAGATGTATGTAGTGGTGCAGCGGGAACAGAGAGAGGTGGATGGGATGCGCGGCCGGCTAGGAGGCCTGCAGCGCCTGGGCGCCGCGGTGCGCCATGCCCGGCGTCTTGGAGTCGAGCATGTGCATCAGGTGGTCGACGGCACTCTCGTCGAGCTCGACAGAGGCGGCACCGCCGGCACCCGTGGCCGGGCTCGAGCGCCCGCTGACGCTCTGGCGGCGAGCAGAGATGGCGCGCGCGAGGTTGAGCGGCGAGCGCCCTTGCTGCTGCTGTTGCTGCTGGCCGTAGTATGTCCGCTCCTGCTGGTGCTGCGACTGCTGGCCGGCCTGGCGAGCAGGCACGTTCGAGCCGCTCGGGCTGCTGCTGGCGCTGCTGCTGGCGCCCGGCGAGCGGCTGCTGGCGTGCGAGTCGATGGCGTCGACGAGCTCCTCGAGCTCACGCTCGTTGGTCGTGAGGAAGGCGGGGTGCTGCGCCAGGCGCGAGTACACGCCGCTCGGCGTCAGCGACGACGGCGACTTTTGCTGCTGCATGCCCGCCGTCGCCGCCTGCCAGCCGGCGCGTGCTGCGCTCTCGTCGTTCTGGCCGATGCGCCAGTTGCCCGGGCTGGCGCTCTGGCCCGGCGGCAGGAACTGCAGCGGCGTGTCGTTGCCGTAGAGGCTCGGCGGCTGGAAGCCGAGCGAGGCGTACGGGCTCGGGTCACGCGCGGCGACCTTGCGCTCGAGCAGGCGCAGGAACATCTGTGCGTGCTCCGTCGGCGGCATCGGCGGCGCCATGTTGTTGCCCTTGCCCAGCTTCTTCTCGCTCGCGCTGCGCGAGGGCGCCATCATCGTCGACGAGAGCGGCGTGTCTTGGCTGTTGGGCATGCCGCTCGACTCGAAGTTCTGCGACGAGTAGTTGCCGGTCGGCGTGAGACCGCCGGTGAGGAAGGCAGAGAGGTCGAACGGGCTCTGAGGCCCGTTGGGGCCCTGTGCGCTGCCGTTGATGCCGGCCTGCGCCGCAGCGACGGCCTGCGCCTTCTCGTCGAGGCTGTTCGGGTCCTGGCCGGGCGTGAGCATGCCGCCGCCCATCGCCTCCCACCAGCTCTGGTCCGACGGCGGCTCGCTGGACAGGCTGAAGGCGAAGGGGATGGGGTTCGGGTTGAGGAGGGCGTCGTTCTGGTGCGTGCGCTGCGGATACGGGTAGAAGCTCGGCCCGCTGCTGCCCGACGCGCCGCCGGCCATCGATGCGCCGCTGAACGGACGGTTCGCGTTGAAGTTGAGCATCGCGCTGCCGCCCATGCCGGCGCCGGACGCGTTGCCAGAGCCGTGCGACAGCGTGGGCATGGTGCCGCCAGGCTGCGTCTGGGCAGACTGACGCGCACCCGGTGCCGGAAGCGCACGCAGCGAGAGGAGCGATGGGCTCTTGCCGTTGTCGGCGCGCTGCGCCGAGCTGTCGCCGCTGCTCGTCGAGGCTGCACGGTCGGTTCGCCGGTCGTCCTGCTGCGGCTGAGCAAAGACGGGAGCGCCCTGCCAGTCGTACGTCTGCCGCTGCTTGCTGGCGACGTTCGTCGGCGGCTGGTACATCTTGATGTCCTGCATGTTCGCGGCCATGAGGTCGCCCGGCCCGAGCTGACGGCCCACCGTGGAGTGACTGGTCGAGGCCAGCGAGTCGTCCATCTCGTCCTCCTCGGACGACTCGTCGTCGCTGCCGTTCGACTTGGACTGCTCGCTCTTGGTGGTGCCGGTCTTGGAGGCCTTGGTAGATGCGCTGGAGTTGCGCTTGGCCGCTGCCGGAGCAGACATGATCGGCACGCTGCTCATGTTCATGTTGAGATCCGCGACTTGATCGTTCTGGCCGCCGAAGCCCATGCTCTCGTTTGCGGCACGCGCATGGTCGGCACGGACGCTCTCGAGCGCAGACGAGATCATGTTGCCGAAGCCGAGGCGGTTGAGCAGTGCCCGCAGCGCCTCGTTCTCGTCCTTGAGCCGGCGTGCCACACGCTGCAGCTCGGCGTTGGCCTCGAGGCCCATCTGGTCGAAGCGCCGACAGCGCTCCTCGAGATCGCGCACGCGTGCCTCTCGCCGCTTGCGGAACTCTCGTTGCGCCTTGCCTGCAGAGAGGACCACGGGATGAGAAGGTGGGACGGGCAGAGGCTATCGCCGCATACTCACGGTTCTGCAGCGTGCGCTTCGTCACGCCGGGCTCGCCCTTGGTCTCGTCCTCGGCGCCCGAGCCGGCCTGCTCGCCCTCGGCGGCGGCGGCGGGATTGGGCTTCTGCCTGATGGGCGTCTCGGCGGCGGGCGCCTTGCGCTTCGTGCTGCTGCTGCCTGCGGCTGCAGACGTGCTGCTGCTGCCCGCAGCGGCCCCGACGACGCCGGCGGGCATGATGTGCTGCGCCGAGCCGGCGCTGGCGCCCGTGCCGCTGGGGCGCGGCGCAGGCTTGATGTGCGGCGGCATGGTGGCCGAGTGGAAGATGCGGGCCGTGAGGCGGCGCGCGCGCGGGTGCGAAGAGCGCGCTGGCGACGGGTGGCGACGGACGACGCGGCGGCGTGTGCGTGCTGAGAAGAGCTGTGAGGGAGCGTGTGGTCGCTGCGCAGGCGGCAAGGTGTGTGTGTGGACGTGTGAGGGACGGAGGCCGCCAGCAGAGTGCGAGGCGGGGATGGTGTGCGGACGGGTGGGGTGGCTGCGGGCGCGCCGCGAGGTGCAGCAGCATGGACGCGCCGCCGCCGTGGCGCGGGGCGGCGCAGGCAGGCCGGCAGCGGCAGGCAGACGCAACGCGCGCGATCCGCGACGGCACGGCAGCGCAGGCCGCGCATCGAAAGGCGCGCCGCTGCAGGCGTAGTGGCAGCGGCGCCGCACTTTGTCGCTGCGCCGCTCTGCCGCGGCGCTGCAGAGTGGCCGCTGTTCCGCCTGTCGTCCGCGAGAACTCAGAGAGCGGCCGCGACGGCGGGCCCGCGAGGAGCGCCGCTGCCTCTGCGCTTCGGCGCCTTCCCTTCGCCGGCGCTGCGCTAAACGTGCGGCTGCCACCTCGCTCTCTCGGCGGGCGTGGCCGCTGGCGGGGAGAGCGGTGCCCGAGCATCGGCCGCGCCGCAGTCCACGTCACGGCGGCGGCACCGCACCCCATGCTGCGCGGTGCCGCAAGGGCGAGCCCTCGTCGAGCTCGATGCTGCTCTGCGCGAATCGCCCCTCGCTGCTGCAGTGCTGCTCGCCGCTGCGCATGCGGCGCTCGCCCGAAGCGTGAAGGCAAGCGAGGACCCGAGCTGCTGCGCTGGCACGCAAACCCTTGCGATGGCAGGCCTCGCGGGCAGCCAGCAGCTCTCCGCCAGCACGACCTCATCTTGCCGTGTGCCCTTCGTCTGGGTTGCCGTCGGCTGTGCAGCGTCGGCCTTTGCCTCGCAGCTGCAGGGCTCCGAGATCGCCAGCCACGCGCGGCACTCGCGCAGCCCGATGTGTGTGTGCAGGCCGTTGCGAGACCGCAGCGGCCGTCATGCGGACGCGAGCGGGAAGGTCAAGAGGCCGGCGTGCGACGCACGTTGCGATCGAAGGCGCCTTGCTTCGGCCCCGAGGATGCCCTTGGCGCATGCCGTTCCCCAAAGCAGCCCACTCCAGCACACCACGCCGCGCTGAAAGAGAGGCATGTCCGCGCCCGGCCAATTTTATGTTCGCCCGCACTCGCTTCTGCGGGCTCCGAGGCAGCGGACGGCCCTGCGGAGGGCTCGGCACCGCAGCTGGACTGCCGCCGAGGCATGTGCGGGCTCCGAAGAGTGGCGCACAATGACGCGCAGGGACGCAGATCGAGCTGCAGCCCCCTCGGCCCCGACGCGCCCACGTCAGAGCGGCGAGGCCGTCCATAACAAATCTGTACCGCTGGGTGTTGTCGACAAGGCGTGCTCTCCCTGCGCCTCAAGCGAGGAAGGCATGCGCATCTGTTACTCCGGAGGGCCCTTGCTCCAGATCGCGATCGCACGGGCGGAGCTGACCGGGCCCGCCTCGGGCAGGGATGGCAAGTCCAGCGAGTGCCATGCGCAACAGAGCTGTGCTGTGACTGACGAGGGCAGCTGCTCGGGCTGCCACGCCGAGGCAGGTCTCACAGCAAGCCAAGAACGAGCCGGTGGGCCGAGACGGCACGCGCGGCAAGACGGCAGGGGGAGGCGAGGCAAAATGCAGCGCGGCGGCGAGCAAAAATAGCCACGGCGCGCTCGAACGCACGTGACCGGGCGCCGCGTCGGCGGGACTCGGGCAGCAGCTGCTTGCCTGGTCAGAATTCTTGGCCTCCAGCCAGCGGCCTTGCACCCTGACTGCACCCCGCAACACCCGCACCTGGCCCACCATGCTGTCGCCGATGATGCGCTCACGGCTCGGCACGCAGTGCCTGCACGCCTCGTCGAGCCGCAGCGCCGCCGCCGTGCCGCTGGCCACGCGCAGCCTGTGCATCGCAGCTGGCCCGACACCGCGGCGAGGCGGAGCCAGCCGGCGCTCGCTGCGGCTGCCTGCTGCGGCCACGCCGGCGCTGGTGCGCTTCGCCGGCTCGGCCTCGGGTGCGCTGGCGCCGGGCGTGTCGGTGCCGGACCCGACGATTGTCCTCTCGGGCCCCGAGGCGGCACGCATGGCGCGGCAGCGCAACATCGGCATTGCCGCGCACATCGACAGTGGCAAGACGACGGTGACGGAGCGTGTGCTCTTCTACACCGGCCGCATCAACCAGATCCACGAGGTGCGCGGGCGCGACAATGTCGGCGCCAAGATGGACCACATGGAGCTCGAGCGCGAGAAGGGCATCACCATCCAGAGCGCCGCGACGTACTGCTCCTGGATGGCCACGCCGCCCACCGAGACGGGCACCGTCAGCGGCGATGTCGGCAGCGGCGAGACGGCGGGCAAGGAGGAGTTCCGCATGAACATCATCGACACGCCGGGTGAGTGGTGGTGCAGTGCGGGCCCTGCATCTGCATGCTGAGTCCTTCTGCGCAGGCCACGTTGACTTCACCATCGAGGTGGAGCGTGCGCTGCGTGTGCTCGACGGCGCCGTGCTGGTGCTGTGCGCCGCGTCGGGCGTGCAGTCGCAGACGATCACCGTCGACCGGCAGATGCGCCGCTACTCGGTGCCGCGCATCAGCTTCATCAACAAGATGGACCGCGCCGGTGCCAACCCGTTCCGCGTCATCGAGCAGCTGCGCTCGAAGCTGAAGTGCACCGCGGCCGCTGTGCAGGTGCCCATCGGCAGCGAGGGCGGCTTTGAGGGCGTGGTGGACCTCGTGCGGTGGAAGAGTGTCTGGAACGAGGGCGACATGGGGTGAGTCCGACTGACAGGCTGCGGCTGGTCTCGCTCTGACACTTTGGCAGCATCGTGGTGCGCGAGTCCGACGACATTCCCGCCGAGGTGCTCGAGTTCGCCAAGGCGAAGCGCCAGGAGCTGATCGAGACGCTGGCCGACGTGGACGACGAGATGGCCGAGATCTTCATCGAGGAGCGCGAGCCCACGATTGCGGAGCTTGCCGGCGCGATCCGCCGCTCCACAATCGCGTGCAAGTTCTCGCCGGTGTTCATGGGCACGGCGATGAAGAACAAGGGCGTGCAGGCGATGCTCGACGGCGTGTGCGCATACCTGCCGAACCCGGCCGAGGTGCCCGCCACGGCCATGGACATCAGCACGAAGGCCATCAAGGGCGCGCAGGAGCAGGCCGCGCAGGCAGCGACTGACTCCGGTGCCGACGAGGAGGCGGTCGAGGCAGCACGCAAGGGCGCGTCGCTGCCGCCCGTCGCGCTCTCGCCGTCGTCCGAGGCGCCGCTGGTCGGCCTTGCCTTCAAGCTCGAGGAGGGCCGCTACGGACAGCTCACGTACCTGCGCGTGTACCAGGGCACGCTGAAGCGCGGCAACATGCTCTTCAATGCGCGGACAGGAAAGAAGGTCAAGGTGCCGCGCCTGGTACGCATGCACAGCAACGACATGGAGGACGTGGACAGCGTCGGCGCCGGTGAGATCTGCGCCATGTTCGGCGTCGACTGCTCGTCCGGCGACACGTTCACCGACGGCACGACGACGCTGAGCATGACGTCGATGTTCGTGCCCGAGCCCGTCATCTCGCTGGCGCTGGCGCCCGAGACCAAGGACGCCGGCGGCGCCAACTTCTCGCGCGCCCTCAACCGCTTCCAGAAGGAGGACCCGACGTTCCGCGTGCACGTCGACAGCGAGAGCAGCGAGACGATCATCTCGGGCATGGGCGAGCTGCACCTCGAGATCTACGTCGAGCGCATGCGCCGCGAGTACAACGTGCCGTGCACGACGGGCAAGCCGCGCGTCGCCTTCCGCGAGGCCATCTCGTCGCGCGCAGACTTTGCCTACACGCACAAGAAGCAGACGGGCGGTGCCGGACAGTTTGGACGAGTCATGGGGTGAGTGCCGCGTGCGGTGTGCGCGTGTGTGTCCGAGCTGACGGTCCTGCAGCTACATCGAGCCGATGACGATGGACGAGGAGACGGGCAAGGATGTGGCGTTCGAGAACCGCGTCATGGGCGGCTCGATCCCCAACGGCTACTTCCCGGCGTGCGAGAAGGGCTTCATGGACGCGCTCGAGAAGGGCATGCTCTCGGGCCACCCGGTCACGGGCGTGCGCTTCGTGCTGGAGGACGGAGCGGCGCACTCGGTCGACTCATCCGAGCTGGCCTTCCGCCTCGCCACGGCCGGCGCCTTCCGCGAGGCCTTCAGCAAGGCCGGGCCCGTCATCCTCGAGCCGAAGATGACCGTCGAGGTCGTGGCGCCGACAGAGTTCCAGGGCGCAGTGATCGGCGCGCTCAACCAGGTGCGTCCAAACAGCGCCTGATGTGTGACACCAATGCTGACGCTTGCTGCCCTTCCCTAGCGCAAGGGCACCATCGAGGACACCGAGGTGCGGGAGGACGAGTTCACGCTCACGGCCGAGGTCAGCCTGAACGACATGTTCGGCTACTCGAGCCAGCTGCGCGGCCTGACGCAGGGCAAGGGCGAGGTGAGCGGCGAACAGCAGCCAGTGGCGTCTGCATGGCTGACGTGACCCTCTGCAGTTCTCGATGGAGCTGCGCAACTACCAGCCCGTCATGACGAACATCCAGCGTGACATGGAGGCCGAGTACAAAAAGCAGCTGTCCAAGAAGTGAGCGCGGCCGGCGCGCCCCGTTTGCTCCTCTTCGACACATGCCCTGCCTCGCATCACCCCACCCCACACTAGAGATCGCGGGACGACTTGCACCACCACTCTTGCCATGACATTATGCATTACACCCAGGGCTATTGCGTGCCGCGCTGCGGCTTCTCGGGCGCGCTCTCCGGTGCAGACTCGTTCGTCCACGGGGTATCTTGCGTCGTGCGGCTGCCCTTTTCCGCCTGTTCCCGCTTCTCGCGCCGCTCGCGCCGGTGCCGGCGCCACGAGTCGAGGGCGCCAAAGACGCTGTGCTGGCGCGCGGGCGTCTCCGGCGGCACCCAGTTGTGCGGGTAGCGTGCGCGCCCGAGGTTCATCCAGAAGCACGCCCACGCCACCATGATGGCCGACGAGATCATCACGACGGGCAGGTAGTGCCAGCCGAGCTGCACGATGGGTGTGCTGGTGGCGGCAAGCAGAGCAGTGGCGCCGCCGGGCGGGTGCACGGTGCTGTCGGGCGAGGTCAGCATTTGGTGCTGAAGAGGCCACCGCGCGCGACTCACTTTGTGGCAAACATGGCGATGAGCGCCGTCGCCGTCGAGATGCCGCCCGACACCCACACGAGCGAGCCGTCCGAGTCCGGGTCCGCGATGATGTAGTGGCTGTTCAGCGCGAAGAGCTTCGTCACGCACACGCCCGCCAGCGCCGACACGATCTGGCCGCCCGCGAAGGCCCAGGGCTGGCCGAGCGGGCTGGCTGGCGCGCCGAAGAGCAGAATCGAGCTGGCGCCGAAGGAGCCGACGATCACGGGCGATGCCCACGACGTTGGGTCCGGCACGCTGGCTGCGAAGGGGTATGCATGGCTGAAGAGCGCTGCGATGGCGCCGAGCTGCGAGCAAGCGTCAGCAGGCGTCGCGTCCGAGTCGCAGCGCACCACTCACCGGCACGGCCGCGCCGATCCACGCCCAGATCCACGCTTCGACCGTCGGATGCAGCAGCGACACACCCGGCAGCAGCGGCTTGGCGCAGTCTCTGCGGTAGCCGAAGAAGGTGTGGATGCCGCGCGGCAGGCGCGCGACGAAGGGCAGGCGCGGCTTCTCCTCGGTGCGTGCCTCCTCGAGCGCCTTGCCGCCGCCGTCCTTGCTGGGCGCCCTGCCGCTCTCGGAGCCCTCGTCGCCGTCGAGCACGCGGCGCAGGCCGGGCACGCGGCTGAGCGAGCGGCGCGCCTTGCCGTACTTTGTCGCCTCGCTGGCGCGGCTGTCGCTGCTGCTGCTGCGCGGCGGCCGCTCGCCGCTCTCGCTCGTGCCGCGCAGCGTCGGGCTGCCGCTGCGCCAGCGTGCGTTGGTACTGCCAGTGGCGCCGACGGGCGTGCGCGAGCGGCCGAGGAAGGAGCCGCGCGAGGCACTGCGCTCGGCGGCGGTGCGCGGTGCGCCGGCCTCGCGCTCGCTCGTGCGCCCCTGGCGCGGGGCGGGCGACGGCGAGGCGGTGACGCGCGTGACGCGCGTGCGGCTGAAGGTGCGCGCCCGCCGTGTCGTCGACGAGGCGACAGAGGCCGTGTCGGACATGGTGATGATGGAGTGAGAAGGAAGGAAGCAGCCGCGGGCCCGCCATGGGCCATGCTGTCTGCAGCCGGCGGCCTTCGCTGTTGGAGCGGCGTCCTCGGATGCGGTGGAGGAGTGCGGGGTCTGCGCCATGCCGCGGAGAGCTCGCGGCGCGTGGAGGCCCCGCAGCGCAGCCGCAGCCGCAGCCGCAGCCGCAGCCGCGCAGCCCGCCATCATCGGTCGCCGATGGCAGGCGATGCGCCGCCCGCTGCCGCCGCTGCCGCCGTTGCCGCCGCGAGATGCCGGGGCGCGGCAGACGTGCGGAGCTCAGCTGCAGACCCAACATCCGCCTCGTCCGCCGTCGCACCTCGCTGCAACTACACTCGTGGTGGGCATCATTAGATTCGCGGCAGATAGCGGTAGCAGTCAGTAGGGGTAGCAGGGGTGCGAGCAAAGGGACAAGGCCGCGTCGGGCGAAGAGGAGCGCCGCGCAGGCCAGAGGAAGCGATCCGTGGGCGCAGAGAAGGCGGGGGCGACGCGGCTGCCTTTACTCGAGGCCGAGCGCCTTGTCGAGCGTGTCGACGCCGACGGCATCCTCGATCTTGGTGATGGCGCCGCCGCTCAGCTCGTCGAGCAGCTCCTCGGTGGCCGTGACGCCGAGGCCCTCCTCGATCTTCGCAATGCCCTCGCCGACGGTCTGGATGTCACCGGGCGCGGCACGCTTGGCAGCGCCGATGGTCTGGAGGGCCGTAGCGTCAGCGCGGTGTGCCTCGTCTGCAGCCTGGCTGCCACTCACCTCCTCAAGGTAGGTGACGCCCAGCTGGTCCTCGAGCGCCGAGACACCGCCGCCGAGGGCAGCGTCGACCTCGTCGCTGATCGCAGTCACGCCAAGGCCGTCCTCGAGCTGTCGTGAGGCGCGGTCAGCACGGGCTGCAAGCTCGCATCTCGCTCGGCCACTCACGCCCTTGACCGTCTTGCCGACCGTGGTCACGACGTCGTCCGGCGACGGCAGCGGGGCCGCAGCGACGAGGGCCACCAGGGCAGAGGCGAAGATGATGGCAGAGAAGCGCATGTTTGGCTTGGGGGAAGAGTTGGTGGGCGGAGAGGGCTTGTGTTGGGATGAAAGGATGTGCGGCGAGGAGAGAACCTTGGCTTGGTGATGAGACGAGGCTGGGGTGCTCTGAGGGCCTCCTTATGTACCTTTTGCTCGAGCTGCTTGCACAGCTGGACGTCGTGTTGCCGAGACGGCTATCGCCGTGGTAGCCGTCGCGGCTCGTCGCGGCGGACCCTCATCGCAGCAAACACTTCATCACATCTCATCACGGATGTTCGGGCGTCGGAGCGCCCGCAGCAGAGTGATGCCCTCGCGCGCACGCATCTCAGCCCAACCTCTCAGGACGTCCTCGTATCTCCCTTCCGAGAGCCAAGAGGAGCTAAGGCAATCGCAGCGTCGCTAGCACACCTCGCTCCGAATGCTGGATGTGATGCTGCGAGAAGGAGTCGCAGCGAAGGTCGACGTCGAGACGATAAGGCGAGCGCTGAGGGAGCACTCTGGACAGCTAGCGCGAGGGAGCGAGGCTAGCGGCGCTCGTGTGAGATGCTTGACGGTGCTACGGTCCGGCGGCGAGGGGAGCGAGGAACTCGGAGGGGGCATGCTGGCCGGGCTATGCTCGAAGGCGCAGAGGGGCGCATCCGACCCCCTGAGCGGCGTCTCGGGCGGTGCGCGGCGTGATGGCGCCTCGCTGATGCGCGTGGACGGCCCATGCGCGCGAGATCGCCCGCTAGTCGGCGCGGCGTCGCTTCTGCGCTCGCACGGTGCGCGCGAGGGGCATGAAAGCGCCGTGCTGAGAGTTGCGGGTGTGCGAAGAAGGACACTGCGTCATCAGTGGCCTGCGACGCATGCCTTGCGCGCAATGCGGGCGATACGAGGCGTCGCGCGCGAAGGAGCGTCGGCGGATCTTTCCAGCGTCGCGCTGCAAGGCAGACGCGCTTGCTCCTCCACGCGACGCCCTTATCAACCCCGCGCTAAGGCGTCCGGCTCACCTGCGGCGACCATCTGTCACACTTCCGCCTCCGCCGCCTTGGCCGCCGGCTCGGCGGTCCGAGATGATGCCTCTTCCAGCGGATCTTCCTGCCTACCGCCTGTGCGCCCAAACCTCTCCCGGCCGCGCGGTGGGTTGCCAGCCGCGATCGTCGTGAGGCGACCTCGGGCTGGCAGGGCCATCGATGCAGCCTCTTCTTGCTCGAACATGCGAAATGCCCGACGCTACAGCGAGCGCTCTGCAGATCCCCAAGAGCCCGGAGGTACAGCTGCGGCACCGCAGATGAGCCGCCATCGCCGTCCGCCCCGCTGGCCTCCGCTTGACCCCCTGACCACACTCGTCCCACCGCCGCAAGGCGCTTGCGGCGAACGGCGCGTGAGCTAGCGAACAGAGGGGCTCTGCCGCAACCCCAGGGCTGCGGTAAATGCGAGATGGACTCGAGAAGCGAGGCAGTCGGCGTTCTGGGATCGCCGAGCGCGCGGCGTCCTCGCCGTCGTGGCGAGGCATTGCTGGCGGAGATGGCAACCATCATGCATCGGGCCGGCGTTCTGAGCGCTGAAGATGCGAAGGAGCATCGCACCGGGCCCAAGAGGCGCATCCTGCAAGAGGTCGATCGAGCGTCCTCGGGACGGTTCCTCCTGGCGCTACGCTTATCAGCGTGCTGTTCTTCCGCCAGTCCCGCGGAACTGTGCCTCCACGTGAAGGTCTTCCGGGCCGCAGGGTGAAGCGAAGCCGGGCAGCCGCGTCCACACCTCCTGCTGCTCGCTTCGCAACAGCGCTGCCATTATACCCGGTGACTGTGAATGCGCCTCTAGTCGGTGATGACGCGCAGCTGCGCAACCATGTCCGCGACGGCCGCTGCGTCGCTGAGCGCAAAGTGGCTCGGATACGAGAGGTCGACGTTCTCGACGCCGGGACAGCCGAGCACCGCACACGAGCCCATCACCCGCGGCATCTGGCCCTGTTGCCGAGCGTTCAGTCAGTCTGGCAGCCAGCAGCCGCGCTGCAGCACTCACTGCGCGCAGCTCCTCGAGCGTGATACCGCTGCCGAGCCACGAGGCGATGCGGCAGACCATGTCCTTGCTCGAGTACGCTGTTAGGCGCTTTCGTCAGTGCATGGAAGCAGATACGGCCGCGCTTCTGTCCTCACCATTCACGAAGCGGCGAGCCACGATGGAGCGGGCCTTGCGGAGCCGCGAGGGACTCGGCGTCATCGGCGCGCCCTGCGCACGGCATCAGCTGCGAACGAGCGAGCAGGCGACAGAGACACTCACGATGAGGAACACGTCGCTGACGAGGTTCGCGTTCGCTGGGTCCTTGGCGAGCTCGAGCAGGGCAGTCAAGATCGTTGCACAGCCCAGACTTGTGCCAACGAGGATCACAGGGCGCGAGCCTTGCACCCGCGCGCGCAGCACGTCCGCAAGGATGAGGCCGGCCTGCGCAAGACTCTGTCAGCGTATGCCTCAACGAGCAAGCCAGCGCGGGTCGCACCTTGTGCGCACGGGTCTTTGCCTGCACGAAGGACGAGTCCAGCCTGGCGGAGTCGCTGCGTGAGTCAAGCAGTAAGGAGTCGGGCTCTCCAGCACTCACGCCGTGCTCGCAGTGTTCCACACCGTCAGCGGGATCGTGATCGCAGCAATCCCGGCGAGCGCAGTCCGCTTCAGCACTTCGGTGCCTGCCTTCTGCCCGCCGGTCCTGATGAGCGTATCCATCATGTAGGACTCGAGGCCCTTGCCTGCCCTTGCGAAGGCCTCATTCTCGGTGCTGATGGCGTAGACGTCGCGCGCGTCATGCTTGAAGGCCGTCTGCCAGATGCCGATCTGCTCTGCAGGCTCGCGAATGATTCCCGAACAACAGATGGTGGCTGGCGAACAGCGTGAGCTCAGCGAGGCATCAATAGCGGCGCAACACCACTCACCATGGAGCGAAGGAATGGAGACACCGGCCTGGCTGGCGTCCGACTTGATCTCCTCGAAGCTGAAGTCGCTCAGCCCCCGCAATCGACGTGTGACGCGGTAGGCTGCCAGGCCGCCGCCAGACAGGCCGAACAGGGCGCCGAGCATGATGACGCCGCCGGTCGTCGCGAGGAAGGCCACGCCAGTCAGGCCAGCCAGGGCGGGCAGCACAAGCGGCGCAGCCAGACCGCCAGACACGCCGAGTGCCACGCCAGCCAGGGCAAAGCCGGCGCCCGTAGCAGCCCAGCGGCCCCAGTTGCCTCGCCCTTTCTCGCGTGCGACGGCCGTGTTGCTCGCGCTGTTCATCCACTCCTTGCGCGCGGCGCCAGTCGTCTGCTCGGCGTCCTCGCCCTCGGAATCGTGTCGCACGACATCTCCGGTGCGGGGATCGACTGTTGCGCCCGCCGGCAGCGAGGCAAGCGGGTCCTTCTGGCCTGCCTCCTTCGTCGCTCGCTGGCCCTCAGCCATGATGAAGTAGACGGACTGCGCGATGACCTTCTCGGCGAGCATCTGCGGGGGGAGGCTCAGCAGCGCTCAGGCAGTGACAAGAGCATTACGCACGACGTCCATGCCACGAATGCCCATCGAAGTCGCCGCGACCCAGATCTGCGTTTCGTCAGCGATCGTCCAGTCGAGGCTCGGCGCATGAGGCTCACCAGTGCGCGGCCTCGAGCGTCATAGTGGCACACGTCGTTCGGCTTCGTCGGGTTCTTCGCCTTCGGCTGCGACTTGCTCGACGTGCGCTGGTGCTGCGGCTGCTGAGCGCCAGTCTCGCCGCTGACCAGGTCCTTGACGTTGGTGCTTGCCGTTGTAATGCCGCGCCACGAAGCAGTGGCGCCGCCGCGGATGGCACTCCACGTCTTGGCGCCTGCGTCGCTGATCTGAGCGCCGACATCGCCGGCACGGACTGCCTCCTCGCTGCTAGCGCTGGGCGAGCCGGCAGTGCCCGAAGCAGACGCAGTGGGCTGCGCCTTGGCCGCAGGCACTACTTCTTCGTCGAACAAAGAGCCTGACTCGAAGACGGTCGTGTTGCCGTCCTCTGCTCGGTACTGGCCGAGCCCAAGCGCAACGAGCAGCAGCTCATTGACCACCTGTATAGCACTGTAAGTCAAGACCCGGAGTGGTGCACGCCGCTTCAGCACTCACCTCCACCTCGCGCCCCTTGCCCTCGTCCGACAGCGCGCCGCCCTCGCGCACGATGTCTGCATTGGCCGGGTCGGACTGCTCTTGGGGCCGAGGACTCTTCTCGCTGCCGCCAGCAGACATCGGTGGCAGAGTCTCGGTGCCATCGTCTGAAACACGCGCTCGGCGCTTGAGGTAGTCGGGCAGCTGCTGCACGTCGATCTCATAGGCATCGCTCGCGCCGCTCAGCGGCTCCGGCGGCAGGCTGTTCGGCGAGCCGGGCTGTGCGTCTTGCGACTCAGCAGCGCCCTCCTCGCTCTCCTCCTGCTTCTCGCGTGCATCGCGAGCGCGCTCGTCGGCCTGGTGTGCTGCGCCGGCATTACCCGTGCCCTCGCGTGCACGGGCAGCGTGCGAGGTGCCGAGCTCGTACTCGGGTGCCTGCGGCACCGGTGCATTCTCGTCGACCGGCCGGCCACGTGCGGCGCTCATGACATCTGCGAGCGTCGTCTCTCCCGCTGTTGAGCTCGCATGAGCTGCTGTGCTGTCAAGAATGCCTGCTCAAGACTCACGCGGCAAGACCTCCTCGGGGATGCCGAGGTGCTGGCACACAGCGGTGAGGAACTGCAGTGCACATGCTCAGCATCAAGCCCCACCATTTTCAGCCCGATGCGGCTCACCCGCGCGCTGTAGTCCTCCCAGTCCTCGACGAGCTCGCGGCGCTTGCGGCGCACGCGCTCCTGCGCCCAGCCCTGCAGGCGGCGCTTCACATTGCCCTCGTCGTCGTCCTCCTCGTCGCTGTCGTCGCCCTCGGCAGCCTCGGCGCCCTCGGGCTGCAGCGCGCGCACGCGCTCGACGCAGCGGCGCGCGCTGTACTGCGTGGCGATGCAGAGGGCAAAGCGCAGCGTGTGCGGCCAGGCGGGCGAGTAGGAGGTGAGCGCGGAGAGGTCGAGCTGCGGCGGCGCGGGCGCCGGCGCCATGGCGGAAGCCCGGCGATACGTGAGACAATACAGGCGTTGTGTGCAGTGTAGGCTGTGGATTAGCTGCGGCGGTGTAGTCGGTGCAGGCGCGTGCGAGTGGGGTGATGAGGAGCGGTCGAGAGAGAGTGGAAGTGGAGGGCCGTGCCGGGGGCGGCGCGGCGTGCGGATGAGCCGCGGCACGAAGACGTCACAGTCGCGCTCGGCGCACGGCCGCCCTGCCTCCTTCTCAGCTCGCTTGACGTTCAGGCTTGCTGCAGCTCCTCATCGTTCTCCATCATCCGCCCTCCAGCTCGCAACATCGCACAAACCTTTTCCTCCTCGCCTCTCTCGCTCCTTCACATAGATCATTCCGCATCTTCAGCGCTCGCCGCGTCTCCTCGCACGCTTCTTCACACGCCGTGCAGCATGGCACAAGTGACGCCCTCCAATGTGGCGCCTCGCGGGCCCGATCCAAGCTCGTGCGTCGGCCGTTTCTCCCCTCGCCCTCTTTCTGCTCTTCCGCTGACGCCATGACGGGTCAGGCGCGTCTACTGGAAGCTCGGGCTCTTCAGCAGCGCCATGTTCGCCGCTCCGCTGAGCGCCTACTTCCTCTCCGTCGATCGCTTGTTCTCCGGTACGTCTCCTCACTCTGGCGCACCACTCCTGCCCTGCGCCTCGGCCGTGCTGATGCACTGCTCGTGCCAGGCAACCCGACCTACGCAGGCGGCCTGGCAGCGCTCGTCGCAAACGTAGTGCTGGTGGGCTACGTGATCGCGGCGTTTCTGGAGGATCAGGGACCGCTAGACGAGGGAGACAGGAGGGCGGCGAGGGGAGAGAGTCGCAAGGATCAGTGAGCGCGCGTCGGGAGAGGCAGAGGGAGGAGCGAGAGGCCAATGGGATATCATGTCACCTGTGAGAGAGATGATTGCTGCGGGCGTGTCAAGGTCGCGCAGCGAGGACCAAGGAATTGCGCGAGAGTGGAGTGTGTGCCGCCATGGTGAGACGCGCAGATTGCGGTGCGGGTGGTCCACCTTAGGCGCACGCTCCGAGGTGCGCTTTGTCAGCCTCTCGGTCACGCTTCTCGCCGGCACGGTCTGGAGAGGAAGAGTGGGACGGAGGAGGGAGAGGGGGAGCGAGGTGCACGAGGTTGGGCCGCCTCAAGATGTAGAAGCCTCGGAGTCCAGGGATGTCGGCAGAAAGGATGTCCGCAGAGCACTACAGTCGGACGCCAAACGCTGTCACGCAACGTTGTGAACTGTTGTTGAGTCGAGTCAAAGGTAGTGGTCAGCGCAGGCCAGAGCTGCCCAAAGGGTCCTAGCTGCGCTGGCTGCCCAGCACCGCACTGGCTTGCGTGCGCGCTTGACAGTGAGCGGAATCTGACATTGCGCCAATGATGCCTCCTCTTCTCCTTCCTTTGCTGCCTTTGTGGCAGCCCACCGCACCTTGCCTTGAGCGCTTTTGTTGTCCTTCTTATGCTCCCAATCACGCACTTCTTGCACTTGTTGATGTGCACAGCTTGGGTGCACTTCTCTGCTGGCCTGGGCTTGAACATGCCTGCTGCCTTTGCTGCTGTGTGTGGGGCTGCACCTGCCTTGCCTCCAGCAGAGCAAGCAGCAGTGTACACCTCTAACTTGCTGCCTGGCACGTCTGAGTACACAGCACCATATGCCTGCAAGCTGCAGCGGCCAAGGTGCAGGCCAAGTCCTTCCTCATTGCTGAACTCTACAAGGCTGTGCTTGTCTGCAGACTTGTTGCCTGCTTCTTCTTTGACACTGGCCTCTCTGTTGACGTTGTCCCATGCCTTGAAGATGGCTGCAATGACCAATCAGGCGCGGCGGCAAATGCAGGAGAGGCGCAGTTGCGCACAGCCATTGCCAGCGCCTTGTCCAGCATTGCCTCAAGTAGCTCTGCCGGGTGCTGGCGGATTTGCTTGAGTCACTTGCTCTGTTTGTTGCGCGGCTTGGCCTTGCTGCTGCACTGGTAGAGCTGGAACGCCGTATGGTTTGCACCGTTGCATGATAAGCAGGAATTTATGCCACTGCAACACTCTAGGGCAGCCAGATCTATGCTTTTCAGGACAATTTTGGCAAAGAAAGCCTTGAAGGTGCTGCCAACAAAGCTACAGCACATCTCACCGTATGTGAGGAATGCTGCAGCAAGTGCAGAGCAGAAAATGGTCCAGTTTATAGACCTGCCATCTGTTCTGTCACAACATTGATGGCCTTGCTAGCTTTGATGTGCAGACATGTTGATCCTGTGGCAAGTCAGCAAGCACTCCAAGGACAGGCAAGGGCAGAAAGACTATGTCTGACACAACCATGGCAAGGTCTGACACAGCCATGACAACTGCAAGCTCAGCAAACTTACCAGCTGCTGCAAAGAATGGCAGGCTCAGGTTGCTGGTGTAAGTCTCCTACCCCTGATGCTCCGCCAGGCAATGCAATTGTTGTTGTTTGCGCTTTTGTTACTTGCCATGCCAAGCAAGACTTGCCAGAGGAGGCCAGGCTTTGTGCTGGCATGGACTGCAAGGCCTGGCAGGCAGTCACTGTCTTTGCCCAGCCACTTGCTCCAATGCCTGGTAGGCAGTTGCCATAGTTGGTCTTGCCATCAGCAACAGAAGCCCCAACAAGAGTGGCTGGAAAAATAAGCAGCTGCGGTTGATTGAAGAGATGCTGCCATTGGTATGCTGGAGGCAGCAGAGCTGTCTGCTTCTGCTTTTGGGTGACTGGCAGCAGCCAGACAACCCAGCAGCCGGGATGCAGAGCATCACGCTAGTGCGTCAGGAGGTTGGCATTGAAAGAGAACTTTGCTGACTCTTCCCCCTGCAACTAAGGGCAGAAGCAGGCAATGAGGCAGTCTGCCTTGTTGTGCGCCACAATGTGCAATGCAGCTTGCTTGTCTGTTGCAAGCACATTGCTAGCACTTCTTCCTCACAGAGATCTTGCTGCTGTAGAGCAGAATAAGAGGGCTCCACAAAGAGCTTGTCAATGGCTCTGCTGCTGTACAGGCCCTGGTCAATGAGCTGCTGCATCACAGCTGCACAAGCGTGGCATTACAGTTCTTTGTTGCACATGCGTCTGGAGCTTGTCTTGCCCCAGGATGACTTGGCATGAATGATGCAATCTTAGATGGCATCCTTTGTGAGGATGCCAAGCTTGCTCTGCAACACACATGCACTGTCCCAGCCCTGCTGTGCAGCAACTGAAGCAGCATGCTATCAGTAGCTGCACCTTCACTGTCTGCACCCTAACCTCCTTCATCTGCTCATTCCCATCTGCAGTGCACCTCAAACCCAGCCTCTGTCTCTCTCTGTCTGTCACGTGGGCAAGGCCCAGGAGGAAGGCAACAGGAGTCTGGCAGGCAGCCACGCAGGATCTGAGTAAGCTCTGGAAGCCTAGTCAAGAACCTAGACCCTTGCCGGAGAGGAGGGTGTGACAATGCAAGATCAGAACTGACTATCTACATGTGGGGGTGGGGGAGGCCCTCCTTATATACCTTAGAGGGCAGAGCAGGGGAGACGCAGCGCGGGTTCTACAGTGTTCCGTGAGGGAAGCTCATGGAAGGGGATGGAAGGTAGTGGAAACGGATGGAACCTGGTAGAATGTTCCAGGCGGATCTGTAAGGTTCTGTAACCTTCTGTACAGTTCCGTACGCTTCTGTCAGGTTCTGTAGAGTTCTAGGAGGTTCCATGGGGTTCCAGAGGGTTCTCTGAGGACCCATGGAGTTCCGCAGGGTTCCAAAGGGTTCTGTAGGTAGTCTGCCGTGCGGATCATGACACTGTCTCTCTCTCTCTCTCTCTCTCTCTCTCTCTCTCTCTCTCTCTCTCTCTCTCTCTCTCTCTCTCTTGCTTTCTTGCATTGCCTGCTGTACCTGTAGCTTGCCTTGCATGCAGCCTGCTCTGCTTGCATCATGGCATTGCCTGCAGCAACGCGCATGGGCTTGGATCTGCTGCAGCTGGCCATACACTCAGACCAGTGCATGCTGTGGGGCACAACCTCTGCCAAATGCTTGCCTGGTGTCTGCTAGGTAATGCTGTAGGCCTTCCTGCATCAGTAGGGCAACCGCATGTACTTGCTGGCATTGAACCTGCTGCCAAGCACTGTGAAGGCCAGAGTCTTGCTGCTACTGCTGCTGCTGGCAGCGTTGTTCTGCACTGCAGAGAGTGTTGGGTGGCGCTGCTTCTATGTAGAGGGGCTGTGTAAGCCAAGCCTGAAGACATGTGCAATGCCACGCTGAGCATGAACAGCCTTGTTGTGCTACATGCGCCAGTGCTCACCTGTGCATGTGCTGCAGCAAGCATTGTGGGCGCATCAGTTGAAATACAAAAGTAATCTATTGCTTCAACAAAGAATAGGCAAATGTTGTGCATGCACTTGGTTGCGCCACAGCACTGCTCAGCCAAAGCTGCATCATCATCAACACTGATGCCTTGAGATGTGCATTCTCCGTGGAAAACAAGTCTTGCAGAAAACAGCAATAGTGTGTGGCACAAGCTGCTATACAACAAAGGGCAGCACTTAGCCGTCATGTAGAGCATTGCATCTGCGCTAGCCTGCTGCTTGCCCGCGGCACAGATCCAATGCATTGATGCCAGCAAAGCTGTACAGGCATAGTGGCTGTATGGCCTCCAGCTGCTGCTCAAGTAAGTTGACAAGCCTATCTTGGCTCTGTTGGTGTGCAACATTGTGTAGCGGGTACTTGCCACGCAGCACTGCAGCACATTTGCAGTCTTGGCTGCCAGCACAATCCAGTACTGCAAAGAGAGCTCAGGCTGCAGCAAGGAGGTGACATACACCAACAATGAAGCCCCTTGGGTGCTTTATGGCGCACTCCTAGGCAAGGCTGTGTCATACAAGGCCTGGCAGATTGCAAATAAGGCTGTGCAAGCCAGGGACAAAGACAGATGCATTTATGCACAGGGCATTGGCTTCTCTCACTACTATGTGCCCCTTCATGGATGCTGCAGAGCGCGCTTGATGGGCACACCTTGGTAACAGTTGAATGGCAGTAAAAATGCAACATATCAGAGCCTTGTGAAAAGGCATTTGTCTAGGGCACATCCTGACCTCTAAGTGCGGCACATTGAGGGTCTGCTGCGCTAAAAGATGCACTTCCGGGTTGCTTCAAACACCCGCTGCATACCTGCTGAATGGGTGTGAGCTGTGGAGACACAAGCACAACAATCAGGTCATGACTTGTCTCACTAGTCTGCAAAAGACACTAGAGGCAATGTCAGCGCACACGGAGGAAGCTGTCAGCAGCAGTGTGTCCTTGGCAACAGCAGCTGTGGCCACTTGCAACACCACTCTGTTGACCTTGACTGGCATGCCGTCTTTTGCGTTGTACCCCTTGGCTGTCACAGGCGCAATGTCTGCGCCAATGGCTGCGCTACCGCTGTTGCCACCGTCAGCCAGCCTCCCTTGCCATTGTGTGGTGCCTGTCCTCAACAGAGAACTTGAGGTGCGCATCAGGATGGCAAAAGCCAATGCAAGCGCAAAGAGTCTGAAGGACAATGCCTTGCGCATGCAAGTGAGCAATGATGCAGGAGGACTGAAGTTCCTGGGTATGCAGTACCTTCCTGCTTGCCTTGATGGCTGCATGCGCCTATAAGACTTTGCAGGGGCTCTTGTGCAGCACAATGCCCTGGTTGCCCAGCCAAGTGGCAACCCCAAAGGCGCCCTGGTCAACTGCGTCACAGAGAAGCTGCCTGTTGAGCGCAGGATGCAGGCGGGGCATTGACGCCTTGCTGGCGCTGCCCTGGAGAGCCAAGGCATTGTTGTTGGTGAAAGAGGCGCCAGAGGCCTGTTTGCCAGCTGTGCTGGTGCTGTTGACGGCACCACCACCGGCTGATGTTGCCTCCAGCATGTTGTAGAACCCGGCAGCCATGTTGCGCAAGGCCAGCCATTTGTGCACTGCATGGCACATTGGGCGGGCCAGGGCCAGGCCATTGACATGCCCAGCAAGTAGCTGGAGCCCTTCCAGCCAGTCTACCTCTGCTGCTATCAGCACTGCGTGTGCATTGGCGTGCATGGGATTGGCGCTGCAGACAAGTAGCACCCATATCCTGGGAGCATTGCAGCTGGCTCTAGTGACGCAAGCCAGAGCGTTGACAAATCCAGCAGAGTTCATTGCTCCAAGTGCCAGCCCATGGCTGCTGACTCAAGGCGCTGGCGCTGCCCATCAATTGAGGAGCAGAAGATGCAGCAGCAGCTGAACATGGTCTTTGGCGCAGGGGCCCAGCTGTCCCAGAGGTGCAAGGAGCTCTTTGATCTCCAGGACTGCCGGGTAGGTGCTGCTGGAGCTGGTTCCCTTGTCCCCCAGACAGGCTGGTGCTGCTGGCTGCGCAAATCTGGTGAACAGGTGCGCCAGGAGCTGAGCAATGGCAAGATGCTGTGGAGGGGCAAAGGCTGGATTGAACACAGGGTGGCGGGTCAAGCAGGGATTGAAGAAGACAACAATGTTGGCAAAGCGCAGGAGTGCCAGGATGCGCGCCTGCAGCTGGCGGAATTCTTCTTCTGTGCAGAGTGGAGACTGCAATGCATGGTTGAGCACATAGCATGTTGCCTTGCCTCCAACAACTGGCCAGTGCACAGGCAGTGGGCGGCAGTGCTGCTCCTTGCAGCTGTACGCCTCTTGCCAGCAGGCCAGAAGGCACTTGACCTTCAGCAAGGTTGGCATGCCATTCAGGCAGGCACTCATCCACCAATTCACTCTAGGCAGTGCAGAGGAGCGTGTCTTGAGGAGAATGATGTGGATCAGCTGTAGGCAAGGCGTGTCAACTTGAAAGTCTTGGGCGTGACCTGCAGACAGCCCTGGTTCATCTCAATGGGCCTGGCAATGCTGGCGTATGAAGGAGCAGATGCAAGAGTGCATGGCAATAGCCAAGACATATAGAGGCCCTTGTTAGAGGGACCGCGCAAGACAGGACATGTGGAGCCTAACCACTGTCAGGCATTGATGAGTAGTGCTGCATTGCAGCAACACAGCTGCATTGAGTTCCAAGTTGTCTCTGCCAGATAGGCATTGGAAAGCGCCTTGAAGATGCTAAACAGACAAAGCGCAAGCTGATGCAGGTAGACCACGGTTGAATTGTTGATCAATGCTGTCTGTGAGAAGGGGTACTCAGGCCACAGCTTGTTGAGGTTGCGCACAAGCACAGCATTGTCCCAGTTCCAGCCCCAATGAGTCAGGACACAGCCAGAATTAAATGCTGCAAGGAAATGGCAAATGGGGACAAAACCTGTGCCACATCTGTCCTTGGCACTGGTCCATGTCTTCAGCTACTTAGCATACCTTTGATGCACCTAGTGCACTGCTGCTCTGCAATTCTGGCTGTCATGGCCCTGCCTTGCTGCCAGACTGCTTTGCTGTACTTCTGGCAGTCACTGAGTCTACTGTGAACATAGCTGTGATGGTGTAGGGTCTGACAGCCTGGTCAGTCTTGTAGGCTACACCTAGTCCTTCTGCAAGGACAAGCTGCGCGCAGAGTGGGTGCGCAATGGCAAGATTCTACTTGACAAATCTTGCTACATTGTCAAGCACAGGTCTTTTTTCTCCTACCTGTTTGCCTTGCTTGTCATCAACAGGCCAAACAAGTGCAGCACCTGCTTCTGTGGCCTCTACAGCGTCTGTCTGCAGCCGGATGTTGACCGCAACAAGGCTGACCCAATGGTCTGACTTGTCATCCCCTATGCCATCAACAAGAAAGGATTTGATGGAGGGCCGCTGTGCGTGCGCGCTGGCAGCTACAAGCGCAAGCAAGGCTTGGGCTACAAAGGCAGCATCAAGGCAAGCCTCTCTGCTCAGCCTGGCAGCATTGTTGTGTGCAGAAGCGGCTGGCTACTGTACTGGAACAAGGAGGCTCACAGCCTGCGCAGCTCTGTTGTTCTCCATGTTGGCCACAGGCGCTGTGAATATGCGTTCAAGGCGCAGGAGCCCGCGCGCCCTGTTGTTGAGATCCTGCCGCATTTGCCAGTCACAAGGAAGGGCCTCAAAGCATGGGTCAAGCTGTGGAATGGCCAGGGTGCCAATCCTGGCGCCGGCACAGAGTGGCGCTTTGAGGACCTGTTGAGGCGTGTCAAGGACAGTTTCAGGCGCTGCACGCACTGTCTGGCTTGCGCCTGTCTTGTCTTGTTGCTGCTTGCGCAGCGCCCCAATGGGCAACACGCCATGTTGCTGCGCTCAGAGCGCAGGGGCCGCAAGTGAGGCACAACTTTGTGCCACGCTGAAGCGCAATGCAGAGTGAGGAGGCTCAGAATCCCAGCACCATAGTGTAGGTCACCTTTGCACTACAGGGCCATGGCCCAGAGGTTTTCTCCACTTGCCTTGCCCCACCCAGCTAGGGGGGACACCAGAGGTTGCCCTAAGGTGGAATAAAACGTTGTGCAAGAGGCTGCAGAGCAGTTGGCCTTGCCAGAGGAGAAGAAGGAAGCTGCATGACATGCAATGGAGCTGGGCCCTGCACACGCGCTGTGCTGCACTGCCTGCGCGCATGCACTTGGCAGATAGTCTGCACAGCGCTGCACAGCCTTCCTGTGTGCTGGCAGTATGCCCATGCATGCGTGCCGCTTGCTCAACTCCTGCAGCTGCTGCAGCTGCCACTCTCACGCCCTGCCGCTTGGCATGCGGTCTGGCATGCTGCCAGTCTGCAGCAGTTGCGCAATGGCGCCTGGGCAGCAGCGCGCCGCTGCATGCTGTGTGCAGCAGGGAGATGGCAGCATTGCAAGTCTGCAGGCAGCAGACCAGTGTTGCGCGTGCGCACATTTGGCACCCGCCCTTTGGCCGCACTGCGTACTGGGTGCTGGTGCTGTATGCTGGCCGCTCAAGTGCCAACACTGTGTGCCTGACGCACCAAGCAGCACACTGCTCTGCCGCCTGCAGACTTTTCATGTTTGGCCAAGCTACAGAGCCAACTGCTGCGCTGCCTGCGCAAAACACAGCTGCCCTGCCACATTGACAGAGTGCAAGTGTGAGAGGAAGGCCAAGCTGTTGGAGATGCTGCTTGCTGTAGCAGTCTCTTGCTTGCTTCATTGGTAGGAGGTCCTTGACATCTTTGGCATATGTGCCCTTGCCAGGATGCTGTAAGTACTCTCTGACTCACATTTTCAGGTGCTGGCAAAAACATACATGCCTGCCACAGATCAGGTCAGCACAGATAGCCAAGCCTCTCTCTTTTCTCTCTCTCTCTCTGGCTCTCTCTTTCTCCTGCAACTCAAACTCACCTGTTACAGCCATGTTGCTCTATGTTGACATGTACATGCAACAGGCAGCGCCCTGACTCAGCAGCAGTGCGCAGCAAGGTCCAATGCTGTCCAATGCAAGCACATTGAGACCGGCTATTGTTGCGCCAGCCATGTTGAGGATGAGACGCTTGGCAATTTGCAGGTTCTTGCATTCTGTGAGGTACTTGGGGGCAAGCAGCCTGCATTGCCTGTGTCCTCCTTGTTGTTGCTGGCCTTGTTGCTGGCCTTGTTGTTGCTGGCCTCAGTTGAGCAGTCAGCCAATGAGGCTGAGTTGCTTCTGTACTGTGATTCACTGAGCTGTGCAATCCCCTTGAACACCTTGGCCACCCTTGACAACATCAGCCTCAACTTTGGCAATGTTGCCTTAAACCTGCCCTTGCCCTTGCCCTTGCCTTTGCCCTTGGGCATCAGCACAGGCTTTGGTGTCTTTGGCTTGCTGGCCTGCACATGTGTACAGCTGAGGCTGATGCTGTTTGTCATGCTGCCAAGCCAGTCATTGAGTTTGTCAAGTGGATCAAGGTTGGTATCAACAGGTAGTGAGGCAGATGCAGAGCCAATCAGAACCATTGAGACATTGCCGCCATAACCAGTGGCTGAGACCATTGTGGTGTTGCCAGTGAGAGAAGGAGCATGAGGAGCAAGAGCAGCAGGGGGAGCAAGAGGAGAGCAAGGAGAGCAAGGAGAGCAACAAGAGCAGGAAGCAAGAGGAGTGCAGGTGTCCAAGTTCTTGTTGCCAACATGTGGTGCATCCACCTTGGCTAAGCAGCAGCAGACAGGGCGCAGGTGCCAATGTGCTGAATGTGCGGTAGCATGCCAGATGTGCAGGGGTGGAGGCAAGAAGAGGGCCTGGCGCTGCACAGTGCTCTAAGGCCACTGCACCAACCTGCATCTCACCTTGGAGCCGCTAGAGCCTGGCCCAGGCAGAAGCAAGACTGGTGGGCTGCCTGCTTGGTGCGCATGGGCAGCCGCTGCGGCGCACAAGACTTGCCCCCTGCTTGCCCAAGCACTGGTTGCTGCAGCACTGGCGCTTGTCACCACCACCACATTGCCTTGCTCACCATGCCAACCTTGTTGCAACTGGCATTATGCATTGTCCCTGTGCTTCCCTGCAGGATGTTGCACCTCAATGCCCTGCCCTGCTCTGCTGGTCTGCTGCTGGCACATTTGTCTCTCAGCACTGTCAGCTTGCTGCAGATGATGTGTGAGCAAAAGGGGGAGGGAGCTCCAGTCTGGCAGGATTGCTTACTCTCTGGCGCTCTGCAGCTGTGCATTGAGCTGCAGCAGCAGGCAACACTGGGTATTGACAAACGCGCATGGTTGAATGAGCAGCACCTGCTCACTGTCCTGCAGCCGTGGACAGCACTCAAGGAACTCATTGGTCTCTTCTGCAGTGTCCCTGTATGTAGCCACAATGCGCTACCACAGCATGTGCATGTGCGTGCTCTTGGAGTTGGCAATGGCTTGTTTGAGCGTGAAGGCAGTGAGGAGGCGTATGTG